CTAGAAAGAGGTGACTTCCATCTAGGCTAATTTTATGAGAGACCAAATTTCAGGTTCTTGGATTTTTATGTGTTTAAGAAGTTGTTCTGCGAGTCTCATGCTAAAAACATCAATTTCAACCTTGATTCACCGAAATTCACCAAGAATTCCTCTTCCTTTGTTCCATGCATTTTTACTGATAGTTAAAGTAGCAACATACTGTTACAAACAAACGAGGTCATTGTGAGTTATTAGGATTACCTGGAAATACACGACAGCGCGCGAAAACTAAACTCGTTTATAACAAAATGTCCACGCACTATACCTTTTTGTGTTTCTTATACCCTGCCCATTGTCTCAGTTTCAGAACGGCATCAAGCTAACTGATTATTCTTTTCCACGTGCTACTTTTAACCATAACAAAAAGATTTCAATAAATAATTCAGCCAGATCAGTATTTGAAAATACGTCCCTTTATAAAGGATCTGACTTGCGTTAATTCGTAAGGTCTGAAGTAGTAGTCAACACGGTAAATTATCTCTCTGATCTGTTTTTGCTACTTTTCGTGGCAGGGGGGGGGGGGGGCAACTGAGAGTTGCGATTGAAGAAGATCGTGAAAAACTTAACAAGAAGGAAGCCCTTTTCAAAATTATAAGCCGGAAGTTACTTAAAAAACTAAACTTATTTAGATCATGGATGTTAACCGTCCGAGGAAAACTGCCGCTGAACACCATGTATAATTAGATTCGGAATGATTTAAGGTTTGATCGTGGTAGATTTACAGTCTAGGGTACTTTCGCAGGCTTCATTCCCTTGCTCCTTACCTACGAGTTCAGACATCGATTTCTGCATAAAAAATCTTCACTTTTTGCAATCAAACGTTTCTTTTATACATATTGCGAACTTGAGGTTAAAGATTTTCATTTCTTTCACGAGACTATCAGTTATTTTGTTTATGCAAAAATGTATAAAAGTGGGAAGAATTTCTGCCTTACTATGTCTGTGTGTATCAGCGACATAATGCCAGGGGTTACTCTACAGTGGACAACCCTCCCATCCAGGGGGTGTAGCAGTAATACTTCAAAGTACTTCATGCTACAGAAACCGGCGGCTTAAGCCCCGGCCGGGTGGGACTCCTTGTCTTGTGTGCGCTTTTCTTTTTTAAACTTTGTAGGCAATTACTAATATATAGATTTAGCCAGGGCTAAAAGCGAAGCTCCCATTAATAAATTTATAATTTAAATCAAACAATAAACTTGTGATCCACAAATCAGTTAACTTGAGGGCACATTCATGTGACTTTTGAGGGAAAGGCTAAGTTATTTTAGAGTAAAACATCTTACATCGAGTTGATAGCCTTATATGTACACCCAAAAAAGAGCAAACATCTTCGATCACATTCAAAAGCCATAATGGCTCTTGATCATAGCTGTAGATAAGGCCTCGAAAACAAATTCTAGGAAAACAAATCAGGCTGAATTTTTTTGATTTCGACAGGTTTACTTTACAAATTCTTGCCAACAAATCTGGGGGTGTGTGAACCAACCTTTTATACTTTTTATACACGATCTGAGGTGAAACAGTACGTACAATTTATCATACAGACCTCGGACAGAACACGGTATTTCACAATTTTTCAACACAAATTGCACTCAGTCAATGTTCGGGACGATCAATCGCGGGCTTTTAGCGAAACCGTTAAAAAAAATTTCCAAAATTACTCATTAGGCCGGCCGGTTCTCGTTTCTAGTGCGAGCTGTCAGTGTAATCGAGTGTTTGAATGAACTTTAAAAGAGTTACGCTTCAACATAATAACGAATTTATTATTACAATTTTTTGTTATTTAATGGTTTCAGTCATAACGATGGGTAATCTTATAAAGCGTTTGATACGCGCGACATTTTTTTAAAGTACTCCTGCAAGCGATGTTCATGAACGATGAAAACAAACGCCACGGACGAGCGATTAAAATTGCAAGAGAGTACTAACAATCAACAAAAGAAAGATAATTCGGTGAAACATTTACAGAGACAACAATTTTCATTCACGAGGACAAGTATTACAGTGTCTCTAAAAATTGTGAGTCTTTAACCCATTCGCTCCTGGAGATTTTGCCGAAAAACGCGTTTTGAAGCTAGTCGAGTGGTTTTCTGGTCACTGTCGTGCTATAAAGAGCTAAAACTTACCACAAACCGGTTTACAGGTCGTACACTTCATGGCCTTCTGATCCAAATGCAAAATATCAGCTTGCAAAGTTCGGGCATGCGCAGAAAGCAAAATTTCGACAGTTTTTGGGTTTAAAAGTGACACAGCAGTCTTGACTTTTACTTTTCGCTTTCTCTCCTCCCTTTTTTTTTTGCTTTTCTTGCCTCATTTTTTTTTTCTCTTGCTGGGCATTTAGTAGGCTTCATTTTGGTGGGAAGAGTTTTTAGGAAAGCTTTTAGGATCTTAGGATTAGGTGAAAGGAAAGGTAGGTGGGTAATGGACCAAGATTTTCATGGAGATTTTCAGGTCCTTGTCACGTGGTTTTTTGCTTCTTTCTCCGGTGTCCTTGACTGAATTGTGCTCATTCTGGTATGGTTTGAAAGATCTCTTCACTCTGCACAAGTTAGCGAAGAAAGTTGTCCTTGACCGTTAAAACTGATGACGTCACAAAGGGTAGAAAGGACCTGGATCCGCACGGGCGGTTACGGGCGGTTCAGGGGCGAATGGGTTAAACTTAAAAGTTAATTATGTTTTATTGTAATTTCAGCCGGCCTCCCGGTGTTTGTTTTTTTCAACGATGCCACTTCTCGAAGCAAGAAAATCGCTCAAAGTTTTCTTTCTACAGCCAAATTTATAGCTAAATATTCTTCGGAACGTTTTCTTTCTATTTGCGGTGAGAAAATATATCTGAAGGCTTTTCACAGTTCTGTAAGCTTATATCAAAAGTGATACTAGGTCAGATCATTGACTCAAATCTTACAAACGTGCATAAACTTGCTGCATAAACTGTGCTCGACTTCATGAAATTAGATATAACAAAAACAAACATCAAATACAATAATTACTCAGGCTTACCATTCGAGATTCGGTTCCTGAAAGATATCATGGAAGGCCACAGTTGCTTGAGACTTTTAAACCCTCTTACGCATTAAGCAAGGTGGAAAACGAAAACGATGCCATCCGAAATCGGATTACCGAATTTTGACAAGCAAGGCATTTCTCAACCAAAAACCCAATAAACAAACCAGCCATGAATAACAGGAGACTCTTGATAGCAGCTGTATTTTGTACATCCAGTGGAGAAGACAGTTAAATACATCACAAGTTGACACAAAACTCTGTCAGCTTCTGCTCTCAAAGTAAACAACTTTCTTGATGCTGCATAAATTTCCGCATGAACTCACCTGTCAATTTTTGACCAATCAGAGTATAAAAATTGGACGTAGAGCGTGACCAACGCGTGACCATGGTAATAAAAGTTCTTCCCCGCCTGTATTTAAAAAAAAATGGTTGAATTTTCGCGTCCGAGGTCAGTTTGAAATCAAAATCTTAACAGTGCGGGGTCATAGTGACATAAACACAACATATTTCATATGAATCTTTGGAAAAAATGAACTTGAGCCTACGATCATTTGAAACTGGTAATTTGTCAGCGGATAACTTCAAAAAAATACTCGACCTCGATGGGTGAACACTTGAGCCCGCGGTACGGTCAGGTGATACTTGTCAGCGGGTGCCCTCTTTTGACAGCTGTCAATTGATCACAACATTGATGTGCAATTAGGTTTTCCTTGGGCTCCCAAACTAGCTAGAAAGTGTGAGAGTAGACATTGGTTTCCCTGTGGTGCGGACGGACGGTCGTACGGTCACGTGATTACCAAATTTTCTCGAATGGGTAGATTACCACATTTCCTTACCTATGGGGCTTCGCGCGCGGGTGGAGCTCCGCTAAAAAACGAGAAGGAAGGGTCCTTATCAAGTTTAGGACACTTGGTGGAACTGAATGGTTTAGGCTTGAAAGAATATATATAGCAAACTTATTAGCAGGAGCGCAGCCAGAATTTTCTCAAAGCTACGCACACTTTACAAATCCACCGTAACCAATCTTCTGAGCTCCAAATCAATTTTATGCGAGTACTTGAATTGATTAAATTTCCGTTTTCTTATCTGTATGGTCATGGTCAAGTAATCATTTCTCTTGACTAAAGAGAAATGATTGAGAAGTGTCCCTCTGCGTGCTTGTTTTTGGAACAAGGAAAATTGTCTATCAAAACATTCTGGTAAATGTAAATCAATCTAAACAAATGAATGCACCATTACTATAAAACACGTTTATTTTCTCTTGAATATTTTCAGAGAAAATTCTTTCCACGCTGGCTCAGTTTGAAAAGATGAACTATAAAGTTGTGATTTTTGCTTTGGCAATTTGCCTGTTTGTTACAGCGTCTGGCGGTAAGTCTGTTTTTTTTTTTTCTTGATCTATTACACAACACACAAAACAGTGTATTTTAGTAGGTCACAAATTAACATGCAAATATTTGTACTAATAACTTAATGTAATTCCACTGTATTGGGGATAAAATTCGTCGGCAATTCCTTTTTTAATCTTGTCAAACGTCACCGGCTTCGAGTTCATTTGACTATTTTCCTCATAAAAACGGCCAGAAACAACAAAGGATATTAATTAGCATTATGTGGCCAAGTTTGGTAATAAACGGAAGATTATTGTAAGGAGTTATAAGGAGTTTTTATTCCAGCCTTGTTTTCATTCTAAAAGGTAACGTGACATAAACTTAATAAAAAATCTATCAAAAATGAGAATAGTCTAGAAATCCTACGACTGACACACAATTTTCGAAAAGTAGAGACACCATTAAAGGAAAATTTCAATCAAAAGCAACATTGTATAAAATTAAAGTATAAATCTTCACTGAGATATCCTTTGATTTCCCAATTAAAACCATTTAGGTCATTCCGCAAGGCATAATTCTCCCAAGAAAGAGCTTCAGGAAGATGGGGAATTGCATGATGACGTGTGCAAAAAGCTCCTAGAGTCGGCCTCCTATGAGACACATACCCAAATGCAAATCCTTTACGACTCGTCTTGTCAACCAAAAGGATGGGAAGGATTCTTCAATCGAGCCGACGTGAAAAAAATGGTAGAAGATATCTCCAGTCGGCTTCAGGAAGATTCTCAAGTGAGGGGGCTCGAACTGAATCCAAAAATCGGATGGATTTTCAGAGCGTTCCATATGGTTCCTCCTGACCAAGTGAAGGCTATAATTATGGGTCAAGATCCAGCCCCACAACCTGGCCTAGCAACGGGGCTCTCATTTAGCCTAGATCCCTCGGTCCATCCCAAAACTGTCCAAAGTGTGCTAAGAGTGATTCTTGAAGCTCGAAACGAAGGGTACTGCGTCAATGCTAGTGTTGGTGTCTTGGAGAGCTGGGCTAAACAGGGCGTTCTTCTGCTCAATACAGCGCTGACCTTAGTACAGAACAAAATTGGCTCGCACATACCAATCTGGAAAAAATTCAGCCGTGAAATAATGAAGTACATCAACGGCAATATTAATCCATCCGTTTGGATTCTTTGGGGTAGCAAAGCCAAGGCTCTAGAGAACAAAATCGACAAGAGCAAACATTACATTGTAAAAGGAGGCCATCCATCGCCCAGGGCACCGGCCGAAAAGTTCTTTTGTCAAAATTATTTCTCCTGTGCAAACGAGTGGCTGTGTAAGAAAGGCCGTGGCACGGTGGACTGGAACCTAGTTCCTCTGCCTTGCAAAAAACACGCCAGTCGTTTGTTTGGGTGGAAAAGGTCTGGTTCAGGGTTTTATGAAAAAGATGAATGTGAAATGCAGCCCTGCCCTGCATTCTAATGTATTAAGGTAAACAAGAAGATTGGAATAAAGTACTGTAAAGTATAAAAATAATGTTCATATTGTGTGTTGTGTTTAATACTTTGCTCAGAACATGCAATCACTTTAATACTAGTTTGTAATCAATCATCTTTAGGCAGAAGCAAGCGAAATACTCTTTTATCTTGTGAAGGAATAAGACAGTGTTTCTTCAAATACAAAGCTACGTCATTTGTGCATGCAGATGAAATACTGTTAAGCTGGTATAAAAAATGAAATTGCTGGAGACTACACAATTGAGTTAAATGTGGCGACTTGTAAGACAACATCACTTAAATCAACATAAACGTATGAGTGGAAATGGTCGAACAGAACAAACTGTGTTTTCCTGTGAAATAAACAAGCATTTGTAACGTTATTTACATATCTCCAGATGCGACCCAGTTCGTCGGACACCAGATTTATTAGAAAAGGGTTTCTTTCTTTGTTTTTTGTTTTCGTTCGTATTAAGATCCAGAGCAGAAATGTTTCGAACTGGAAAAGTTCATCAGACCAATCTGATTTTTCTTCCTAACGATTTGATGGCATCTGTTCATCTTTATCAGAGCCTTTTTTCATATTTTTAGACGGAAAACGTTTTACTACAAGCACTAAAAAAATATATTTGATCAACTGTTTTGGTTCAAATTGCTCCTCAAGAGGCTTAGTTAGACTTTGTTCTACCTCGCTAAATCAACACTTAAGGTCTGCAACAAACCTTACTTTTTGATTTCGAGTGTTGTTCAGTATCGCGAAAAAGTATACACAGCAATGAGAGGCCCTCTTATCAACAAACTGCTACAATGAATTACAAAACCTGTTACAACCCGTAACTTCATGACTGCTCTTTCTTTTTCTTTAAGATTACATGAGACAAAAAGCACCAGCAGCACCAGGTAAAATAAGAGTCCTTGACATCGTTTCGACAGTTGTTGATGATCTGAAGACAGTACAAATCGTTAGTTTATTACTTTTTTAAGAAACATGTATCTTGTGCCGGATAGTTGACGAAGTAATATCTCAAAAGTGTAAGAACTAGAACGCAGAAACGTAAGTGCTTTTTAAAATGTATCATTTGGTGTCTTTTTAGATTTATCTAAAAATTTAGAGAAATGTCCTACGCTTGATCTCCTACTAAAATATTTTCTGTGCAGTTATCGATTTCTTCATTCAACTTTTTGTGAGTCTTGTCTTTCTGTAAGCAAAGATTTTATGGAAAAGTTTATTGTTTTATTAACTGATCGTGCTTTAAGTCAAGGATTTAAATTTCTATGAGACGAAAAATAACTGTTGACTTATTCATGATCGATCAGATCAGATACACTGTAAATTTGAAAAGATTTTCACCCTGAAGTACCAACTAGCCCTAAAATAAAAATAAGAAGTTTAAAGTTTTCTTAACTGATCGTGCTTTAAGTCAAGGATTTAAATTTCTATGAGACTAAAAATAACTGTTGTACTTATTCATGATCGATCAGATACACTGTAAATTTGAAACGATTTTCACCCTGAAGTACCAACTAGCCCTGCAGGCCAAGTCTTATTACATACTGTAAGTTTCCTGTGGAGCCATTTAATAGGCAATTTGAATCAAAACGGCCGGCTCAGATATCTTTTATGACAGTGAATATATGAAATCTTATATATTTGGACGGTTATGAGCCTTCTTCCCGCACTGATTCAATCCTGTCTTTAACCAAGTTACATATCTCTTCTATCACTGGTGCAAGTATGCCTCGCTGATTCGCTCCTGCATTGTATACTGATAAAACATCCCAGTTCAATGACTGGCTTAGATTTGCCGTGCCTAGGCCAGGGCGAAAAAACGAGTACTTCGTGACCCATTTGTTTCTTGATTTCCTGATGATGATGTGCCCCAAGAACTGGAGCTGTCGTTCTTGTAACAGCTGCATGAGCGGGACTTGCTTCACCCGGCCTCTCGAGGACTTCTTCTTTCTTGTTACCCAGAAATATTCTACAGCAATTGGTTGGTCAGCTGATGACTTTATCTTCAAGCTTCTTTAATTTGCTAGTGTTCCTGCGTCACATCCGTATAGAAGGATCGGTAGATAGGTTGTCTCGAACGAGTTGATTTAAGGTCTGTAGAGGTAGTCGCCCAAGACTCTCTAACTTCCAGCGGCGATCTTTCACATAGCCTTCATTGGACGCCATCCTTTATCCAAGGTAAATGAAATCATCAGCGAGCTTGATGTCTTCATTATTTGAGACCGGGTTTTCCTTGCGGCTGTTGCCACTTATAATTTCCTTTTTCTTTGTGCTGATGACGAGGAGTATCTTTTCGGTCTTAGCAGTTTTTTTTCAGCTGGTTATGGGCTTCTTCAAGGGAATTCCCAAGAGTATCAATATTGTCTACAAAGTCTCAGGTCATTAATCACTTCCCTGAGGTATCTGGCAAATCTTCTGGGCGCTCTGGTAAAGTCGTGGTCTCCCTCTCATTGCTTCATTATGAAATGGTTGATAACGATGAGCAAAAAGGGGACCGAGACTCTCCCCCCCCCCCCCGCCCAAAAAAAGGAGTCTAGTGATGACCTCAAAGTCTTTAGTCAGATGGCCATCAACATATACTGCACTCTTGAAATTGGTATATAGGGCTATCGAGGTATCAACTTATGGTTCGGGATTCCGTTTTGTTCGCAATATACCCGTAAAAGATGGAGATTTGGCAGTAATTTATCGATACGAATATGTGACATCTCATCTGTTCATAAAGTCCAAATATTTTCAGGCTGTAGTTTCGTAACTGCCTACGTTGCGTACATATCTGGGATGATCCTTCATGTGTTAAATCAGACACTACTGTCTCTATTCTAGCCCACACTGGAACTCGTTCCAACTTGAGGGTCAAAATTTGGATTCAGCACTAAACCAAATCTTCTAAAATGACAGTGTCCATGTGTAAACTTTATACGTACTTAGTTACGAACAGGTAGGGGTGTTTATCTACACCACAGGAGACTAACTTGTAGTTTCTAAATTGACGTTTATGGTCGAGAAAGTCTATTATTTGAGCAGTTTTTCCTCGAAAAGTTTCCGTCGAAAGGAGAACTTGCCCTTGCTAATCATTGGCAAAACTTGGCAAATGTTTTGTTTGACAAGTGTTCTTGTTCATAACCTAGCGTGCTGTTTTCGACCGAACAAATAGGACACTTTCCCAAGAAGGCTTTCAGAAACATTTTTTTGTCTCAACTCTTTTCAGATCGTAAGAAATTCGTTCCTGGACAGCTTGATTGGGAGCACCCAGTTATCAAAGATGAACACTCAACTCACGATTTTTGCTTTGGCAATTTTCCTGTTTGCTACATGTTCTCGTGGTAAGGTCATTGACTTCTTCTACTCTATTAAGGCTAGAAAACGTACATTTTTTTGTACTAGTTGTTAACCGTTTATTACACTGCGCTGGGAATAATAATGATAAAAATTGGCAATAGTCTTGGCTTAGTCTTATGGGATTTACGGATCTACTATGTCTATTAAGCGGAGGAAAGGTCTTGTTCTGCCGGTGCGTTTCTACAATTCACGTTGTAAATGAAAGCAATTATTACCCTGATCACCAAACGCGCTGCTTGCGCAACCGAGCTATGAGCTCTTAACCGTGAGGAAGGTGTGAGTTTTAAGCAGCTGTAGTTCTTAGAACGGTTTAATACCTGTTGCTAAGAATGTTTTCGTCAATGGTAAAATTGCCTTTCTAGATACGAATACGAGTCATATGTTGAAGTGTGACGTCACATGACGTCAAGAATTCGCTATTTTTAATTGATGGCAGCAAGAAATATAACTTTTGTCGAGACAACAAAAGCCAAAATATGAAAAAAAAAATGGTGTAATGTAACGTTTTATTAGTCTTTCATATTCCATTGCTTTGTAAAAAAATCCAATCAAATGTACCATCGGTTAAAATATGTCTTTCTAACAATACTTTGATTCTTCTTATCTGAAACTGTTTAGGTTACTCTGCAAGGCATAATTCTACAAAAAGAGAGTTTAAGAAAGATGAGGAATTACATGACGACAGGTGCACACGGCTCCTAGAGTCCGCGTCCTATAAAACCTATACTCTCATGCAAATCCTTTACAAATCGTCTTGTCAACCAAAAGGATGGGAAGGGTTTTTCAACCGAGCGGACGTCAAAAAACTGATATTAAAGATCTCCAAACGGCTTCAAAAAGATTCTCGAAAGAGGAAGCTTAGACTGAATCCAAAAATCGGATGGATTTTCAGAGCATTCCATATGGTTCCTCCTGACCAAGTGAAGGCTATAATTATGGGACAAGATCCAGCCCCACAACCTGGCCTAGCAACGGGGCTCTCATTTAGCCTAGATCCCTCGGTCCATCCCAAAACTGTCCAAAGTGTCCTAAGAGTGATTCTTGAAGCTCGAAACGAAGGGTACTGCGTTAATACTAATGTGGGTGTCTTGGAGAACTGGGCTAAGCAGGGCGTTCTTCTGCTCAATACAGCACTGACCTTAGTACAGAACAAAATTGGCTCGCACATACCAATCTGGAAAAAATTCAGCCGTGAAATGATAAAGTACATAAACGACAATATTCGTCCATCCGTTTGGATTCTTTGGGGTAGCAAAGCTAAAAGGCTAGAGAACAAAATCAACAAAAGAAAACATTACATTGTGAAAGGAGGCCATCCATCGCCCAGGGCAGCTGCCAAAAAGTTCTTCTGTCGAAGTTACTTTACCTGTGCTAACGAATGGTTGAATAGAAAAGGTCGCGGCATAGTGGACTGGAACCTTGTTCCTCCGCCCTGCAAAAACCACGCCAGTCGTTTGTTTGGCCGGAAAAAGACTGGTTCAGGGTTTACCGAAAAAGAAAAATGTGAAATGCAGCCCTGTCCGGCATTTTAATGCAGTGAGATAAATAAGGAGATTGAAACAAAGTAAAACATCTGTTCGCTATTATTTGAATTTGCAGTCACTACTCTTAAGTAAGAAGCAAACGAAATCAGTCTTTTATCGAATTAAGGAACTGACCAAAAGACCTAGGTCACAGTGGGAAACTCAGTTCTTGAAGTAAGGTGGCGGGGGAAGGGAGGTTTGAAAAGAAGCATCTAAGTGCCTTGTTTAAAAGGAGGAAGGAGGGCAAGAATTACAGGCTCCTCCCCTAGACCTACTATTATTGTAATCAGTATCTTAGCTTCTCAGCATAACGAAGAGATACATGTGATAACTAAAGAATGATGGTAAATTTTAACATCGGTGAAGAAATGAGTAATGATGTGATCAACATGTCACGAGCACGAGACAAAGAAAAATTCTGAGTCACCAACAGGAATTGAACCTGAAGACGAATAGTTCTAATTTGCTTTTGTATTTTTGTACTCTTTCCTTGAACACTGCCGAGTCTGCTTAGATGAATCCTGGTAACTTAACGATACAAACAAACTAGTAATGTAATTTAAAAGGACATCGATCACAGCTGCATTGCTTATAAATACAAATGAAAGGATATAAATAAGTGTCATAAATATCTGGACCTAGGACGAAAGGAAACATACCAATAAAAAGTCACTATGATGGTCCTTAAATGTGGTGCTTTTTATATGAAAACATGATATGTTTAAGCGAAAGCGCTCTAACAGAGAAATGTGAGTGCGAAACAGACATTATATTCAAACTGCACATTACACTGGCCATACTTCAAGGTTGTCTTTTCTGACTCCTCTTTGTCTTTCAACAGCATCAAAAGCCATTACGGCTCCTGATAGTATAGTTCTCACTACACTTTTAAAACGTTTGCTATATTTTGTTCATACTTTCAAACAACAATCTGCATCGCAAGAAGTGCGTCGTTTTGATAGGTATAGTGAGCTAACTTTTAATTATTACCTTAGGGTTCTCTTTGAAAGTCTCAGTTTGTTTATACGAGAAAGGTTTGTCCTATAAGAAATCGTCGTTATAGTCATATTTTTCTCGGACGTTTTATGGGCTCAATCTCAGCGAAAGAAATTAACCTCTTCGAACATCTCCATGTTTTATTATTACTTTTTCTTGCAGAAAAAGGACCTCTTTATAACAGATAAATATTTATTTGTTACTCCAAAAAGTGTCTGACTATCAAGGTGAAGAAGTCGGTGCTACGCAACATTTATCGTAACAAAAATGTGTTTGGCGGTATTTCATAGCTAACGGCCATTTTAGAAGCGCGCCACTTGATATTAGCATAATGATTGTGTAATAATTCTCATAAAAATAAGGTGCAAACGAGAGACTGTGATATTAGGGCCATTTATACGAGGAAAAATAAGACGCGTCTTACATAAGACGCGTCTTAAATAAGACACGAACTTTCCGTATAAACGGCACATTTCGTCTAAAATAAGACGCGGCCTAGCTAAGACGCGTCTTATTAGATAAGACATGCTCGTATAAATGGTACAGTTCGCGTCTTATTTAAGACGCGTCTTATTTTTCCTCGTATAAATGGCCCTATTGTTACTATCGGATGAACTTTTTTGCGCTTTTACCTGGATAAAAGTGGCAAAGACTCAAATCAAGAGTATATTTGCCAGTAAAGAAGATGTAATACAGAAAAATAATGTAACGAATTTTATTCATAGTGGGAAAGGGAAAACGTCATAGTATAAACTCCAAAGTACATGAAAGACAGCCCACTCTTTTACAATACCTAAAGCAACCACATTACCTCCGCCTTTTTTTAAGCATTCACCCCATCAATAGGCCCTTTGCAGCTAGCCATTCACGTGGTACAAAACCGCCATGCTGGAGAGCAAAAGTTGCACTGGGACAAGACAAACAAAAGGCATACATGAGTTTAAATGATAATTTCCTTTGTTTGACTTGCCCGGTGCGACTTTTGCTCTTCAGCAAGAAACGTTAATGGCTACCTACCTGCAAAGGGCCTATTAATCCTAATAGGGAGGACGAAATACTTGTTGTATAAGTGGCATTACTTAGTCGAGCTGGTGGAGTTAATTTGAAAAACGGTTGGTTTGTAAAAATGTGTAGGTACACGCCCAGTCCCTACACCTGTAAGCTATTTAATTTGTTATCGCCACGTTGAAAATTGCCCGACTTTTTAAAATCATTTTCTGAACAGTTAAAATGACAATGAAATAATTACGAATTTCCAATTAAAACATGAACATCTATTAGACCTCCTATCCTCTAATAAGCCCCTGCTTTTTGGTACCCCCTAGCTTAGATAAGTAAAATATATACGTCAATCATAACAGATCAACATGATATCCCCGAAGCTGATTGGTTCAGGAAAGAACTTTAGCTGGTGTTATTCACCAATTGAAGGAAAGAGTGTGCTAACCACGATTATTAAGCACGCAGACAAATTTATAAAAAGAAAGCATCCGAGGCGTATCTGCGAAATCTTTAACTGAACAAGAGCAGGAATTTCAAACCACGTTTGACAAAGTAAGGTAAGAATTCTACTTCAATTGTCAACTTGCTCCCACCATTTTTACTTCCTTAACATGTATAACAACTGGATCTATTTTCGTACGAAGATCGTCTCTAAGTTCTTTTAAGTATATATATATGAGCGATGTGGAAAGAAATTCCAGGCAATCGACATATTCAGAGTTGATGAACCAGTTCAGACTCCTAAAAGATATTGTGCGCCGTACCTATAGCACAGAACCATTTTGTTTGACCGAAGATGCCTTGGTTCTTGATATTTCAAAGATCGCTCAAATTGCGTCTCCATTGTATTCCGGTTCTAGTTCAAATCAGAAGATTAGAAATTGGTTCTCAATCAAAATTTTAACATTTCTGCTCAGGATTGAAGATGGATGCAAAATTTACAAAATTAACGATTTTCGCGATGGCTTTCCAAGAAATTGAAAAATTGAAAATTCAGCAATTTTTGGTATTTTACAAAACTTCTCTCCCTTTGTAATGTAAATATCAACGAGTGCTTAAAATTTTATTACAATGCAAGCATCTAAACGGAAAACATTTTTCCTTTAAGTCATTTGAATCTCTATTTGCAGGTTTTTAGGAGTTTTCGAAATTTTCCGTTCGTCGAAGAAAAAGCAAAATAGGATCCTCCCTCCAAAATTGTTTCTCTTGGCGGTGAAATAATGTAATTTACACTTATCTATATTGCGAACATAACCCTTTAGAGTGAAAGATGAAAAGAAGTTAAAAAGGATATGAATTATTATCATTTTCTTTTCATTTGATGTTAGCTATATTCTTGTCAAAGGTGTGGCTTGCAAGGAATGAAGTCGATTGTGTTTCTTTTGGCAATTTATCTTATGGCGTCCAGTGATGGTAAGCTGATTTTTATATTCGAGTTTTCCATTTCTTCAGTATGTAAGTTAACTGAAAGTCACTTACAGAAACATCAACGGAGGCATAACATTATTTATTGAACTAAGGAGAGCTCTTCATGCCGTTGAGACTACATAGATGGGCTTGCTGTGCTCTAATTTCTAGCTAATGAGTTGCCGTGATTCGCGAGTAATACTGAAGTATTACTCGCGAAGCGGTTTTTTTCAATGTTACTAGCAACGTCGTTAAAAATGTAAATAGTCCATAGTAATCATCTTGAAGTGAGACTTCTGCTTGTTAAACAGGACACCTTCGCCGCAAGAATCCGCCCGCCTCGAAAGAAAAGTGCGAAAAGCTTCTCGAAAGTGCAACGTACGAGACGTACACCCTGATGGAGCTGAACTATAACTTATCTTGCTATCCTAAAGGTTGGAAAAACTTCTTTTTCCAAGAAGACGTTATCCAGATGGTTAAAAACATATCTGATCGACTCCAATACGACTCTCAAGTCCAGAAACGTGGAATTAATCCAAAGATTGGATGGGTCTTTAGAGCACTCAACATGGTTCCACTTGATCAAGTGAAGGCCATAATTATAGGGCAAGATCCAGCTCCACAACCCGGTCTAGCAACCGGGCTCGCGTTCAGTCTTGACGAATCGGTCCACCCCACTGAGGTACCAAGTGTTCAAAGAGTGATCCTTGAGGCACGGAATGAGGGTTACTGCGTTGATCCAGAAAAAGGCGTTTTAATAAGCTGGGCCGAACAAGGAGTTGTCCTGCTCAATACAGCTCTGACCTTGATTCAAGACGAAATAGGCTCGCACATTGACGTATGGGCAAATTTCACCGATAATCTCATCGACTACATCAATGAAAACGCTAGTCCATCCGTATGGATCCTCTGGGGCTGGAACGCTAAACAGCTGGAAGATAAGATCGACCATAGCAAGCATTATGTCCTCAAGGGAGGCCACCCCTCACCCAATGCAGACGGGAAATACTTCTTCTGCCAGAATTATTTTTCTTGTGCAAACGACTGGCTGTGCAGAGAGAATCGTGGTATGATCGATTGGAACCTAGTTTCTCTGCCCTGCCAGAAGCATACCAGTCAGAATTATGTTAGAGTCACCGGTTATCCAGGTTTTACTTATGGGCAGCCTTGTCTAATGCAAGCCTGCCCTGCATTTAAAAAGTGATATTAGAGGGTACTCTAAAATTGTTAGTGTTGCGAACAAGACGTTTTAGCTATAAATGTAAACAGGTGTTAACTAAAGGGAATTTGGTGAATAAAAGTTATGTGCATGTATTTTTGTTTCGTCGCGCTTTTTTGTCAATCCTGCTTCAGATATTCACTTTGTTACTGATAGCGTGTCGTTTCCTCCCCTTCCGTTGGTCTTTATAAGGCGATTTGAGTCGACTAGCTTTGCAGGGCAATAGACCAATTTCGGTATAGACTGTTTTCACATGACGTCACGGCGGCCATATTGTGTCCCAAAACAATGAAACGGCAGCCATGTTGGTGTCCCAAACCAGTCCTTTGGGAGTTGAACTCTTTTCTTATGCAAACGCTTTCTTTTGTTCCAATAAATTTGTATAGATGTTGTCCACGTGAGTGAAAACACTCTATATTAAAAGTCATACTTAGCTACGAGGCTTGGGGGAATAAAACATAAAAAAGGTATTATTCATTATTCATTATCCCCTCGGTCTCGGAGACAGGTAGGAATTTTAATTTTTAATCGAAAGTGATCAATTATAAAGTAGCATCGTGGCTGTAAGCAATTGGTGCATGTCAGCTCTCTATCGTCAAGATGACTGGTGGACATGAATGAGGAATCCGATATACATATATCAAGCAACAGACCCCCACCCCACCATCCCAGAAGCAAAGGAGGTTTATACAAATGGCCTCCATAAGAAAATGTTGTCAAGAGTAGCGCCACATGAAAATCGAAAAGAAATCGTGACCGTCTGCTCCTATTCATTGGAGAACAAGTGCAAATGATATGCAAATGAGGTTTACCAGGTTGATTGGAAAGATTTCTAATGATCTTTTCCTAATCCTAGCAACTTTGGTTAATAAAGAAAATTTAGCCGTTGGGCTGTATTAAAAACAATTTTTGCTGGAGGGATAAGCCAAGGAATGGAATTAACCCTACCACCCTCTCAGCCATATTGCATTGCATTTTGGAAATTTTGAGCCACTCTGATGGCTTTTCACCACTGCTGAGTCTTTTTTTCTAGTATCATGAAAAACAAGAAAGTGACAAAAACTTTTCTACGTTATTATTGACATAAAAAGGCAAGTTTTCCAAGTTCCAAATATATCGTTTTACTAATTATTATTATCAGTTTTTATTTAAAAGGCGTATGTGATTTGTATCCTACTACACACTAGGCCAGCTTCTTACAATGCATTGTATATAATTTTATATTTTTGTGAAGCGACCTCTACTAATGTAACTGCAGTAAAACGCGCCACTCTAGGAATGAACTTCTGTCCCAGAATATATGTCTTGACTAACAGGTTTTTGATAATTATCTAGCGCAGAGCAATAGTCACTTCAGAAAGTGGAGAAACATTTGAGGAGAAGAGATATTGAAGACCCAGTTTTTTAAACTCTAATATAGACGATGCTGTACTGCAACAGTCACTGCTAAACAATGGGCTGAAGAAACAGCTGAGAAATGGGTTGAACTTTTAACAAAAAATAACAGCGAACACCAGGAAGATTAGCCCGTCAAGAAATCTTACCATTTGAGAATAAGGAATGACATTTCAACTGGCATCTCCGACAAATTCCTCACCTCTAGTGGGCTGGAATGCCTACGAAAATGCCCCTCGCCCTGCTTCTTGGAACACTGATTTAATTCTAATTTACTTCAAATTATAACTGTCGTCCTCAGTCATCATAGTCGCCTGGCATCTTGACATGTCTTGCAACAAAGTTGCAGCCACACTCTGGTCGTGCAGAGGTTATACTTTACTATTGTTTGACACTGCTTTCTGTTGTATTTGTCTTTGTTGCAAACGGTCTCTGACACCAAATCTGTAAAATCAGACAGCCAAAGTTTGATCTTGAGTGGCCATTTACATGTTATGTTGGTTTTCTTACGCAATTAACACTGCTTCGGTGATACTTGTTTTATGTGGACCGAGGCAAACGTTAACTAGTGGATATGAAGGTGGCAAAGCAAGGTAAAGGCTGAAATGACTAACACAATTAGTCCAGAAAGAAAGACCTATCCGAGAGAACCTTTGAACACATGCGCAGTCTAGATCCCCGGCAAACCATAGAGTTCATTGTGTTGACCAGTTATTCTGAGGAAAAGACGTCTCTTGTCTATGCTACATGAGAATGATCCGTACAGTTGTGATGGCATCTCAGACCACTTAATTTCACAAAACAACGTCATAATTTCACATCACAGATGCGTAATGTTAATTTTCATCGTGACCCGTTATTTTAGAACGTGTCCATGACCATCAACTTAGATCATTCATTTCGGTTAATGAAACGTTGATTTTGTAGACCTGCAAGAAGTCTTCACCCATTGTATTGTATAATTAAATTTTAGGGTAAAAGGAGGCCAAAATTAGCAAAAAAGTGTTAAGAATCTCTTTATGGATTCTCCAGCAAATGAACTACTAATGGTGCCAATGCAATACCAACCTATTTTGCTGCAATCCTTGATTTTACATTTTCGGGATGACGCTGGTTTTGATCCTGTGTCACAAGCGCTACTGGTTTTTCCATTTAACTTGTTTACACAAAACACTGTTCGTCTTTGCTTTCCCAGACCACACCCAGCAGAACACTGTTGAGGACAAAGAGGAAGGGACAATACCATCTCATTCAAGTGCAAATGCATTAAGACGTAGTATGAAATACTAATGAAAGAATCTGTATTAATGCACCTTGCTGAAGGTACCGGTGTTATTTATATAATTATGATGATCCGAAGGGCGCTAAGGTTTACCTGTTCGAGAGACAAAGGCGTGTCTTTATCAGAACCTGAATACCAACTCCGCGGGAGTTAAAACCACATCGTCTTACTCCACAGACCAATCGAAAGTAAGGTCAATTACAGGACGGTTAGCATAAGATATTCCAACCAGGAGTCCAACAACTCGAATTCCTTGCATTGCCCTACCGCCTGAGATAACGCTGGGACCGGAAAACATTTTAATTTTTAGCATTATATCTTGTTTTTTGAATATGAAGGGCTTTTACTTACACTGCCCCATTCGCCGGTGGTCCAGTGGTAACAAGGCCTTTTAAAGCAGGGTTTTCTTGAAACAGGTCTCTTCCACTGGGCACATTTCCCTTCGACAGGACAGCGTACTTTTCTTAGGTTATATCCCAAACCACAAAGGCCATGGCACTAAAGTGACATAAAGTGATTGTAAATAACAACTCATCTCCCTGTTTTATAGAATAATTTTTCCTCTGTTCAATAAGTATACACTTGTGGTAAGTACTCCACCATCCTGCTCTACTGTCAGTTGGGCAAAAATGTTATCTTTTCACGTAGCAGTTTCACGGCTCAATAAAGGCAACGTCAAATCAAGATGAATCGAATGATAACTGTGACATGGGTGGAGTGAAGTCTTCCACTGAAGCTTTTCTTGCGGTTTCCACCTGTTACCGGAAATTTGTCAGAAGCAGAAAAGTTCACGTGAACATGCAAAGATCTCCGTAACACCGTACAGAAATCCATGGCCTGTTCCATCAACGTATATGTAGCATAACAACATTTGGAACGTTGTAAATCACCCCAAACCCCGCCCCGTTAAAAAAGCAAAGAACTCAGTGAAAGCAGTCAAGATAATCGGGAGGGAACGAGTTAACATGTCTAAAACAATTATCAACCGCTTCGACTAAAATACCTTTCCTGTTTGGAAAGGATAGTAGGAATAGAACAATAAGTTACTTGAACCTTTGCAAGATCATTTTAAAAATAATTTAGATAACATTTACTAGCGTCAGTGATCGACAAATCAACCACTTACTTGTGACCACGGATCCGCCACCCACCCAAGGTGGCACGCTTTCCTGATACAATTTTGGACACCTGAAGGTTTGTCACTGGTGCACAAACGGCTGGGGCTCACACCAATGGTACCATCTGGGGCTTGATGTAAGCAGCGAACTGAACGATATTGCAGGCCCGGTCCACAGGTCTTGGAACACGGATTCCATGGAGAAACCGCCCACCTGTAAATATTATACAGAGTTTTCAATGTCGCCTCCAAACATAAGCCTACTTTAATTTAAAACAAAGGCTGCGGAGTCCGACTGAAAAGACCGATAGACACATGTTTCGGATTAGTTCCCAATCCACACTCCCCTGATAGGACATTAAAAGCATTAAGACACTTTTACTGGTTTAACGACTTAAAAGACTTTTTAGAGGACACAATTCTAATGGATTCTACTTAGCAAACTAAGAAACCTTTGCAAAAAACATGGCCCAGCTTGCTCTATGAATTTAGCGAATTCTAAAAGCTCACGCGATCTGAGAATTTCGGGAAGACATTAGGCTGATTAGAGTTCGCTATATTATGGCCTATAAATCAGGATTTCCACGAGTTCATTTACAGTAGATCGTTTGATTATTAACTTTTATTTGTACTATATTTCCATAGGAAGTTATTAATTTCACTTACTTGAAAATTTGAACATTAAGATTATAACAATTTATGCCTTTCCACTGCGTTTCGTTTAATTTTACAGATATTTCATCATAGTAGCTTCTAGGATTGAATATGCCTACTTGCTTCTTAATCTTTGTGAAGTATGTTAAACTATTTTGCAGACACTTTCGAGAGAAGCGGAAACTGAATCTGGTCTGGCGTCCTCAGAATACAAGTTCATAATTTTTCGGCAGTTGTTCCTTTTTAAGGAAAAAATAACTCCTTGTTCCCAATGCGTGGTCCAAGTGGAAAAAAATTTTACAACTTTACCCGGCCCAACCTAGAAATGACCAAAAAGTGCGATTATATTTGAGAACTAAGGACTGGCATTCTTATGAGATGTGTTAAATGTAACTTTTGCAGATACGTACATTTTCAGCCTTTGTTAGGCAAAACAACCGATTGGAAATAGCCATAAGCTATAATGCATTTCCCAATGAGAGCTTGTGTATGCTGCAAGTTCTACAAGATACACGAAGTGAAGTATTTGAACACTCACACTAGTCTATTCGGCGGTTTTCCGATTACAGTTGTTGAATGTAGTAGTTTGCTTGCGTACATTTGTATCCTTTCTTTTACAGAACAGCCGAGATAGTTCACGTCTAAAGTCCTTGTTGTAGTAACCATAAATTAATGGATTTCCCAGTGAGCTTGTATATGTTGCAAGTCCTACAAGTTCGTTAGCGATTAATATGACTTCAAAGGAGGCATTGTTGAAAATGCCAAAAGATCTCAACATGGCAAAAACAACGGCGGGGCCAACTGATAAAACATATCCAGATACGGTGATCATGAGCATACGAACTGCTTTGCGTTTTGATCTCGCAGCAACTTTGTGCATAATTCCATTGTTGCGTCTTCTACGCAAAGACACAACTATTTTTGAGTACAATAATCCCACAGCAGCTACAGGCAAGGCAAATGCCAACAAAAAATATAAAATGACTGAAAGTTGACCTATCAAATTTTGTGGAATATCACACAGTTTCCTGACTGTACAATTGGTACACCGCGTACCCTGAGTTTCAGGGATTTTTGAGTCCGAAATGCTCTCAACGCTTATAGCATAGGGAATTGATATGATTGAAGCATACAGCCAAACCAATGAAACCCGGAAAAACGTCTTCTTCTTTGACTTGAAACTGCCGAGAGAATGTACTATGTGCTGGTACCTATCGATAGCTATGGCAACCAGGCTAACCAGTATAGCAGAGCCGCAGGTCTCGGATATGAAAGAAATCAACTTGCAATGGACGCTGCTCACTGCCGATGTTTGAACTGTAATATAAATAACGACGGGAAAGATAAGTAGCCTGTAAACCAGTTCAGTCACGGAGAGATGCAAAATGAAAAGATTTGACGTATTTCTTCGGTATCGGTTTTTACGAATCATAACGAAGCAGATGGCTAAGTTTACGATGATCTCCAAAACAATGAGCAGGACGTTTATGGGAAGAAAAGTCGAGAACGAGTATCTTTCTTCTCTGTCATAACGGATCATTGTGACTACCAGGCAAGAGTGATTGTCACTTTCGGATGTGAAACTTGAGTTATTACACTTCAACGACATTGCTGAGATCGAGACAAAGATGAAAAGATCCACTCTACTGGGTTCAAAACGCAACGTTTCTGACTTTCTGACTTTTCAGTTCATTTCACAGGCATGCGCACCAAATTAATCACCAAAGGACGACGCTATCTTCTCCCACCTAGAAACCTGAAAATATGGCTTTCAACGTTATATATTTTTTTGTAAAGATATCAAAATGTTGTTGATGATAACAAGTTCCAACAAAGCAGATGGTTTTTTAAACCAGGAGCTCACCAGCTATGAACTTCTTAAACGTCAGGTCAAAATTAAAACTCCTTAGAACTCGTTTAATTAAAAGCACGTCAAAAATGGCTATCACACTTCCTCCAATTATAGAATTAAAAACTTTTAATGTTAAATCCACCAGTGAAATTTAACCATAACCAAAATTACTTTTCAGAAAAAAAAATAGAAGTTAGAGCACTAAAACCAACAAATACAGAGAACCAGTAAGAAAGCACTAATAACAAGCCCAACATAATTGTCCTCGTCATATTTTTTTTTCACTTACCAGAACAGGAACTTGGAATCATTTTGTCATTAATTGTTTTGAGGAATTTGGACGTAAGGTACAAATGAATTTATAGATACAAACCAATTATCGCCGAACTTCAAGATAAATGCTTTCAGATAAAGGAAGGACCTATCGTTCTGATTTGTAAAAGATCACTCAGGCAAAAGTATTTTATCGAAAGTATTTTCAACACGAGGCACGAAAAATTATCAATTTCAACTAACAAAGTGCAGTATAGAGCCGGCTGTCACTGGGATGTAAAGTCGTTTAAATAAAAACCAGCAATAAGCATATTAGGTTTTTCTCAAGCGCCACAGAACTTTTGTAATTTACAGTCGAGACTTAAAATTGCCGTTTCTATGTCACTGAACCACGTGAATGGGCGCATTAAAGCAATTATAGCACACCGAAGACGCATACGAAGATTTTGCAAAGGCAGAGGGTCGTAAAACAGAGGAAGGAGAAGGGCATACGTGTCGCCTAAGGGGAGGTGGGAGGGCCAAAAATTATAACTCGGCTAACAACGGCGTTAGTTGGCAAAAGAGACCGAAAAGACGGATAACTGGCTTAAATAGGCAAAAGGACTCTCGAGAGACTTCTAGCCGATTGTCTATGTAATGTCCTGGGGTGCTTCGAGGTTACCAACATTGCGCGAAGGCAAAATCTGTGTTTAAATGTATTACAAATGTAACATAAGGTAACTTTCGTGACGTAATATAGAATATGACGATAGAGGATGAACAGGTGACGAACAGGTGACACAGAAAAGAGAACCCACAAGCCGTGTGCGTGTTTGTGAGTCACGTGCTAGCTCGTGCTCATCCCGTCTTTAACCAACCGTCGGGTGGATTCATTTCCATGCACTTATTCAATATCTCGAAAAATTTATCATGTAAAGTCGGGATTTCAAATTCTTTATGCAGTAGAACAGTTTAGGGCCTTTTTTTAAATTTGGAGGTGGGGTTCGAACATTTTAGGTCAATTACGGTAATTCATGACATTTGAAACAAAAAAATAACCCGCGTTTACATAAAATCGTTGGAACTAACGGCGAAAATAATCCCGGGGTGCACTTTTGTAAGATTATTGAATGGTCCTAAGCCATCTTTAGGTTAAACAAGAAAAATGCGAATGGCAAACCACGAAGTTTTTGCGATTAATGACACTTTTCAAACTCAAATCTCAAATCTTTATTTTAACCCGTAAAAATTCATCAGGTTTTTTATTGTTAACTTTAATCATAATGCAAAAGACACTAATAAATGAATTTTGCGCGAATTTGATGAAAATCACGAATCCGACCCCTGCCATGGCGGGTTAAGTTTAATGAAACGTTTAAAATGACAATTTTCTTGACCCCGGCTGAGAGGGTAACCCGGTCTGTTCCAGACCGGGTTACCCTCTATGGCGGGTAAACTCCTATTTTAGGTAAACGTGATCAAATGAAAATGGGAGATTATATGGACAGGCGGGTTACCTCACCTACCTGGGGTCCCCCACCTCCATGTAAACAGGCCCTTAGTTCACTTTTTTGAAGGTAAATTTCCTTTATGCAATCGAATTGAGTTCGAACTATTTTTCGTAAATTACGGTAATTCATGACATTTCTAAACAAATTGAACAGCCCGCGCGCTTAGGTAAAATCTTTGCTCGTTGGAACTAATAGTGAAAATAATCCGGCATACAAGTGCTTTCAATTGCAATTGCGTAAGAAAGACCTCGGCCATCTTTAGGTTATTTTACATACTGTAATTTCGAATGGTGAGCGGAAATGAACTGTTTGTTATGTGTGACACTTGCGGAAAGATAGCTTATAGGATGATAATTTAAAAAATTGAAAGTAGGTGTCATAAATATCTTAGAATAAGCAAATATTTCGGGTGTATAAATTAACCTTCTTCTGTGCACAGAAAACCGTTGTAAGTCAATCGTCCAGCTTAGCTCCGGCTGCTTTGTCAGCCGGCGGGAAAATTGTTTGAGCCGTCAATACTTTTTTTTTCCTGAAAACTCGTTACTAAAATAAAAATTCACTCTTTTCTGTCTGTTCTTCTTGTTGCCGTTTCCTTGAAAGATTTTCAAAAAGAAAAAGTGAGCCTCATTCCATTTTTCTCATTGAACCTTTGTTAAAAGTGAAATACTCCATAAAACTCTTATCCTTGTTTTATTTCCATTTATATAGTCCAGACGTGTATTAAAGTTTATTGATTCATATTGTATGAGTGAAGGGAACGATTGGTTTTTGACAAGGCCTTTTGCAGACACAAATGGTGTTAGCTGATTTGTACTCCAATCTGGTATTACGTTTCCATTGGCTGGATATCTTTCCTTTGACAGTTTGGCAACGTCTTGGATAAACTTTGTCAGCCAGTAATTAAGGCTTAAAGCGTCCATTTGAACTAAAGAAACTTCCAAAAGGACTGAACTTTGTGCAGATCATAATGTTTAAAGAGACCGCCCGGTTCCAACGTTGCAACTTTTGGAAATCTAGCTCTCCGCCAATCATCATATATACCAGCTGCCCATTTGCTTTCATATCAGTAGCACTAACGAAACACGTTTCTTCTTCTTCACAAGTTTCAAGACGTCTAAATCTGCACTCTGCCATCTGTATTGCGAAGCGACGTGTTTGCTCAGAAGTCCTAAACAGCTAAGTAACAACATGACCTTGAATGCAAATGAAATACTTGACTTGCTACAAGTTGAGTCGACCTCTCATAAGTTCTTAAAAGTGGGCGAAGGAAACCTCAATGCATGAGGTCGCGCAGCGACCGAGCGAGCGACGAAGTCTTGAGGTTAAGTAATATTTTACTAGTTTTTTAAAAAATCAATTACTAAATAATAATTGCGTTCGATGGAGGAGGGTTCGGGGGGGGGGTGGGTGGATAGTGAGTGGTAGTGGGAAGGGGGTGCAAAACCTGATGGGCTTGTGCAAGAGCCATAAAGGGACCATTATGGCTCTAATGGCTTGTAATGTTGAGAAATCAAAATCAAACGCTTTTATCAATATGAATATCAGCAGCTGCCTCTATCAGTGTTATAATTGTTTATCCTCCCACTTAGCAATTAAATTAACAATTCAACTCGTTTTTCCTCAAAAATGCAAGAGCGTACTGTACTTTTAATATTTACTTGGCTAAGGATATTCTTTTGCACTATAGAATGGTCAATAAAATTGGCTAAAAATTGGGATACAGAAAATTAAAGTTATATGAAAAGTTTAAGCGTCGCGTATCACTCTAAACTCTTGTTGTGTGACACTAGGCTAACACGACTCACAATAGCACTGTTTTCAAAATACATTACGCACCCGGAATTAGTGAGATAAAAAGGTCAACGTTTCACTGTTCAACTTCTTGTATATTTTTCAAAAATGGTGACAAACAAAAGCAAATACAACGCTGTAAATATCTTTTAAAAGCGAAAAGATGTTCAGTAATTTGTAATCGAATTAAATCTGGTCGATCTAAGCTGATCTTGCTTGAATTCATAAAAACAAATACAGTGTGCAGGACACATTGTTAACATAACATCTACACATCCGATTATCTTAGAATGGAAATTTTCCTTTATAAAAAGAAACTTAATAGAAAACTGCGAAACTATAAACAAAACTGTAGTAAACAGAAAATCACCAACGTTTCATCTGCGAACGAGTGTCAGAAAATAGATACCTTCTCCCGGGCGCGAAAAACTGATCACATGACATCGAGGCAAAATGTGCCAGGCCAGCCCAAGATCCAAGATGGCGTCCAAACCGTGAAATCGCATGGCATACGGAACGGTTACTACATCATGTACGGTACACGAATAGTAAGTGTTCTCCTTCGTCGAACGCAATAAATTCACGCGGGAAAAAATGATCGACATATGCTGTGTCGGGAGCGGCGTAAAATGTCACTCACTGTGCTACAGATGGTTTTCACAATGACGTCATCAAATTGTGAAGTCAAAATACCGAGGTTTTACGATCGAGAAGTGAACTCCAGATGTTTTTGTTGATTTTTGGCGGCCATTTTGGTGCACCAATATGGCGTCTCCATACAGAGCTCTACAAAGGTGCGTGAAACGTTTCGGCAAATAACTCAGAAACTGTGGGCCACAAAGACCTGAGACTCGGACAAATTATTTATACCTTAGTCTTTTATAACATCTCATTTTCTTGGCTTCTTCCACTGGACGGTTTCCAATTTATTTTTTTGTTGCGTGACAGTGAAAACGATCTATTGGTCAATTGTCATGACGTCAACGGTAGCACTTTCGACCGGTGAATTTCGCTCCAAACAGGCATAAACAACCAGAAAAAAAAAAAAGAACTTTAATTTAGAAAGTCTAATGAAATACTAGAGTGTTTACGGCAAACGTGAGATTCAAGAGGAGAAATTTTCAAAATGAGAAATGAGTAGACAAAAACCGTTATTAAAACAATTCTTATGGATAGAATTGGCGTGAATCTATCGATTTTCTCGTGCAATTATAAGGAACAGTAAACGACAAATAAAGGGGAAACTTCGTAGCCTGAAATTCATCCGATTGCTTCTAGTCGTTTTCTCCTCTCAACAACGTCTGAATCGACGGGCCGTTAACGCCGTCCAGTGACGTCACTCAGTACCCGAAAACCGGGAAGTGATTTTGATTGGTTGATTGTCTAAACATTCGCATAATTATGTATAATTATGAAAAAATTTAGCGGTATTGGCGCTTGATATTCAGCTGATCGCATCCCTGGCATTCTTTCTTGAAGTTCAAACATTTCAATAAGCTTAATCTTTATCTTAAACAGCAAAATTGCCCTTGTCTGCGAAACTGAAATGCTAAATTGAACGGCGAATGAAGAATCATTGCGGAGAGTCGGTAGGTTTTTCATTTAGAGCCGCTTTACGGTTTCGGCGGCCGGTGATTTTGTTTGCGCGAAGTTTTCTGAGATCAGTGTTATAATTCGACCTTCTTGCTGTTTTCACCGTCAAGTGTAATGATTCTGTTAGCTTTCCTTTCTTTTTTCCTTGTTTTTTCTTCGTCAAGGACCAAATAGCTTCTTTTCAATCAAAGCAAATCATTATGTTTTTGAACTAAGTGTTTCGTGTGTGTGTGTGTTCATTTCATTGCGTGATTGCGACCGACTTTGATTATAGAATTCAGTACAACCGGTTCAGCGTTGTACTGCATGCAGTTGATAGTTTGAACTTTAAACATGAATTACGATCGAAAAAAATAAAGCAGTTCTGTATCATGCAGACATTTCCAAATGATATTTCTCGGTTTGCCACTTGAAAATCGTGTTTTACTTTTTGCATGAATTAAAGCAAAGGTCAAGGAGTAGTGACGTCACTGGACAGCATTAACGGCTTGTCGATTCAGACGTTACTGAGGGAGTAATAACGACTTGAAGTAATCGGATGAAATTCAGGCTAGAAACTTCGTCACGTGGTACAATTTCGCGTTTCCCGTCCGCGTAAACAAAACGCGATGCTTGATCTCTCTAATATCACACACCAGCAAGCATCAAGTAGGTGACAGGTTTACAATCCACGCCTCGAATAAAATGATAATTTCTACTAATTTTCTGCGTTGGCGAAGTAATTTCAAAAACTTGTGCTTCGGGTTTCAGACCTGCAACCTCCTGGTCTCAAACGTTTTCTTGCGTTTGGAAACCTGATGAAACCCTCACACTCGTTTTTGAAATAGTATTAGTATGTTAGTTTTGAACTATTAAAATTCTGACTCAGGGATAATTAAATAATAAACATTTTATCATCATCACAAACTTTACATGAAGTTTTATTAACCTTACCGTGTGCTTCTATATATAATTCCTTTTCTGTCCATAAAAGGGCACGATAATGGCAGCAAAAATTAGCGCAAATTACCATCTCCAAAGATAACTGTTTTAAACTAAACTAGAGATAAAAGTTAAAAAGAATATCTTAGCTTTTTGGACTGGTTCCACATCACATAAAAAAGTTTTTTAGCTGTCTTTATGTTTTTAATGGTGCATCAATTCGCATACGTCCGGTTTCCTGATGCATATGTCCATGTGAAAAACAACTACAACTCCAACCCAAATTGGTGATCACACTGTCATTTCCAACTAGAGTGCTCGCGGCAAGGTATCACTACTTTTTTTAGTATTTGTCAATGTTAATGTGCAAGAATCAACCTTTTTTGTTCCTCTTTTGGGAAACAGTCGCACAAGTTCTTTCCGAAAGTCCCCATTGTAATATGCGTAAATTATAGGGTTTCCAAGCGAACTTGTAAAGGCTGCAAATTCCGCGATCCAACTGACCAACAACATAACATCAAAAGACAGGTTGTTAAGGACACCAAAGGATCTTAACATTGCTAAAAAAACGGATGGTCCAAGAGAGAAGACATATCCTAGTACAATTAAAACAAGCATTCGCACTGCTTTAGTCCTTGATCTCGCCGCCACTCTGTTCATCATTCCATTATTGCTTCTTTGATGCAGAAAGATAGCGACTTTGATGTACAACACGGATATGATCATCAACGGAACGACAAATGCACAAAGAAAATACAAGGTGGTCGACGAGTGACCCAGCACATTTTGTGGAATATCACAAATTTTCTGGTGAGCGCATTCGTTGCACGACATCCCGCGGGCCTCGGGAATCTCCAGAACAGAAATGCTCTCCACGCTGGCCACAAATGGGCACGACAGAACCGTAGCACACAGCCAAAGAAGGGAAACAAGTAAAACAGGCTTTCTCCTTGACTTTAATTTTTGCAAAGGGTGTACAATGTTTTGGTACCTGTCTATAGCTATAGCAACCAAGCTGCCAAATATGACAGTAGAGCATGTCTTTGAAAAGAACGCTATAGCTTTGCACTGGATGTCTGTTATTCCTATTGCCGGAATGGCAAATATTACAATGATGGGAAAGACGAGAAAGCGGTAGAGGAGCTCAACCATGCACAAATGTATGATAAAGAAATTGGAACCGTTTCTATTATAACGTTTTTTCCGTAGCATCAGATAAGAAATGACGGAATTTACAATAATTCCCAAGATGATAACAACTGCACTTATCGTAAGAATGAACATGAGCACGTTTCTTGCATCCTCGTATGAACGTATAAGAAGAAATATTGAGCTCTTGTGAAAAGTTGATGATCCAGTCGAGTTAGTGTCGTTTGCTTTGGAAGATGGTATTTCTACGACCATTGTTAACAATAGTCCCTTAAAAAATATCCGAGATTGTCACACAAAGCAACTAGAAGTCGACTGTGGAATACAATAAATATCACCCTAAATGAAAAACGTCACCTTTTTTCATACAAACGGGAGCTGAAGAGATTTATTTAACCGTGGACGTAAAAGTGATGTCCAATTCTTGTCAAATGAGTTCCCAAAAGGTCAAGCAGCAAATCCTTCTCTTCCAAGTCGGTCATTAAATTTGACAAACAAGAAGATGGTAGAACACGTCCTTTTGTCTCCAAATGATTTTTTTCATTTCTTAATTTATCTCCATAATTTTGTTTTCTAGTTCGTGGCCCTTGGTGTTTACTGTCGTAGGATTATCTTTAGCGGCTGGGTTATAGAATGTGGCACTGTGTTCACCCACGAAGTATTATATTTGGCCGCTAAAATTTGCGTCCCTAGCTTGCCTTCCAGTTACTTACTGACTTAGCGTGCTTATCTGTTACTGAATAAAATACCGTACAGAATTTAAAGGGGATAGTCTTGGGGCAATAATTATACAGTACATGTTTGCCTCTGTGTCATTGGTGCCCAGTACACCTGCTGTATAAATACTATTAGCATTTGTCATAAAAGCTATAAAATTATAAAATAAAGATAATTAACTGTAAAAATTGCTGACCTCCATGATTAGAACGGAAATTGGCAAACTAATCAAAAACAGAATTATCACTTGGCTATACAACAGTTTCTCACTTGGCTATAGGTCCAAGTATATTTGCCCTCAGGTTTCACTTTTTGTCATCTAACAATCAGTGCATAACTATAAAATGCTTATCAATAAGTTATGTTCTATGGTGGGTTTTTCTGTATTTTTTTTTATAATTTTTGAGACAGCAAACTCTCACTACCACTGGTCGTGGTTGTAATTGATTATTTATAGGGTTAATTTTTAGGGTTTCTTTTGAAAAGCAATCGAACCAGTTCTTTCCGAAACTCCCCGCTGTGATACGCATAAATTAAAGGATTTCCAAGCAATCGCGATTATGATTGGAAAGGCAAGAAAGCGGTAGAGGAGTCCTACCACGGCCAAATGCATAAAAAAATTGAAACCATTCCTTTAATTTTATACCTATTTTTCCCGTAATATTACAAAAGAAATAACCGTGTTAAAAATTATGTCTAGGACGATAACAACTGCATTAATAGTTAAAATAACTGCGAACACGATTCTTGCTTCCTCGTATGAACGAATAACAAGGAATGTTAAACCAGGGCCATGTTTCGCCGTTACACTTGAATCCGTTGACGTCTTCGTCGAACACTGGTGATCATCAGCCATTGTGTACCGTTCTTGTGTGTACAATTTTAGCAGTATTTAATAAAAATGAAGGGATCAGGAGTGTATAATGCCGATAAGTAGCTTTTTAGTTTCTTTCCGAACTAAGACCCCCTTTTTACCTGTGGTCAGACAGCAATCTGCGGTCCAAAACGCTTCCCAAATGCAAATCTTTCTGGCTTTTCGACCAGCGCGATAGGTTTGATGATCAATATCCTAGAATCACACCTCTTGTTTTGTGTCTTTAACTAATTCCTATTTTCCTCTAGTTTTTAAGTTCCTGCGAAATGACAGCCCTTCCTTGGTCTCCCAGGTAGTATTACCTTCGATAATCTACTTCCCGATCTTATGTTTTCCTTATAAAGCCAAGCTTGTGTGCGCGCCATTTAATTAATAAAGTTGAAATGGATCCAAGGATGCCACTGTAATTTTCACTGCTTTTTTCGGCCTCTATTGGTTTGTTCATTATACCTGCTGTTAAAATACACTTAGAGTTTCAAATAACATCTATCTATGAAAATATAATTAACATGATAATTTCTGCCTTCCTGAAGGAAAGTAAACCAACTACCCAAACAAAGAGGTCATTTTATCGGTGAGCTGAAATTGCCAGCTGTCATTTCGACTGGAAAAAGAAAAAAGCAATTAACTGCCGCCTGAATCGTAAAATTTAAGCGGAGCTCCAAAGCGAATACAAGTAAACTTCGAAAAATAACACCGTGACAAGTACAATTGAACCTGACCATTAAGCGGCCACCCTCGGGCTACCAGCAAGTGGCCGGTTCGTCATAAAATTTTTAAATAACCATAGCCTTTAGCAAAAACCATCACATTATTTTGAAACAAACGCCCGACGGTAGAAGCATTACTGGTCTACAATAGGTCGTCCCCTTCTATCTCGGACTGGTTTCATCGTATTCTAAAAATGAAGCTAAACCAAGTGTATCAAGCGCTCGATGGCCGCTTAGTAGAGGTGACAACAATGAGAGAACTCTCTTTGGGATGGCCAAAATGTGACCACGGCCGTTTAATCGAGGTTTCATTTCCCAATCTTTTCTAAAATTACTTCGGGACCTTGATTACTTGCCGCTTAATCGAGGGTGGCCACTTAATATAGGTGGCCGGCTTGATCAAAATTCAACTGTACGAAGCCTTAAGGAACTGCAAAAGAGAGTTGCCACAGAAACCAATTACAAAGAACATTTACATCCAAATTGTTATTCTAAAAACGGTAAAAATCAAAGTATGAATCAATTCTTGAAGCTCGAGATTAACTTTAACGCATTTGATTAAAACCACCAAGCCGATATACTTATCCAGTAGAAACGCACCGTGCGACTAGCTCTTGTGAGCGACCGCCTCCAAAAAGCGACCACCAATTCAAAAGAAGATGTAATGCTGATTTTTAGTTGGAATCAATCGTAAGAAGACCACCTAAGCCATGGTCTGATCTCTATGTTCGGTGTATGGTAACTATACTACTCAGAGTATACGAGGAACAACTGTAAGAACTTGTTCCTTAGTGCCAACATGTAACACACATATTGTAATTTAGAAATTGCATGTAATAAATTCTCTTCCAAAACGTCAGAACCTCTTCTCGGAAGAGACTCGTTAAAATTCTCGTAGGCGACTAAATGGAGTATAATGATGATGGAAAATACAGTTGTTAAAATTTATTTCATATATCGCAAACGAGGAGGCTTTAGCCCTTCCAAATTATTTTTGTGAACTAAAATATATTAAAATAAAAAAGGACACATAAGATATGCATATACAAGCTAGTTTATTCTTAAAGCTATGCTTGTAACAACTACTGCATTATTTTTGCGTCAGTTAGTGCACGAAAAAACGGCCTTAGAAGTAAACCATATATCTCAACGCTGGTTACGACATAAATAAATTCCAATTAAACATTTAACGACAAGAACATTTTTCGTTCCCGCAGACAACCGGCTAACAAACCAAAATCATCTTCGAGTTAAATAGCTTGAACTTTAAAAAACTCCTCGACAAAAGATTTTTCCGTTCTCCGCCTTTCTCTCTCTCAACACCAAAACGAAAACGGAGTGTTCTTTAAACCTTACTGTTTATATTTAAGTTCGCGGTGAGTATGAAAAAAAATGTCCCAACCATGTCATAGTATGAACACAAAGTTATTTGTAGTGGTCTAACAACTGATGGGCATCAGTATGCAAGCGAAAGTTCGGGCCGACTTAATCAAACTTTTTGAGTTTGCACCTAGCCTCCTGAAGGCTATAAAGTGACCCCGGAATCGCTTATACCTCGAGCTGAGCCTAATTCAAGAATGAAGCAAAACGCTCCTTGCTTCGGATATTAAAGCTTACTACTCTAGATCGAACCAGCAGTGGCTCGATATTTTTACGGAAAGTATTTTCCAGCTAAAATAAAAACAAACAAATTAGTCTTAAACAAAAGCAAAACCCTGAAAGCATGATTGTGTATTTCGTTTCGTAGCGGGGGTAAGAGAAAAAAGACCATATGGCAGAAAGCTCTTGCTTTTAATTGTTCGTATTAAACTGATGATTAGCAACCCTGTAGAGAATGCGACCAGGCGTTACTTAAGTTCAATGGACTGAAAAGATGTACTGTTGTTATTTTTCCTGGAAAAACAAGACTTCACAAACTCCTTTCTGAAGTCCCCGTTATAATAAGAATAGATAACAGGATTTCCAAGTGAACTCGTCAGCGTCACTAGTTTTATCGCCCAGCTCGCTTTAAGTATGCTTCCAAACGACATGCCATTGAGATACCCGCAAGATCTCACCATCGCGTAGACAGCGGCAGGGCCTAACGACAGCATATACCCAAATACGGTCAGAATGAGCATGCGCACTGCTTTAGATTTTGCCCTTGCTGCAACTTTGTGCGCCATCCCATTGTTGCTTCTTTTATGCAAACAGATTGCAATTTTTGTGTATAGAAGAAAAATGACAGTCACAGGGAGAAGAAAAGCGAAAATGAAATACGAAATTGTTGAAAACTGACCCATTAAGTTTTGTGGTATGTCACACAATTTTCTAGGCGTGCAATTTTCACATTCCATTCCTTTTGCTTCTGGAATTTCACTCACAGAAATAGTTTTCACGCTAACCACAAAAGGACATGTTATTATTACAGCGTACAACCAAACTAGAAAAACCAGATGAAGAAGTTTCCTCTTCTTTTTCAAACATTTCATCGGATAAATGATATTGCAATACCTGTCCAAGGCAATGGCAAGCAAACTAACAAAAATGACCGAAGAGAAGGTGTTCGAAAACAATGTTAAAATCTTGCATTGGAAGATTTCGGTTCCTTCTGTTGAAAGTAGAGAATGTAGCAAGAGTGGAAAGAGAACCAGGCGAATGGCAAGCTCTGTGAAAGTTATATGAAAAATAAAGAAATTTGAGGCGTTTTTCTTGAAGCGCTTTCCTCGAAGCATAACCAGCGAAACAGCTCCGTTTACGAAGATTCCAATCACGATTAACACTATATACACTGACAGAATTGTCCCAAAAGATACCGGTGCTTCCTTATAAGAGCGTATAAGAAGGATTATTTGACCAGTGTTGTGGAAATCGCCCTCAGACTCATTATTACCTTCGCTTTTCGATTTTCCTGTCGCCACATCTGGCTGACAGGAATGAGTTTTCACTTCCATGGCTTTAGGCAGTTAACTATACAAGGTTTTTAGCTTCCTTTTTTGCTCTCTGATTTCAGTGGTATAAACGTTGGCGATCCGCGGAAGGAAAACAATGATTTGCCTGTAAAGTGGGCTGTTCTTTCTATCAGGACAAAGTTTATCAAGCTTGATGGGTCTTTGCTTACATAATGGCAAACCAGCTGTATATTTATTATTCATTGGTACAATGTACTAATTAAAATATATATTGGATTAAAATTTTCTGAGGCAAAAAAAAAAAACAATAAACTTACAGCTACAGAGCACTAATTCCAACATAGGGTGTAACTGAGTTGATTTTCCTCTTTCAATAAAAATGGTTAAAAAGCAACTGAATATTAATCTTTTAAAAATAATAAAAAAACTCAAGATGAAATGGTGCATATTGTTTACCTACGCTTCATCTTCAATGAATCTTTCTGACTTTGACAATTAGTGCTTTTGAATTTATGTCATATGTGGTTGTGAATATTACTTTCAGTCAAAATGCATTTACCTAAACATTTGTCCGTCATCTTAAATGTTTACTGCATTCTTTCCATGCACTAATGTTGTTAGTAGGTAGGTCTTACATTTCTACATAATTTGAAAAAACACTCACAGACAGTCATGATTTTTTTTCCTTTTGTCCTATTAGAAGGAACGAGCTCTTAAAAGAGAAGAATTAAAGAAACAGAAAAAAAGATTTTATGAGAGGGAGAATAATTGACTTGAAACATAATATTAGTTGTCTTGGACGATAAAAAAGATCAAACCCTATGACACATTTATTATTTACATTGAATCGGTGTAAAAAATGATAATGATAATGATAATTAATATTATTATAATGATAACAATAATAATAATAATAATAATAATAACAACAACAACAACAACAACAACAAAAAGGGTAATAATATTGATGATAATATGCAACTTACAAAACTGATCAACATAGAGAAGAGGGCGGAAGAACCTTACGACAACACGTCCCCAAATACGATCTCAATGATCATGCGCAATTCCTTACACTTTACCCTTGCCGCAACTTTGTGGGTCACACCATTTTTACTTCTTTTGGACACACTAATCGCGATTCTTAAGTGCATGTATAAAAGAAAAATATATGAAAGTAGTAAAAACAAAGGCCATTCGAAGGCTTTGAAATACATACCATATTGGACACGGATTCACGTTACAAACTCGCTCTTCCTGCCGTGGTTTAGTGGCTCCTTTACAATAGAAATCTTTAACCAAAGAGATGTTTCCTCTGTAAAAACGGATACATTTCATTCTCAAACTTTTCCTGATACCTATGAAAAAAAAAAAAGAAGAAGGAGGAGGCCATTCAAATTACGTCGACAGACTTTCATAGGGGGAACTGCAGGAATTTTTCATTTTCCACGAATATATGAGTATATGACTTAAGGTGACTCGATAGGGTTTTTTCAGAAGCAACACCTCCCAAGTGTGAGCATTTTGATTTGTGCTGTTATAAATCTTTGTCAATAACGACGAAGTTGATAATCAAACCTGGTGGTTATTGCCCCTGAAAAACCCCATCGATCCACCTTACTAACCAGGTATGGATTATATGATAAACACTGACGTTCACTCGTGTTATCTCTTACCTCCACCACAATGCACGTTACACTCGCCATAGCCTCCGTGCACCCATCCATACGAGACTTCACGCAGAAGCGGATGCTGTTTAGTTTTTCCGTTGCTTTCCCTTTTGTTGTGGAGTGGTATGGAGTAACGATACTCCACACCAAAGTTGAAACCATAATAGAGGACCTGTTACAAGTGACAATGCTAAGACGTTAATATAAAACGTTATAGCACCTCCCATTTAAAACTTCTAATACACTGTACTAACCATGTTTCATGTTTTCGATTTTTTCCAAATCAGTCGTATCTCTGTATAGGTTAGTTCTTATATAACGTAATAAATTTAAAAAAATAACCTGTTCTTCCCCACGCGTCTTATCCCAAGCTCTTCTTAACGTATTCGTGAATGATATAAAATAAATCTGGCAAGTAAGGAAGAGTTTATGGAGCGAATATTTAAAATAGCCCACTTCCGAGTTCCAAAAACCCTCACTTTCAAAATGAGGCCAAGTTCACAACCTTTCAGGGTCGGCCAGGGTTTGGGGGTATACGGTATATTAGGGTATTTAATTTCAGGTATACAGTATTTTTATGTTTAAAATTGGGTATAAAGTATACCGAGTTTTTCTTAGTTTTGGTATTTTACACAAGTTTTAGTATAGTTTTTGGTATGTTGGAAGGTTTAATTCAGGTATTTTGGTATTCCACTACCCCCTCCCTCCCCCCGGCCGACCCTGACCTTTCTTGTGAAAATGAGTTTTATTTGCATGGGAATCAAAAATCATTTCCTCATCAAAGGCTGAGCACCTAACCTCGTTTACAGAGGCCCGGGGGGAACTCCGAAATAGCCTATTGCCAAGCAAGTAAGGTACCATAAGCAACACTACAAAATCGAAGGGGACACGATATAGTGCATCGTTCTCAAAACACTAAGTATTGAGGATATGAGCAATGGACAAGGTAGGTAAAATGATATTCCATATATATGGGGATAGTGTGAACGCAAAACTAACCATGATGTGCAACGGCTCATTTATCGGCCCACGGGCGATGATCTTTTCCAATGTTCCCTTACGCAGGTATCGGAATACTGTTCCGTCAGCTTTGACGTCACCAGGAAGTTGAATTCTCCAGTTCCCATTAATATAATAGGTGCCGGCATCTGCTCTGAGGGCTAACCATTGATTAAGACATAGGTCATGAAACAACACTTCTACTCGTTGAACCTTTTTGTTTACGGCTTACTAAAATAGCTCATGTTATTAAAGACGATCATTAAAAGAAAGTTAGCGGTAAGAGCTCCGTATATTTTTGAAAATTGATTATCAGATCCTTTGTTTTTTGCAAAAGAATAACGTGAAACTTAAACTTTCTCTCCTTATGTATACTTGCGATTAATTTATTTCCATTTGTTTATCAAGGTAAAGGAGAACCTCACCGAGAAAACTCGTGCAGGGTTTGGATTCCCGTACAGTTATACTTCTAGCTCCTTTAGGGATGACAGCAGCTTCAACATAACCTGTTGTGATAGAAATAAACTCCACTAGAAAATTTTGAGCTTCAAAGAGATTCAGTATAAACTATTTGTCCTAAAATTTCTTTACAGAGGGTTAGACTTTATACAGTGACACCTAACAAAGTTAATCATATGAATGATTATCGAATGTCAAAACCAAACTTATAAAAATCTTTTTAAACTCGCAGATGAGAACGTTCGCAGACCAAGTGACCTGGATGCTGGATATACAGCTTTGTCATGTTATGAGGAGGATGACTCGATACTACCAGACTGATTTCCACTAGTTAACTCCCTTAAATTGGGCTAAGTTCTCCATATGCAAAATAGCGTCTATTTAGCATTCAGCGTCAAAAGAGCGCCTTCATTCTAGTAAGTCTTTACCCTGAAGCACTAAATACTACATAAGACCCCACTAGTGGGGCGTATAGAAGTTTAAGCATGTCTAACATCTTTTAAAACAAAACTGAATCAAACGCGCAAAGCATTCTAGGTTAACAAGAAAATTAAACCGAAAACTGATAGAAGTAAATTCATACCTGATCCGGCCAACTGATTGAATCTTCCTTCTACTGTACGACAACTCGTTCCGTTTCCTTTACAGACACCGCAAATATCCTCTTTTGCTCCGGAACCTATTAAATGGTCACAGCCAACATCCTGATACAGATAGACAAACAGTGATACTTCGAGGCAGTTTTTTCCGCGATGCAGATGATAAAATATTCGAAAAATAATAGACCCAGAAGTGAGTGAAGGGTAATAAATTCTTTAGCCTTGGTTAATTCTACCAGTATTTGATACCCATCGCACATAATTATACAGTCAGGTAAATTTAAATGAGACATTTCCGAGTTCCAAAAACCCTTACTTTCAAACAAGGCTAAGTGCAAAACTTTCCTTGTGAAAATGAGTCTCATGCAAATGTTGATAGCTTCGCACCTCGCCTCGCTTTGAAACAGAGGCTTGGGGTAACTTGGAAATGGCCTATTACCAGAAAACACAAACGCATACAGCGGCCAACGAGTGTCGTGTCCAGTTTCTTATGGACTGTGCTGATTTTCATTCGATCACACTTTCCTCAAGCTGAGGAATGAGTACCATTAATCTCCAACTTCCGGTGTACTAAATTTGGAGGAGATCAGAAGTGGCGCAATTTTGTATCCAATTTCGATATCTACAGATCGCTTTTGCTGAAAATCGGGCCACATGAGTACGAGTATGAAGATGAGTAATGAAAAGCATTAATAAGCTTCGCCTTTCAAAAAATCTGCCATTCTTCCAAATATACAGAGTTGTGTTTTTTACCTGGCATCTTCCGTTAACGCATATGTCTACCGATCCTGGTCTGCATGGAGTGCCATCTATAACTTTGGAAGCAAGTTTAGCAGAGAAACGGTATCGAGGGTTCTTCGGTTTGCAAAATAACGAGCATGGGTGGCCTGTAACAAAAAAATCAAGAACATCAAGAACTACTTGCAGAACTGACACGAATTTAGAAATAAAGTCCAAAGGTAATGCTAAAAATATTCATTATTAAACATTAACCGTAAAATGTTCAAGCAAAGTTAGTAACCGGCCCGTGATCAAGCAGGGACGCTTTTGAGCAACGCACGTCGACTCGAAGTAGACTTCTTGCATTCCTGGGCAATTCTTTTGACCAAATTTTCGAGCAATTCAAATTTGGTTGCGTCAAGGCATATTGAAAGCGCGAAAAACTCTGCCTCGTTCCTTGGCGTCTCAAGTGTTTGGAAAACAAAACAAGACTTCTGCGAGCGATCAATGAGTATCACGCAATGGACCATGAGAACGCATAGCGTTCACGCAAAGGACGCTGGGAAGGGTGAGCGAGAAAAACATCTCTTCGCCTTTCCCATGATACCTAGCGCGGAACCAAAATCGCTCCTGTAGCCCTTGAATCGCTCACGAATCCGCTAGAACGTGCTTGGGTACGAGGCAAAGAAAAACTCACTTTGGGCTGACGTGCGTGGCTCAAAAAGGCCTTTGCTACGCTCCATAATGAGTATGGCAGTTTTTTAAATGAAGCCGGATAACGCAAAGGATTAACGAAATGGTTGGTATTAAAGACAACGGAAGGTGATGATGGTGCTGTGATGATCAAGATGATGACGATGACGACGATGATGACGACGACGATGATGACGATGATGATGACAATGATGATGATGATACTGAAACTTGATACTAAGCGGTCAAAACATCTCCGCAAGAATCAACACCTGAACGATCATATAAAGAGTTTAACATTCAACACTATCTTCAAATAATTCTTCAGTCAAATAATTCTTCTCCCCCTATGGACCTCCTTGAAATCCTCACTCACACCCTTCAATTGCTTTTAAGCTTTTGTTACGGGGTCTGTTCCATGACACAAGTCTAAGTCCTTTGAATTCTTTGATATGCGTTATTAACCAAGTGTGAGGTCAAGATGGCTGAATATTGGTCAAGTTCTTGTTTTGCATTTTTATTGACTGAGACAAAGTCGAGGTAACAAAAAACACGCAAAAGAGAACATGCATCTTGACCTAACAAGCCTGGTCAAAAAAGGATTTATTATATGGCCAACAAGAGAACTTTTACTTGCGTGACCAACGAGGGAAATCCCGAGCGGAAGCAGCCATATAACAAAGTAGATTATGGGATATGTGGTGACTTAGTTCTAAATTTTAAGTCTACGGGCAAAACGTTGTTACCATTCAATTATTGAACTATCAGATGAGATTATTCATTTTTCAGTATTTTTCTATTTGTTCTTGATTTTGATGTTGGGCACTTTGGGGAGTAAAAATGTTTGAGGGCTATGAAAAAAAAAGGAATCCCTTACCATAGCTTATCACAGGAACCCAATCGTGTTTTATCCCCTTGTATTCGGTGTCTTTAAATGACTCACATTGTAAAGTTCGGAAATCCTTGGATCCCAGAGGACAGGACTGAGGAGTAATTAAACCAAAAGGACTATGTTATGATCAAGAGAGAATGATCGAGTCAGCTCTTGACAAAACACGAAACAACCTTGCATATTTTAAACAACTTCAGCTGGTTAATTATGATCCTCTAATTAAGGTAGACTTTCTTCAACGCAGAGTGAAACACATTATTATAAGTACCAAAAAAAGGGATGCTCTGAAGGACTTGGAAAATAGCTTTAAAAAAGGAAAATGAAAACTCTAGCACACATCCTTTCCGTGTATAGGTACAAGTACTCGAGCGTTGAATCGGTAAATCGTGGTCGATTTTTATTTTCTTTGCAAACATGGTCGCCAAGCTTTACCCGTAGGCAGAAAAGATGTATCTTAGCAGATTTTAAACGCTTACAGCCATGTCCGGCCACCTCGGGATCATTCTAAGAATAAATCTGGGGAATTTTTGGCTGATCTGACTAGGCTTTGTTTAAAAAGATGAGCAAATTTCTATTGTTTTTAAACAATGAACTGAACAGGCTGAATAATAATAATAATAATAATAATAATAATAATAATAATAATAATTTCAGCCCCAAATAACGAGTAGGTTTGGAGAAATTATCGTTGAAAACTCGAAAGTTAACGAAGAATGTACGGGCTCAATAACGGTTTGACACTCAGCAATTTCGCAGTTTTTGATGGCTGCTATTTCCTTTGTTATTGCTTGCGAAGAACATTGTTCAAATTAACCGATTCTTTCAACTTCTGAATTTAAGCTGTGCTTACGGCTACGCCTTCTATGGATTAACTCGTATGGTAATGAGTTAAAATGTAAACAACGACGTCACAAAGATTAGCTTTTTCGGCCTATACGTATCAATGGATGGACTGGTTAGTCCTCTGTATATTGACTGTGTCGATAAATTCGCGGAAAGCGTTTTGACGCCCCTGGCGTTTATTAGATCATTTAAGGTAATAGCTATAAACTCTGAAGTGAAAGTAGTGGTTAGCTGGGGTCGATATGTAATTGTTTTACCTTGACATTACAGGTCTTATACCTCTTTGATTCTCCTTCACAATGACGGCCACCATTTACCGGGCTGAAACAGACAGTGATAAATACTCTATTAGTGTGTTCATCATCAAAAATCAAACGATGTACGCATATCAACTTCTATATTCATAACTCAGGCATAAAAAGGGGTAGGTGCCAGTCCACAACCTAGATATTTTTTACGTTATTTCGAGTCAGAACCTCCTTGATGCAGAGTATAGAAATTTTGATATTTGACATTCCCAAAAGTGAGGTGGGTGCAAACTGGACAGTCAAAATTTAAATCTACAGGTCAGTCACTCACCCTGGTGAGTCACAGGACCGTTTTTGAACACTCACTCCTATTCCACATGTTCGAGAGCAATCACTCCAGTCCGACCAGGGTTTCCAGCCATCGTCCCTCTTTGCTGGTATGGTGCCGTTACTTACACACTCGCCGTACATACACCACTGCAAATGCAAATAATTGTTTTACTATTCATGCAGAATATCAAGCTCGGAATATGCTTTACTTCTACGTAAAGTCCCATCTTTCAAAACTTCTGCGTCTTCCTCGGCAGTTTCAGAATATGAAAGGATGTACTTTCTGGTGGATGTTTTTTCTTACTATGCCTTTAAGGTAAAAAGTAGTTCGGCTTTTTCATCTTCCCTTAACGAGTGAAATCTTTGGCCATTTTCTCCAGCAGTGCACTGCTTAAACAGCCGAGCCACCACACCGCGTGAGTGTCTTCTCTTTTTCCTGCCAATATCAATATCATTGATACAGGAAGGTCTGTAAAACTGCCTTGATCTTTATTGCTGAACATTTTGTCAAGGCATGTGAACTATGATACAGTACATACTCCACCACATTTCCCCCAATTGAAAACAATGAAGGTGAGTTGGCAAGTTCATCATAGTTGAATACTTGGGTCATTTAGAATGTTCATGATTGTTTTCACTTCAGCTATACTTTTACAGAACAGAACGAGATCATCAGCATAAAGCAACCATCTGACCATCTGTACACCATTCAGACTGCCACTTTTCTGTTCTCTATTTGCGCAGAAATGTGGGATATTAAATTCGAATTCGATACTCCAGCCATCCGGAAATTGCTTGTCAATTTCACATATTAAAAGCAAACTTCAAAAAGTAGTCAAAACAGTAACTGAATATACAGGTACCTCTTACTAAAAGATTTCGTGTTCCTGGGTTATGTAAGTTACGGATCGAGTTTTTTTTCCGCGCGATCCGATCAAAGAAAATAAGATTAGTAGGATGTTTACGATATCTCCATATTTAAGCAGAGACTGAAACCGCATCGAATATTTCAATTCAAGCGGAAGGGATGCTGGTGATGCACCTAAACCTAAACACCTAATTATTTAAGACGTGATTAAGAGTTTAAAGTCCTAGAGGCTCAACCCAATTTTCTAATGCTCCTTCAAATGAAACTAGGGTCGCTTTTGACCACTCACACAAAATCTCTTGCACAAACACAATTAACAATTATAATTTCTCCTCGTGGGAGAAGGGTGGACCGCCGCAAAGTATATCCAAATCAGGTATAGATACTAGTATGACCGAGAGGAATGATGATTAGAGGAATGGCTCTAATCATTTGATTTTCCATCCGGAATGTCTGGTTTTCCCATGTTAATGGTAAGTATACTTGATTTCCACCCCTGGACATAATCCAACAAAGCTCATCCCCAGAGAGTAATACAGAGCCTACCTTGTCTGGGGCACATGCCGTTCCTGGAGCCGCCGGGTTTAGTTTACTTCTGCAAAGCCTCTCACCTTTGACCTCACACCAAAGTTCTTCGCAAAGACGATACTAGGGTAATGAAAAGGAACAGATTAAGACCCTGACTGGGCATGCTCATTCAGCTATTATACCTTGATGTTTCCGCTTGAGTAGTATAGGGTGCACCGAATTAGCCGGGTTTTCTTGTGGTGGACTACATTAACGTGTGCTGAATCTTCGTAAAGCGTGCATATTTAACAGTTTGCTGAAGGTCTACTATCGATCTGTGTTTAATGAATCTTCTAAAGCGTTCATCTTTCACTCATCAAAATCCTGCTGAAAGTTTACTTCTTGAGTAACATTTTACTTTGGATTAAGCCTTCAAATTTGTCTTTGGAAAATGCGCGCGACTCCTGGTGCATGTATCAAACCGGGTTGTTTAGCTTGGCGACCGTTTTGCTACAAAGTAAATTTACCAGCGAGTTGTGAAGCGCGGCGTGCGTTGTGCCACAAAGTAAATCTACCGAGTTGTGTAGCTCGGCGGCCGTTATTCCACAAAGTAATTCTACCGAGATGTGAAGCTTGGAGGCGCCATTTCATCATGACTTATGTTATCTTCGGCACCAGACAAACGAACATTTTATGCACCAATCAATGTAATGCCGGCGGGGGGGGAGGCAGGGCATAGGGTGGGGATTTGACTTTTTTCAAAAATTTGCAATCAAATTCCCTGCCCATGGGCAAATCATTCCAGTCAAATCCGACCAAATTTCCCCACCCCAGGCTGCACATTGCTGTCAATCCCAAGGCAGAACCTAAGAAAGGCACAATAAAACTATCTCCCAATAAAACTCTGCAATCTTTTATAAACGTTGCTGCATCACCAAAGATACATGTTCCTGTTACAGCTGCAATTATACGTTTTAACATAATCCGTGTTACACTGCGTAGACTACATAAACCTTTAGGAGAAAGTCCACATTTTGTAAATCTAAATATACCGTTTAGTAAAGGGTACAAAGAAAGTCAGTTTTATAAGTTCTCAGTGATTGTAGCGAATGAGCCATGGATACACTAATCAATTGTACTTGCAAAAATCGACTTGGTTTCTCTTTGCTTCCGTTTACTTTGATACCACAGTATATTAAGAGGTTCAATTGATCAAAAACACGCTAAAACGAACGAAACTTGAAGACAAAACAGTGAAATCCACTCAGCCTTCGCTTTTTCTCATTGGCCTCCATTACTTCCTGTTCTTTTCAAACCGTATGGCGCATTTGTGAAGCGTGGAAGCGGGAAACATATGTTCGGTCTCAGTCTTTTTCGTCCGAGTCGGCAGTCAAACATCTCCACGTCGGGCGAAGAAAGATTCAAATATCCCTTCCCCCGGGAGAACAAGATCAGTCAAATGCCCTACCCCAGGGACAACAAAGACAATCAAATGTCAAAATGTGGTCTTGGGTCGATCTTTATATCATCACAAGTTAAGAAGACTTGCCAGTAACGGTTTCATTTTATAGTAAATTTCAGTAATTGTCTTCATGTGGAATTCCCAATAAATAAAACTAATGATTACTTCTAAAGCTTTGTCAACCGTTTGCTTTTTGACAATACCTGGGCCGGGTTGTTCAAAGCTGGGTTAAGATAACCCAGGCGAGGTCGAGGGTTAGTGCAAAATTTGAATTCAGATGTGAAAGCTTCATTTTGTCATCAAGTTGACGATTGGATGCTCTTAAAAATAACAGAGAAAAATTATCCAAAGAAATGTTTTTGAGCAAAAGAAAAAGAAACCCGGGTCAAGCGCTAATCGGCCTTCGGACAACTGTACTTGAGACGAACCATACGATATCATTCCGATCACTAGCCTTCAAAACCTTTTCATAATGATACGAAGTTTAAATAGAGGTTTCGCTGTAGGCAACCGTTACGTTCAAAATATGCCTTAATCATAGTTATCTATCGCAAGAACCAGCCACCCTTCTCCCTCAACTGCTACCTGTACGCCTAACAAACATATCGAACACACTCTCCTAAGCTCCGATTACTTCTAGTTTTAAAAGGATTAATCTCTGTCTCAACCCTTTGATTTCGGTAGCTGGGTTTCAACCAATCAAAACGGTCTAGACAGGCGTAATCCACACTAAGTTAATAGACTGAGTAGCGTGATTCCGAGGTAGAAAAGTGTTCTTGGTCTTCTTGTTGCGTGATAAGATAACTTAAATATGTGTCACTCGACAAATTATTTGCCACTGGGAGGGTTAGGGTTGAAGCAGTGTTAATAAACATTTCATTAACTTTTGAGCCCCGCGAGATTCTGCCATACACGTATTTTTAGTCAATGTTAAGAAATTTTTACTTGTTTTAGTGGTATTTCAGTTGGATTTAGTAGTTCAACCTGTCAATGAGGGTAAAGAAACTAGGGTTTAGATGGATGGTAACTAACGATTACGACCAGATGTGGATTTATTGATTGTGCTAGTCTTCAGTGGGCTTCGGTAGATCGCTCCTGAAACTTTCTATTTACAGATGAGGACCAATAAAATAAAAGGGCTGACATCACGATCGTTTAATGATTCGAAACCGGAATCATACGTTTCTAATAGTGACACTTTTCCACTTTACCTTGACAACTCCTGATTTCAATGTGTGACACTTTCACTTCCGGAATGAACCATGGAGAGACAAGAGAGACAGATGATCCCTTTTTACAATCCGACTGATATTAATATTAACTGCCAGACTCTGCCTTTGATAATAAATATCCACTGCAAACTTTCTATGGGTGTGCTATTTTCAGTAGCTTATTAATAAAATATAGAAGCCCTGCTGAAAGCTATTGTGATCGTGACTTGTAAACAAATAAATTGTAATCTAGCCTTCGAAAACACCCGTTTCTCCTCGCTCTTCGACGCTGGGGACGATCGGGGACGTTTGAAACGTCCCCAGCGGCGAAGAGCGAGGTGAAACGGATATTTTCGTAGGCTACTTGTGATCTCTTCATTGTCCAAGATAAGTGCACGCGCTGCTCGTAACACCAGTCTTGCTTTGCTAAGGCTTAAACCAGTGTAAAAAGTTTCAATTTGACATACATTTATGCCTGTAAAGTATGTAGTCCGAGTAATATTGTTCAAACTGAAACACATAGAATGTTCTTATTAGTTCTTACCCTGCTAGTTATTCATGCAGTCTTTCTACGTTTCTTAATGGTTCAGTTTGTTTGAGTATATAACCACTTTTTAAACAACAACAAAAAACAAATTTGAAATCATACGGGTTGGAAAGGGTCCGTGCACACTTCGGCCAATCTAATTTTGTATTTTTCCAACAAAAACGGAAAAAGGAAATATTACTTATCGTTATCATATTTACATATTTTAAAGTACAGAAAAAAAATAGAAAAAAAGAAAATGGTCAGGAAAATTGATCATTTTTTCATTTTCCTAATTTTGAAGTCCGCTTCAAAAATTCAAAAAATACTGTAAAGGGCTAAAAGCGATATTTTGCTATTTTTTATTTTCTTGCTATTGTTAGAAAATGAGAAAAATGAAATAATCTCCGATTCTTAACTCATTTTTCTATTTTTCCGTTTTTCGCAAAAAATAGAAAAAAGGAAAAATGAAAAAAATCATATTTATTCCCACCATTTTTTCATTTTTTCCATTTTGTTCAAAAAATGAAAAAATAGAAAAATGGCATACCTATCGCCTAATTTTCCATAATTCCGTTTTAACAAGAAAAATGAAAAAAATGACAAGTGTTGCGAACAATTTTTTCATTTTTTCAATAAATAGAAAACAAACAAACAAACAAAAACGGACAATTTTTCATCTTTTGTTTTAATGAAAAATAGCAAATAAAAATGACAAATCATGAACATTTACTAATAAAGAAAAGGAAAACCTAATCCACTTTAGACTCACTAGTTTTGTTAGACGATTTACACAGGGTCGGCAGAGACGTGGGATGGGAAGGGGGGTTTGGGCCCTTTAGTTCTCGGAATGCGAACGTACTTTCATTCACTTTTGGATTTGATTGGCTGATTCCTTTACCTCATTACTTAGGACGCACTCTGTGACCTGTTCTAACACTGCGTCACCATAAAGTGTTCCTGTTCCATTCAAACTGTGGAACGTTTCCCCATACTTGTCGCATGGGTTTCCCGACATTAGCGATCTTTGCTCTCGTCTTTCCAGGGCTGACTTGCTTAAAAGGTGGATAACGCTATCCGCTGGATAAATAACTATCCAGTAGATAACGCAATTAGTTTCCCTAAAATACATAAAAAAATTATCAGGCCGCTGGATAGGGATTTATCGGGTGGATACTCGCTATCCAACGTTTAAACAAATGTATGAGCAAATGTATGGGGCCAGATCATTAAGATGTTCTCTCTCGCGAATGTATACTAGCCGCCTCATTAAGTTTCTCCTCCATAATATTAATTCAATATACTTTACTCTTGCAATCCTCAAACAACCGTTTTGGGGCAAGTTCCGTTATTTCGGCAGGCTAAGGGTTAGCAGGGTTAACCCTTAACCCAGGGTTAACCTTAAGCAGTCTACTTTCTATTTCATTTAAAAGCGTCTGACCTCTGGCGTGCTCTTTCTTTATTTTGTGCATGTGACTGTTCAACGACCTTCCTTCTTAACTCCTTCAACTTAATCTCTCTCACGAACCGCTTTTTTGTGCCGGGACCATAGTTGCTGGCATGAAAACCTGAAAACCGTTGAGTTACCCGCCCCTTTTTTCCTGTACCAATTTTCACGCCTTCTCTGCCTCCCTCGTACCCTTTCTAATATTCTTCATTTCCACGGCCGGTACGATACGGTTTTCCCGCCGCTTTCATCCACAGCCGACTCCCGACAACTCAAACCTTCAGGGAAATCGTGAAAAGTTAATCAACTTCAAAAGTTAATAGAACTACATACGTCCGCATCTCGAAAACTAAGCCCTCCCCCCCCCCAAATTCCCCCACATCTCCGCCGACCCTGGGTAAATCTTCTAACCAAATTAGCGAGTCTCTTCTTCACCGTTAAAATATTCATAACATCTCACTTTTCTGCGCCATTTTTCAATAAAATAAAAAGTGAAAAACTGTCTGAACGGGTGTATCGTTTTAAAGTTTTACTATTTATTAAATAAATAAAAAAATTGAAAATTGCTCACAACACTTGTCATTTTTTCATTTTTCTTATTAAAATGGAATTATGGAAAATTGGGCGATAGGTATTCTATTTTTCTATTTTTTCATTTTTTGAACAAAATGGAAAAAATGAAAAAATGGTGCGAATAAATGATTTTTTTCGTTTTCCTGTTTTTCTATTTTTGGCGAAAAACGGAAAAATAGAAAAATGAGTTAGGAATCGGAGATTATTTCATTTTTCTCATTTTCTAACAATAGCAACAAATAAAAAATAGCAAAATATCGCTTTTAGCCGTTTACAGTATTTTTTGAATTTTTGAAGCGGACTTCAAAATTAGAAAAATGAAAAACTGATCAATTTTCCTGACCATTTTCTCTTTTTCTATTTTTGTCTGTACTTTAAAATATGTAAATATGACAACGATAAGTAATATTTCCTGTTTCCGTTTTTGTTGGAAAAATGAAAATTAGATTGGCCGAAGTGTGCACGGACCGAAAGACCTTTCTACAGGCTTGTCTTTGTTCTGATCCACAGTTCTACAGTTACAGCAAAAAATTGTTTTAAACCCGTTTCTGTAATTGGAACTTTGAAGAGCATAAACAAGTGGATTCAAAAACGAATTGGCATTAAGAAGATATCTAACGATTCTATGAATGAGGAACAGGCAAGCTCGATTATTGGCCACAACGTCTTTTTCAATAGCGGTTAAGTAAATAAAAAATAGTGAAAATGGCAAAGTGCAAATTGAAAAGAGGACTGTTAACGATACAAGAAGCTTCAAAAGGCGTTTCTTTGCGCGCTGGTCTTCCAGTGCTTGACTGCTTGTTGCTTCGGCGGAACTGCTGTAAATTTCATTGGTGATGAACATGCCACGAAAGATCTCAAAATAGCAGAAGAAAACCACTGCAAATGGGACAATACCAAAAGAAATACCAGTGAAAATGATAAAGCTTTTGTGATTAGAATACTCGTCAAGACTCCATGGACGTTTGCATGGGTAAGTTGACAATGGATCTAGGTCTATTGTGTTTGTCAGAAAGTCGGGAATGCATGATAAAGCAGCAAATGTCCACACAAACAAGACGACATGAGGAACCCGTTTGTTAGACAATCGAATTCTAATGTGAAAAGGTTTTGATAACGCTAGGTATCTCTCAACCGCCAAAGCGGAAACAGTTAAAGCGCCAACATTAATCGAGATGGGAACCACTGCATTGCCTACGAATAGCTTGCAGATAAAATCTCCCAGCGTCTTGTCAAGATAGACTTGGTTTAGGAGGAAATCGTAAATTCCGGGACAGAACAACAACGTTACAAGATCCGCAATTGCCAAGTTCATGAGCAGAAAGTTGGTTGTCGTGTGCATTGAAGGCGTTTTTCGCACGATGGTGATTATGATACAATTAGCTGGTACGCCGATGATAACGATGAAAGAATACAACAACGTGAAAGCCAGATTTTGGCCAGAAAGACCGCCATCACTGTTATCGCTTGAGGAGTTATAAGCCATGAGTGAGTCAGAAGAAAATGGTTAGTTTCAGAGACTGTCTCCTTTTTCGCTATGAATTCAACTTAATAGACAGCAGTATTTTATAGTTACAAGATTGATATAATAATAGCGTGACGTATGAGAACTGAAACCTAGCCTCATTTTATGCAGAAAAAAGCATGACGCATGGAAAATGAAAATTTCTAAACTGAAGGAAGCTTGATGTCACTTTTGAGCCTAAAAGCTTCGGAAACACTTTGAGGTTTATTACTGATAAAAAAATTGACTTACTCAACACCAATCTACCTAATAGACTATAAAAAGATAAGAGCCATATGTGTTTTTACGCCAGCGTAAACAGCCGCGGCAGGTGAACGAGCAAATAAAGTGACTGATGGTTCGTATTCAATTTACGAGGCGACAAGGTGACCGCAACATATTTTTTTCTTCAATTACTAGTTTTTAAGTTAATGTCTCTACAGAAACTGTTCAGTTTTTCATTTTCTGATAACCATTGTTCTGTGTAGGGTGATTGCAGCTAAAGATTGCTGTTGTTAGAAAATGAAACCGCAAAGAAAAGGCTTTTACGCACATATACAGATGAACTTATTAACATAAAATAAGAAAAAATGTAGAGTAAATAAGTAGAACGCTGATAGCTTGGTTAAGTGTTTTATGACAAAAAGATGGTGAAACTGGTCCCAAACAAAAAGATCATTTGCCAACCCTGGAAGGATCAAGAAGAACTTTCAATTTACTACCATTAAACGTTTAGGACCAACCACCAGAATTATAATTTCAACAAGATCAATATGGCATAATCTGTAGGCAAATTAAATTATGTCACCCTGTTGGCTACCGAATATGGATCAATATCGTCGACTAATTTAAAAGGATTGAATATGGACTTTATTGATAAGCTTTTATAGATAAATATAACAGCAGGCCTTTTTGAAAACATGCTCAATACGACGCTTGAATGTTTGGGTCCCATTAGTATACTATTTTCTATTCTGTTAAACCACCAGCGCTATAACAAACTGTTATTTATTGATAAGTATAATCGGGTGATATTTCTGTAGAGCAGGGAAATTCAAAAATGACATGTATTAAGGGCCAAGTCGCACTAGAGGGCAATTTCAGATTTGTTCTGGACAAATCCGACTTGAAATCGGCCAGCGACAAAAAATTTGTCCGGAAAGCTACAGTCGCACTTAAGAACAAAATCTGTGAACAAAACACAACACCGTGCTTTTCAGCCCACAGTTCAGTGAACTAAAAGCTTCTTTACTCCATCTGTCCTGAGCCTTCTTGTTCTCGGCTGACGAAGATGCACGGCGCGAAGAAGATGGGGTTGATGACGGCATTGAGCTATCTTCGCTGAACCGGAGGGATTCTGGCAACGAGTCAGTACTCGTGGTCGAAGAAGATGGGATTTCCTCGATCATTAAACATGTAAGGGCCTGGCAAAGGATAGATCCACCATCCTGGTGGATATTGTGAATATTCGTACGGAAAAAATGGTCGCCCGCGCCGGAATTCATGTTGTTGCGAAATGAGAACGTGATTAATTTTACAAGTCTATAGCATAGAGACTCTGCTACAAATCACCTGTCAAATCATTTCCGAATTAAAACACCCTCGCTATGGTTTTCCAAAATTTGTCTCAATTTGGCCTGCTCCAGAGGTAGTCGACGGCATCTTTGAGGTTTGTCCGTCCGCGACCAAATTTTGTCCTTTGGTGAACAAACCGGTCGCACTTGGTTTTTCATTGTGATGACAGATTTTTGACATAAATAAACAGTTTTGTCCTCTAGTGCGACTTGGCCCTTAGAAAACCGGTAAAACACACCGTGACCACTATAGTCCAGTTCAAATAACTGCAATTCCGGCTAGTTCAACTATGCTGATTCTTGTTTTTCCTCTTCTTTCGAAGCAATAAGAGCACTCTCTTTCTTCAAACATTAACAAATGTATGAATAAAATAAATAGATATTAGAAGTGAAAACTAAAAAAAAAAGCTAATAAAAACCAATATTGGTATAACTGTGTGGGCTAGTCGTAATTAATTACTGCATGCTAGCTTCTTTGTCGCCGAATACAGGCCCAGCCTTGTAAACTCAATCATATCTAGTATTTAACTACTTTCTCACGTTCTGACGATCTCTGACGTATTTGCCTTATCACACAAGCTCTAATTTAAGGTTCACAAATTTACTAGACAAAATGATATTCGATAAATTAGATGACAGGTTACTTCCAGACTGTACAGGCTGCAATAAAAATCGACACGTCATAGCAAATTTTAAAGAGAATATTTATTCACAGTTTTCACAATTCTACAATAAATCAACCATTTATCATGCTGTGTAATATGTTCAAGCTGATTAATTCAAACATCATTTCACGGTATACGTAAATAGGCAAAATTGACACGATACGTGTTTTCTCATGATTATTTTCTTAAAATTTAAACAACTGAAAGTTGTCCTGAAGTGTAGGGGAAATCTCACAATTTCTCCTTCGAGGTAACCAGAAATCAGCCATTTGAAATAGTACAAAACGAAAAGTAGAATACTTAAGGATGTGAAACGAAACGTTCTGTAAATATTAAGTCACATCAGGTGTTAAACCTGCTTTGCCTTCTGTGCTTGAATTGTTCATGAGATTTCAAGAACACCATTAACACGAAGTAAGGATGTGAGATTACTGAACTTGAACAGCATGACTGAGAGTCAACGTTTCAGTTTAAAGTCTCCAAAACGACTAATAATCTGAATAATAAAGCACATGATTTTGGGATTAAGTACTTTATCCCCCCCGGGGGGGGGGGTGGGTACTGGGGTAGATTTTTGCTGTGTATGTTCCCTACCGCATTATAGTCTATTCTGTGACCAATTATAGACCCCATCTTAGTCACTTTTGAGCAAATATGCAATTTTTCCGATCCCATCACTTTAATTTTCAAGTACTGATAAACATTCTGGTACGTTTGCTAACAGTAAATGTGAAGAACTGTCTTACCCCCCAAAATCCGAAAATGTGTGACCCCTTTCTAGTAACTCTATTGAAAATGCGACCCCATCCACCGGCACATCCCTATTAACGCCCCCCCCCCCTCGGACTCTATCTTTAAGGTCGCTGGTCTTAAAACTTATCTAGATGGATGTGTACAAGTTTTTCGAGTACCTTGTATTTGTTGCAGTGACCTGCTCTGTTTCCATACTGCTGTTTGCACTGTTCATCAGCGGTGAATGCAACTCCAGGGTACTGAGTAGGTAAGAGCAATGAACTCCTGTTGGCTCTATGTCTTAGACACTTGCTTGCTTTGGAGCTAAAGGAAAAGAATGGCTTAATTAATGAGGCGTTCTGGCCTCCCACGTGGAATAGCCGTAATACACTTAAATAAGACAGTACTCACTTTAGAAATGAGTGGATATAGGCTCGACTGCACTGAGACCACTTCATGGTGCCACGACTGTGCCTAACCAGCCATTGCGATGACATGAGATAAGGAGGTGACCCCGCGGTGTCTGGACAGGCATTGCCATCGCCATCATGATATGCACCTAAACTAATAGCAATTTACACGAGAACCAGCGTCAAATTTGTCCAATTATCTCTTTAAATATAATAGCATATATGCTATTCATTAAAATCACGGAGCTGTTAGACTGCATTTTCTTTTTCTACAAACCACCCGTAACACATTCTACACTCTATCATACATAACTTGATGATGGCCTAATCTAAATGACTTACTTGTGTCCAATTTCGTGTGCCACCGTAAAGGCAACATTTAAGCCACTGTCTTGAACTACGCTGCATCGCTTTTTCGGGTCACATATTCCGTGCATGAAAGCGATCCCTATTCAAGAAACAATATAAAAGCTCTATTTTTATTCGTGTTTCTTTCTGTTGCTCTCTCCCAAAAAATATAAGAAGAAAATCATACCCACGGTGTCACAAGTCGAAAATCTATTCGTACAGATGTTCTTTCTATTCGCAAAAAAAAAAGAAAAGAAAAAGATGTAACGAAACATTAGTAAACAACGAGAGCTCTCCTCTTTCCATCACAAATGCTGTTATACCGTAAACTGCCGCTTATAAGCCTTATTATTATTAAACGGATGTATTTTGTTTGTTAACAGGTAGATGGGCCTATAACGGAGACTTATAAGCTTCATTCACGTTATTTAAGCTAGGGATATATCTAGACTTTGTTATATTCCTAGACTTTCACTTAACTAAACAGGGACTGTCATTGGTTGATTCCTGGTCACGTGACCTTCACTAAAATCAAATGTATCCCGATCGTGATACATTACTGCACGTGATCAAAGCGTTATGGAGCCTGGCCCTGCAAGGAAACGATTCAAACAGCTCACTGAGCTGTTTGAGAGAGATACAGGGACTGGTTGAGGCCAAAGATTGAGAAAATACAAAGAAAGCATCGGTAGGTCACTTTGCGGAAGAACGGTGTTACGGACGCCGTAAGTTCAAATTTCGACATTTCTCGCCCTCTTGAGGCCATGGCTTGATGTTTGGAACTAAATTGACCTTTTCTGGAAAGGAAAATCAAGATTCTGTGCTCAAGTAAAGTTTGGGAGCGGTTCGAGTGGAATGAATGTGATTTTTGTAGCTTTTTCTTCTGGCAGCGTAGTACAGTCGAGTTTTCCCTTGTATTTTCCTTAATAGTTGAGAAACCAGACCATTAAAACTTGCTAAAATGGCGTTTATAGGGCAGGAAACGGTAAGAAAACAACAAAGAAATATACTTTAATAGCTGTTTTTGTACATTTTAACCATTTTATCGATCGTAAGATAAATTTCCATACAAATCCTTGTAATTTGGCTTTCAGTAGGCTGTTGTGATTCTGGGCGCCCTGTGGTTAAAGCGGCAAGGATTTGGCAGAGTTGATCACCACAGGCCGATATCAAAGGAAGATCTAGAAAAAAATTCAGTCTTGCTACAATCCATCCTCTCCAGATCTAAATCCCTCAAGCAAGTGGTTTGGTTTCATCTCATGTTCCATCTAGTCCACCTAATTCACCGAGGGAGAAAAACTTTCCTTCCTCTTACAAAGCCGTGTAGGCTGATGCAACTGGTAAGAAGTACGTATATCACAACCTCGTTCCCAGGGTTCTCTCCTTCCCGCCCTACGGAGCGTTGGGCGAGTAGGAGACAACCCTGGGAACGAGGTTGCGTATATCAAGCACTTGATGAACTGGACAAAAATCACAGGGGAAAGTATCAACCAGATGATTCTCCAGGTGAAGGCCGTATGTATGAAAGACCAAGGAGTCCATACTGTCCAGTAAAAACTTTTGAACTGTATTTATCACAGCTTAATCCCAGTTTGTCGTGTTTGTGGCAAAGGCCGAGGGCGCGTGAAAGTTTTAGCGAACGTGATGAAGTCTGGTATTGTAATGCTCCTCTCGGAAAAAAATACACTAGCTACGTTAATGAGTTCCATTGCGAAGAAAATGCAATTGTCTTATCAGTACACCAATAATCAATGTAATAATCACATGCGCATTTTGAGGAGCACTGAACTGTTACTATAAATTTTTATAAAAGTAATTCCAAGTGAATTTTCTTTGACCTTATAATCTCAATATTGAGCTTTTAACCCATTCGCTCCTGGAGATTTTGCCGAAAAACGCGTTTTGAAGCTAGTCGAGTGGTTTTCTGGTCACTGTCGTGCTATAAAGAGCCAAAACTTACCACAAACCAGTTTACAGGTCGTACACTTGGCGGCCTTCTGATCCAGATGCAAAATATCAGCTTACGAAGTTCGGGCATGCGTAGAAAGCAAAATTTCGACACAGCAGTCTTGACTTTTACCTTCCGCTTTCTCTCCTCCCTTCTTTTTTCGCTTTTCTTGCCTCATTTTTTTTTCTCTTGCTGGGCATTTAGTAGGCTTCATTTTGGTGGGAAGAGTTTTTAGGAAAGCTTTTAGGATCTTAGGATTAGGTGAAAGGAAAGGTAGGTGGGTAATGGAACAAGATTTTCATGGAGATTTTCAGGTCCTTGTCACGTGGTTTTTTGCTTCTTTCTCCGGTGTCCTTGACTGAATTGTGCTCATTCTGGTATGGTTTGAAAGATCTCTTCACCCTGCACAAGTTAGGGAAAAAAGTTGTCCTTGACCGTTAAAACTGATGACGTCACAAAGGGTAGAAAGGACCTGGATCCGCACGGGCGGTTACGGGCGGTTCAGGGGCGAATGGGTTAAGTCTAGAAACTACTTCTTCATATACTTTGTAAGTAATTCATTCAGAGATCTGAATTAAATGCGTTCTTTTAAGTACTGAGATTGTTTTCATTCGTTCCTTAATTCTTTGTCACTGTTGAAGTAAAAGTCTAGGAATGTAACAAAACACTTAATGTCAGTTCCCTGGGGAAACCAGTTAGTTTTGTTTTCCCTCGAGTCCTGATGTTTCCCGAGACGAACTATTTCCCGGGGAACTGACATTAAGTGTATAACATATCACCTTGTTAGTAGTATTGCTCCATCATAGCTTGGATTCACACTGGATTTGTCTTCTGTAATCCATCTTTGCCATTTACAGAAGCTTTCCAATGTTCTGTCACCATGGTACGTGATTGACAATCCTTTCTATCGCAAATTAAAAGAGTGCAAAATGAGTGTCTACTACCCAAAAAATCAAGGTGATGAAAGGCCGCAAAAAATGGTAACTTGAGTTTATCAGTGGTGACTGGATTCATGTACATGCTAACCTGAGATCAGGCGTTTTTTTTTTTTTTGCTTCTTTGTTTCTTTGGCTCGAGAGAGGAAAAAAATAACGCCTGATACATTAACCGTTAACCGCCCCCTAATTTACATAATCTAACGTCTCCTTGACCTGTCATGTTATTAGCCAATAAGCGTTTACCATACGGGAATCAAATTTTGGCGCGAATAATATCTCTTTTAAAATCAATTTTAGGGAAAAGAAAATTTTTAAGTACGTCCATGTTCAGATGGCGCTTCCTAAAAAGAATTTTAAATGTGTTCAAATACTGCTAGCTGGAGCTGCCGTACCTTTCTTTAAGAGCTACAAATAATAAAGAATTTACTGGTTGAAGTTCGTTGACTTCGTTCTGTGCCGAAAGCAGTGAAAAAAAAATTAGGCTGAAGCACCATATTTTACGAACTGAAAGGTGTTGTGAAAGTGAAGATCGCTCAGAATAATTCGCAGGTTTCTGAAGGAGGGATTACAGTCAAACCAGGTCAAGATTCCATTCATGAATTGATTATTTGAAAAGTGAACCCGTTTGTCGCCTCTGTAACTTGTAGCCGGTATCAAATTGCATTCAAATGATCGGTGAATTTTTGACTGCAAATTTTTGAGTATGTCTAAATGTCGTGGGTCGCGACTCGCGGGTAGAGGTCGCGGGTGCGGGCGCGGATAAAGGTCGCGGGTGCGGGTAAGTGTCGCGGGTAAAAATTAATCACGAAATTTAACAGAAAGACTAAAATAAACAACAAAACAAATTATTTTTTTAAAATTTCTTAAAGAAGACTAGTTACAGGGACTGATCTAGGGGGAGGGTGCAGGGGGTGCGCCCCCCCCCCCCCGAGATGACCTGCGGTTTTCTAATACAACTGGTATTCTGCGAAAAAAGAAACACTAAGTGGTTTATTGTTGTTGAAGTAGAGCAAGAGACGAGTGCACCCCCTCCTAAAAAAAATCCCGGATCCGCCCCTGAGTTAGCAGCACAAAGGAAGTTGTACGCTTTTTCGTTTATCTCCGACACGTTTCGTCTCCTACTGGGGCTTCTTCAGGGAATGAATACAACTGACAAAGAACAGCATATATAACACGTTTTCTGCGTACGTAAAACTTCCGAAGAATGAATAATAACTATGCTGTAAACGGACTTTATAAGAACCGTCTTAATACATATGTTATTGCGTGTTGTTATATTTTGGGGGCCATACGATCAGCGCTAATCGTATGGCCCCCAAAAATGCAACGGAACTATCGGACTCCATCAGGATAAAGAATCGATCGAAGTAAACCTGCAAATGTTCTTCCTTTTTGTCAGTGTGAAATCAGAACTATGAAAGTTTTACCCACTTGCACGGGTATTGTTGCCGTGATCAAGCCGCCAGTAACGTGGGAAAAATTCTTTTTACCAGGATGGCAAATTCTTTCGTGCTACCGCCCCAAAATTGAGCACGAACGACGAATGACGACTCTCAATTCATACTTTTTGCTGAGGAATTAAGTACACTCAAGTCTAATTTAGTGCAAAAAAAAAAGTCAAAGCTGTATTTTTGATGAACCAAATTGTGTCTTCTGAATCATATATACATAGGGTAAAAACCATTTCTTTTACTATCACAGCGCTAAACTCTGGTTTCACTTGCCATTTTCAGGTCTTGGGGTGGGAAGGGGGGTCTTGAAGAAATTTTGATTTTTCCATTTTTCCTCAAAAATGAAGATAGAAATGTACTAGGCATGGAGGAAACAAGATTTAAGACTGATCACTCGCAACATGGTAATGATAAAAAAAACCTATTGAGAGATTACCCATTTATGCGACAAAAATTAATTTCAATTGTCTTGATTTGCAGAAAAAGAAAAAATAAGTATTAGTTAAAGTTAGTTTTTCAGTCCGATAGGGTTACGGCTGTTTAAGGCGGGCACTGAATTTTTACACTCCCTTTTCAATACACTTCGCTGCTACATATAGGTAATATAGAGGTCAGCAAAGGGCCAACTACTTTTTTGTAATATTGCAAATTAGTACCCTTAAACCCTTGGGCGTACAAGGTAGGGGAGTGGGTGAAATCCCCGGAAGGTTTTTTGAATCAACCACCAAGACAAGTCATCACATATCCACTGATACTTTTCTTTTCTCTATCAGAACTTTAACCTCCTCCCCAACAAATCCCAAACGCAGATAGCTCGGTTACTTAGTGCAATTTTAACTAGCCAATGCTATTTAGTTTTAATCATGTGGATTTTTCTTTAGTGACTTTTTCCTTTGTATCGCCCTTAGTTAGCTTTAAAGTATTGCAAATCTTCTTTGAAAGATAATCAAATTTTCCTTTATTTTATTAACAATTTAATGTTAAATTTGGTGATTTATGTTTACCCGCGACCTTTACCCGCACCCGCACCCGCACCCGCGACCTCTACCCGCGAGTCGCGACCCGCGACATTTGGACATACTCCAAATTTTTAGTATACGATGAGATGGAAAATATTTCAATGGATGAAATTTCTATTTAGGCATTCGTCAAATTCAAGAAAACTGAGCCGGGCAGAAATTTTATAACGAACTCGCGTGTGTATTCACTGCTCATGACGCAAGCAAGAAATGCAGACTGAAATCAACAACAGCTAACGGATGGCGGCATTTTGGCCAATTGGAACAGCGCAAATCATCCGTATTGTTTCCTATCCAATCTGAAAAAAGTCCAGATTCTGGCTTTTTTACATGTGATCCGACAAAGAAATGTATCATGCCCTCTTCCCTTGAGAGACTTCGGGCCTGTTTACATGGAGTGGGGGGCCCCGGTCTAGTGGGGTTGGTTTCATTTGTTTTCACGCTCTGGGGGAAACAAAACAAAACAAACTTACCCCACTAGACCGGGGTCCCCCACTCCATGTAAACAGGGTCTTAAAGGGATAATAGGGAGAGGGCATGGTCTCAGGCTATGTACATGCATGCATGCAAGTATGAATTCATGCCTGTAGCTACGCGTGCGCATCCATACTTAGGGTTTCTTAAGTATAGGTTAAGGATAGTATAAAACAAGAGAAGATTTCTCCGGGTTAATAAATGTTTCAAGTTTAAATAACATCTAGGGCATCTGGATTCGCAGTCGTTTACACGCATTGGTTAGTCCGAGAACAAGTCATTCGGATAAAAGGAATTCACGTAAGATTCTGGATTCAAAATCTCCGGGCATGTCACATAGATCGCGAGGTCTTAAATTCGGATTCACGCTTCTACGAGTAAACGGCAAACGTGAAAAGCGATTATTCATCATTTTCACCTTGCACACAATAATAGTTTACCTCCCAGTCTGCAAGTTTCTCTGGGTCGACTGTACATAGGAGAAGTTGCGAACGTTTGGCGGGGATGGGATTATACAATATAAATGGTATTATAATGTGTATGAATGAACCTCTCTGGCTTACTGGCATACTATGAAGAAGCATAAGCTTGGAGACTTCAATGTTAATCTTCGCTCCTATGCTTGGATCGCGAAATAAATCAGCAACCTGGAAAATAAAAAAAGGCGTAAACTGTTACTTTGTTATTCTAGCTCTGCCATCTACCTTGGGCTCAGATCACGTTAGACAAAAAAGAAAAACTGAAGAGAAATAGTCTGTCAGAACGTTTAATTCCTCAGTTCAAAAACCCGAGGGAGAATGGTTACAAGCTTGGGCGCAGTGATTTCTGGGATCTTGTTCTTTATGCCTGGTCTATAGTATTCCAGGCAACCATTAATCAGTCATAAGCAACGCTTGTCTACCCAAACGATCCCTTCTGTGGTAGGGAATTGAGCTGACTCCGTTTCTCGAAACGGGCGGTGGATTCTCACATCATTTCTGAAATGTAAACCTGCAGTTTTAGGGCTGATAAGGATTTAAAAATTGGTCGCTTTTTGCAGTTATGTAGCAATGAGCAGTTGTAAATTCCTAGGGAATATACAGACGGCAAGTCGATCAGTAAATATTTCTTCGAAGAGCTGTGAGCACAGTAGTCATCATTAAGGGATAAAATCAAACTCAAGGTTAGTTTTTAATATGTAGAAGGCCTCGAATAATTTAATCACCATTTTGCAGTATTGCCTTATTTATGACAGAGGTGAGAGTCGTGGGCATTTTTGTTGAAAGGGTGCGGTGTTTCTTTCAAGCAAAAGGTTACTTACCATATTCATAACAGTCAATACATATTCCTCTATCGACTCGTTGCTGTGGAAAACAATCATTTCTCTATCAACAACAACTAAAAGTTGAATAGTGGCTTCTGGTTCTGATGATCGACGTTGGCGATAGAAAAAGTCCTTCTTAATTTGCCGTTTGCTCTTCTTTGACGCTCTTTGACCTGCTAGGAGAAAACATCCATTTAAACAAGTTGCGATTTTGTCAAAGATTCTATTAGAGGGGCTAAGTAAAGAGGGCATTTATGAAATTTGTCAAGGTATATTTCATTTCCTCTCTACTTAACGCCTTTAAAGCTATTGTGATTAGTTAAAATAATCATGGTCATTTTAGAAAACAACAACAACAAAACCAAGCTACAAAAACTAAGCAGACGGGAGTATTCTTATCAGCGTACGTGTAAGGTCGTCGCATTTGCCGTTTGGAATTGCCTTCCATCTTAAAAACAAACTGAACTAATAAAAAGTCCGGCGAAGAAACGCCACTGTTATAAATGTGCATGATGCTTAGGATTCCACTATTAATCATACGCTTGGTTCACACGTCGCTTTTCACATGTGCCGATTTTAATGCTGATGAGAAGCTGATCAATGTGCTCTCGCTCATTTGCATTAGATTCGGTACATGTGAAATGCGAAATCCGAGGTTTGGAGCGAGCCTTACATCTAATTTTCACGACCATCAAACCCGCCATTTTCGAGGTATCCAAAAAGTTGAACAAAATTGGGATAACGCCATTCTTCGATATTCTGGAATGTCTGGGGCCGTTTACATGCTATTCACAAGCTCACTGCAGTAAGATCCAATTATGATATTCCTCTATAAACTGGATGAAATCTGTCAGTCGAATGAAATGGCAGCAGTGCGTTAGAGCGTTTTTCGGTTGACAGATCGAAGTATTGTCCAATAGAATGCACGAATGCAAGAATTGACCACTACAGAAAATACCATAACATGCCATAATGCTCTTTGTTTGTCACCCAAAAATTTTGCTTAAGCCGATTGTTTTCAGTTTCTCTTGGGAGTTAAAATGGCCGCCAAGAATGTTAAAATTGAGTTAAAGTTAAAATGAGTTAAAATAGTTAAGAGAAACTGAAAACAATGCTTCAAGAAAAATTTTGGGGTGACAAACAAAGAGCATTATGGCATGTTATGGTATTTTCTGCAATGGTCAATTTAATCACCTGCAAATTTGAATTTTATAGCCTCAGGCCTCGGGATGCAAAGACTGACAGAAACAATTTATGCTAATAAGGATGAAAAGTTCGTTCTCACCTAATACACAATTCAGTCAAAAGGTAGAAAAATTCAACATTAAATCTACAGAAGCTGTGTAAAGATACATATGAAGCCGGCCAAAACTAGCAGAAAAACTGCCGACCGGTCAAAACTTGTTTCAAACGAAGTGCTATTTTTTTTAAAGCCGAAAACACCAAAAGCAGTCCAATGAACAAGATGATCCTTTACCAATTGAAAACGGTATTAAATCTACATAGCTACATAGTAGCAAGCAATTCTTACCCGTCTGTAATTCCTCAACATTTCTAATTCCCACCACATCGTGTTGAGGAGATATATAGTGACACTCTCTGCAAGCAATTTCTTTTCCCCGTACGGTTCTTAACTATGGACTCTTCCTTTGAATAGCGGGATTCTGAGGGCAAGTCAGACGCTTGAACTGTATGCATCAGTTCTAAATTTTATCCCGGCATAACTGTAGTTTACTAACCTTTGTTATTTTGGTTTTTCGAATAAAACATCATGCTTTTAAAGAACAATACACTAAGCGACATAAGGAATTATACTACTACATGAGAAATTTCTGCAATTTGATTGGCTTAGAGCAGTGGTATTTCAGCTTAATTTGAAATACCCAGATGTGAAAATTACAAACCCTTTGCGGGTAGTAGTATAAACAAATAATAGCATAATTTGTACGTGACATTTGGCATAAATACTACTCGTGATATTTCAAAATTGACTAAAATTTCACTCGCCTAAAGGCTCGTAAAATTACGTATAACAATTTCAAAATATCACTGCAATTCATGCTATTACCTATACAAATACAATACACCTGGGACATGCTTTTGAAGCTGTCCAAAACACTCAGAGTACTTGTCTTATTAAGTCGAAAAGTCCTCGTGTTTCGCCAGCAAGTGTTCCAAACTTGACAAAAGGTTAAACGTTTATTGGGGGAAAAGGGAATGAGCAAGCCCATTTTAAAAACTTTCAGTCCTAATAAATGAGTTCTAATGAACATGTAACCTGCATAGCTGTTCCCTGTTCCCATTCTCTTCTCCAGAGCCTTCTGGAGGCCTGAACCCGAACCTCTTGTGCCTCCAGGAGGCTCTGGAGACGAGAATTGGCTTGTTCCATGCGTTTCAATTACGGGATTGTTCGGCGCGAAATGAAGTGCGGAAGAAACACTTTCCTTCGCACCGTCCTCACTAGCTGAACGCCTGCTGGAACAGGCATATGAACATATAGCCTCCCCGCAGACGTCCTTTGGGGTTCGTTCGTCACGCATTCATTTCTCCCCCACCGTGGGGGAAATGAATGCGTGGCGAACGACATCTGCGGGGAGGCTAATGAACATATGGACATGGTAGAAATTAGTGACAAGTCAGACAAGAGGAAGTAACAGCTGTACCTTGAGGGAAAGAGGATTTGAGCGCGCATCCTCGAGAAAGAGAGGAGTTTTGTGACATCAATCGCAGAAGGGTAGACCGCTTGTAAAACATGTGAGGTTGCCTCTCCATTCTGGCCATAGGCTCTATAAAATAATCTTCCTCCTTTGTCTGTAGCAGTCCCATCTGCGTTTGAAAAGAATAAGCTAATTGTAATAACTTTAGTATTATATAATTATATTCTTTCTCTAATTTCAACTACTTTGACCTATTGCATAACTATAAACCAGCTTACTGCGCCTGCTCTCAGTTTACCCAAGCCACGGGACCCTAGCCTGAGTATCAGGAGTTTCTGTTTCTAAAAACGCCTCTCCCATAGCCCCTTAGGAAGGGCTGATACTCAGGCTAAGTTTACCCTTGTCGTTTACGTCAGCTAGGGACTGGTCTAAGATGTGTGTGAGGAATATGAGGAATATGGGGAGGGACAACGGATAGTATTCAATGAGAAAGTAAGGAAAAAGAAGTTGTAACATACATTTATGCACGCCTATTATGGTCCTTTGACATTCAAAGATGGTCTCTTTAATAACAGTAACTCGAACGAGCGTAGATTCGTTCCCAGGGTTCTCACCTTCTTGTCCCCCGGAGCACAGAGAAGGAGAGAACCTTGGCGAGCGAGGTTGATGCACCTATCAATGTAATGCCGGGGGGGAGGCAGGGCATGGGGTGGGGATTTGATTGTCTTTGTTGTCCCTGAGGTAGGGCATTTGACCGATCTTGTTCTCCCGGGGGAAGGGATATTTGAATCTTTCTTCGCCCGACGTGGAGATATTTGACTGCCGAGTCAGACGAAAAAGACTGAGACCGAACATATGTTTCCCGCTTCCACGCTTCACACGTGCGCCATACGGTTTGAAAAGATCAGGAAGTCATGGAGGCCAATGAGAACAAGCGAAGGCTGAGTGGATTTCACTGTTTTGTCTTCAAATTTTGTTTGTTTTAGCGTGTTTTTGATCAATTGAACCTCTTAATATACTGTGGTATCAAAGTAAACGGAAGTAAAGAGAAACCAAGTCGATTTTTGCAAGTACAATTGATTAGTGTATGGCTCATTCGCTACAATCACTGTAAACTTATAAAACTGACTTTCTTTGTACCCTTTACTAAGAACGGTATAGTTAGACTTACAAAATGTGGACTTTCTCCTAAAGGTTTATGTATTCTACGCAGTGTAACACGGATTATGGTTAAAAGGTATAATTGCAGCTGTAACAGGAACATGTATCTTTGGTGATGCAGAACGTTTATAAAAGATTGCAGAGTTTTATTTGGAGATATTTTTATTGTGCCTTTCTTAGGTTCTGTCTTGGGATTGACAGCAATGTGCAGCCTGGGGTGGGGAAATTTGGTTGCATTTGACTGGAATGATTTGCCCGTGGGCAGGGAATTTGATTGCAAATTTTTGAAAAAAGTCAAATCCCCACCCTATGCCCTGCCTCCCCCCCCCGCCGGCATTACATTGATAGGTGCATGACAATGAACGTTAATATCAAACTGGATAGGCAAAAATTTGCATCTAATACATTTTACCTGCCCTTTAACATTAAGAAAGCGGGGTGAAGTAAAGCAAAAATTAATGTGCTTCACAAAGGGGAGGGTCTTGATAATTTGAATTTGGCTTCTCTTCATTCATTTGCACCAGCCTTTCCTCGCTTAAATGACGAGATGCGTTACCAGGAGCGTTACTATCAGTTTTGAGAGCGACACGAACGGTATACGGTAGCATATTGAGATCCACAAAGATGACCTTGGGAGCAGCCAGACAAAAAAAATCTCGAAAATATGTCATATAAACGCTATCAGCTCTTTTATTACGCGATAATTGAAATGGGAGGTATCAACAAATTTTGAAAGGACCTCACTGGTGTAACTCGAGAGAGGTTAGAAGGGAAACTATTCTCTTTCACGCAATAAAAACAAATAAATCATGATATATATCAGAGGTCTTACCAAGCCATGACAGCTACTGATGGCAACGCTTGATTCTGAACGAAACCGGACAGTTCCAATGTGATAGCAATTTCGGGATACCGTCTGACGATGATGCAAATTATCTGAGCTTCCACTGGTGAACTTTGAATCCACAAGTTTGTGGTTTTTCCGCAAATCAAGCCGGAATTCCTCACCGAAGGCCCAAAATGTTAGGTACAGTCTTTCATCTTCAACAGCACTTTCAAGTTTGTTGTTCAAAGACAAGCCACTTTTTGTAGTCAATTGAGGGTAAACAATTTCATACTCGTGCAAGAGTCTGGCAAGATTAGCTGTGTAAATTCAAATATTATAGTTTTTACAGTGACAACCGGGAGCACTGCAATGCATAGTAGAGAAACCGCGCAAAGATCATTAAAAGTCAGTGAAAAGCATTATTACATACTAACCTTGTTGGCTATCACGAAATGATATTTCAGCCGCATTGCTGTTCCCAGAAATCAATGAAAAAATCGGAAACCAAGCAAAGAACCAGAAGGCACAGGGTAGCCGTCTCATGACCATTTCTACGTAGATAGAGCTTATGAAACTGGGGTACGTCAAATTGACCACAATCTACCTTTCAACACCGCAATTCTGTGAGACACACCGATATTTTGTGTAGTATCTCCGCGAGGAAGTGAAGGGTTGTTTAGGCTTGGAATGGCAATGTTTATGTTCCGGTAGTGGATGGCCTCAAAAGTAATAACGGGAAGTAAACCTCAAGTTAAACCAGTGCTATCGCTTTTTGGTTTTACTTTCCAAATTACGCGAGAGGTCAAACCACGAAAATTAATCTCACTAGATGGTTAAAATGCTTTCGGGGAAATCCAATTGGCCTTGACTAAAGATTATGCACAAGCCGGCTAATAACAGGAAAATCCTCACGCGCTGAGTTAGTCGGAAATATTCAATTACCTTACAGAATGAAAAGCCTTTAAATGCCGGGGATGTTAATGTAATCCTCCGTGACCCGTCGGTCGGTTAGTTTACTTAGTTACTAACTGGTATGTGTTTTGTTTGGCCGGGATTAACTGCGATTAAGACGTGGATGTATCCCGTTGTTAAGAATATTGCTACTTTACAAGTGGCTAAAAACAGAGAAAAACTGCAAAAATAAAGCAGTGGCGGAATTAATGGGATTAAAGGGTAGTGCTTTCCCCTTTGCTGGCTCTATGCAGCGCCCGTCGGCGCGCGCACGACATCCTATACTTTCAGTCGAAGGTCTTGGCTTTTACATCCTGACTTGAAGCCTGCTTTCCGCCTCTCAGTGAATTTTCCAGTCTTTTTTCTTCCAAATCTCTCCAGTAATCTCTCTAAGATCTGCTTTGTGTCTAAACCATCGTTTTCAAAAAGCCGTTCTTCACTTCTCATTATCAATCTGCCGCTCTTATATCTCGATTTAGAAGAAATACTCATATTCACACCAAATTTACATTGCATTTTATTCTCGTCTAGTATTTTTCTATTGACAGCCATTATTTAAATCGGGTAATACTCCTACCTAAACTTAGTTGATATTAGAATTTTGATTTGCGTTAAAAAATTAATTAAATAAGAAACACTCTTGAAGTATATTACAATGAGATAGATAACCGTTCTAGCGGAGGAAGAAAATTTTTCCTCCATTTTTGATAATATTACAAGAATATTTATACATATTTATGCAAAAAAAGCTTTGCAAGTAAAGAAGTAATATGTCCTTAGTGTCACACAGACACTTTTTCGCTAGTTGCACAAGTGTAGTAATTTTCACTCAAGCTTTTTATGGTGATGCCAACGAGCATTATTTAATAATTAAAATAATTATTAAATAATTATTAAATAATTAATAATTAATTAATTAATTAAAAATTGTAACGATCTTTGTGGCTCATGGTATTTCTATAAATTCTCCCTAACGAGATATGTTCATACGGTTGATTGCACACTCAGTTCCAGGTTAAAGTAAAAGGCGCTTAAAAAGGTCATTATAAAAAAAATAACGCACTCATATTAAAGTGGAGCAACTTTAGTAAAAAATAACAAGTCTCTCAAAAGTCCAGAACAGTCGCTTCTACACTGCAAGTGTCCGTGGCTTCAAGGTAAAAAGGTTACTTGCAATGATATAAATTATTAAAAACTCTTTACAAACTGTTCAAAGAAGCAACATAAAATGAAGCCCCGGCAAAAAGTCACAACATTGGCCAAACAAATCCGAATATTAGCACAACATCAGCCCAACATTAACGCAACATTGGCCCAACAAGTCTGAATAAAAGGGGCAAGTTTTCAGGTACCGTAAAACAGGGTTTAGCGAGCAGGTCAAACAAAGTTAAAACCTTCAGTCTCTGCAACAGTCACATACTAGGATCTCAACTTTGTTAAAATGTTGGTAAAAATGTTGTGTCCGGGGCTTTATTAGAATAAAAATAAACTCACACTACAGCAGTTGTTATAAATGTGTATCAGCAATTGATATTCTTCTCATTTCATAATGTTCTTGTCCCTGCCCGCTTCCGTCCAATTCTGGTTTTTCATCGTCATATGTAGGCTCTCTTTCAAACTGTCCCCCGGTCTTCAGCGCAAATACCAGGTCGTCTAAGTCCCTGTTTTCGAAGTCGTCATCTTCGTACATCTCATTCACTCGCCCCAGGCTATCAGTATCGTCCATATTCACGAGCATTTTACGGCTTCCTTTGGGGGTAACTCCAAGGTCTAAGTCATCCCAGTCGCTCTGCGAGAAAGGCAAACTCACTGTCAAAAGGGATACTTCAACTATAATTTTGTCAAAAGGCCCCCCCCCCTTGGACCTAACACTCACCGACCAAACTACAAAATACCCCCCCCCCCCGCCCCTTATCTCTCCGTCTGTATTCTTTTAAGGTAGTTCTGACATTGCGAATTTAATTTAGCTAAGTCTGAAAACAAATAAACGAGTGGATCACAATATAAGTAATGAGAAGTAAAAAGTTGAAAAGAAAGTAGTGCTGTAAGATTTGCAATATGAAGGAGTTGCCTGCTTGTGTAAATTTACTTCCTGCGACCCTTTATTGTCAGTTGTTTGCTAGAAGGGAACACAACGACGATTCTAGTATGACCTGCAAAATAGCTGCGCGAACGACCTAGCAAAGGAACAAGAATTGGAGAAACAATTTGATTAGCCTCCGAAAACAGCCGTTTCGCGAAACGTCCCCAGCAGCGAGGAACGAGGAGAAACGGCTGTTTTCGCAGGCTAAAATTTGATTGGATTTGATTGGTTTGGTGGGCGTAAACAAACACGTTCGATATTTCGTTTGTTTGACAGACACTTGAATCAAACCAAAAGGACTGCAAGAAGCTATCCTCGACGACGTCCCTCTTTCTTTTCTGACTGGTCTACCTAATTGTCTTGAATCTCTTCATCCAGGGCAAGTACGTTTTATGTTCGTTTAATTGTCGAATAATCCAAAAACATACCAAAAAGAAAAGGATGCAACGAAAAAGTTAGAAACTGCGAGACAGCATGCATGATGTAATGCACATTTATTCTATTGTGCAGTAATACCCTAACCCGAATTAAAGAGTTAAAAAAATACATAAACAAATAAACTAAATAAATAAAAGAGGTACCCGAAGAATTTAAATAGTGCCGTATAAATAAGATATTTGATTTACCAATTGAATTTAGCGGTCAGATTATTTTTTAATTAACCATTACCACCTTAATATAAGTTTTAATGCTGTTATTTCGCTTGAACGGGTCGAGTTTAGATATTTTAGAGTTTACATGAAGCGAAGTGGCTGACAAACGAGCTAAACTAGCGTATTTCCCCGAAAAAACGCCACCAGAAAGGGGAAAGAACAGGTGATGATACTCCACAAATACTGGGAAATACAGACAACTATAAGAGACTTAACGGATAAGGCACCGTTCTCAGACCAATAACAGTAGTGGGGGAACAGGGGAAGGGGACGGAGGGGCGTTTACTCGCAAGTTTGACCGACGTGGTAGGCGCTTATTAGAGGAAATACGAAATTTAAAATTATCAAAGAAAAAGATTCTTCTGAACTAACAACAATAATTCTTGCATTCGGATTATATCCAACGCTGGCACTCTTGCGTCTTTCAATTCTCGTCAGATAAACCTGACTCAGTTCAAAAAAAAGGAGAAAAATTTATAGAGATTAATCATTCATCGTTCACACATGCAATAGTTTAATTGAAATTCAAACACTTAACCTCTGCTTACTGCGAGGTCAATGCAACAAAATATTTAAGTATTAGTTATTTCCATTTAAAAACTTCATTATCACGGCGGAAATTCGAATTTTGGAGTACCGTTTTATAAGCAATAGCAAGGGTTCAAGTCAATAACATCCCATACTCTTTAAACAAGGTTATTGTTCCGTAAAATACTATCAAAGGAAATCAACCAATTAATTTTTTAAAATTTCATTTTACAAACAATCACTTACTTTACAAAGTTATATAATAGTATCAAAACTTTAAAAACTAATCCATGCAGTTTTACACGAACGTATCTTATCTGCAGGGCAAAGCTCAAAATAACAGGTTATATTTTCATGACCAAACAGTAATGACACTACTTTTGTGACCATTTATCGTGTTTTGGTAATGTATTGGCTGTTAGAACAGTGACCATGTTTATCGACCTCTTTACAGATGTATCTGAGTTCTAGCTTGTTCCAGTCGTTCCGATAATAGAGAGTGGCGCGAAATAGAAAGCGAGGGAAACTATTTAAATGGGCAGAAAGGAAGTGCGTTTTTTCCTCCTTACTTTTCTTTGCGCGGTAATATACGGCTGATGATAGGAGCGACACCCATTGCAAAAAGCCACTCTGAACTTTGAAAATATCTTACTTCAAAACTGTCACCATGTTATATGCCTTTTTCTATATCTTACCGGGTCATCCGGGGAATTTCTCATTCCTGATCTTTTAAGGCTGGATATTGAGTGTCCAGGGCTTGGGCTGTCTCTAAACATATCGTCACGTAATTCTATAGGCGGTGGAACAGATGGGATCGCAAACGATTCCTTAAAAACGCCTCTCAACTGATTACGAAGGCAGCAGTACCAGATTACGACGTACAAAGCCTGAAAGCAAAGGCAAATATAGCATCAACGCTGTTGACTAGAAAGTGATGAAAACACAGTTGTCCTCCAGTTGTCCAGATAAGAGTCCAGGCCCTAGTTGTTCAAAAGGTAGTTAAAGCTACTTAAATGTATATCCACCGGATAAATCTCTATCCAGTGGATAAAGCAATTGGTTTCTTTAATACTTATCCACCGGATAATGATTTATCCGGAGGATAGCGCTATCCAGCTTTTGAACAACTGGGGCCTGATCAAAAACAGTCACCATTGACCAATTCCTCTACTTTAATTTATAAGACCGTTAAATTAGATACATGTCGGTTCTGAAAGTAGCTTACCAGTATTGCGTCCAATATAGTAAAAACGATGATCATCCATTCGGACCCAAAAGCTAGATGCAGCCCAGCAAACAGCCACACCAGTGTAATAAGCGCAAACAGTACCATGATGTAGCGGATTTCTAAATGGACAAAAAAAAAACACACACACTTTAATTACTTAAACCGGGACACGCTGTTGCGGCAAAGGAAAGATACCTGCCAGTTAAGTGACACGAGCAACAAAAATGTCTTAACGTTATCTACTGGAATCAAGTCCATTGATCCAATATGGACAAAATACTAAGTCTATCTTATCATCATTGTCCACAATGTGGCCAGGCAGTTGACCAAAAATAGCTTGGTATATGCATGTACTAGTAGAGTATAAAAATCTGTTCTTCTTTCGATCTCCTGGCAAAGGCATATGCAACTAAACGTTCCGTAATTTTTAATATCTGCGGTTGTTTCTCCTATTTTTCTTTTAGATGCAACCTTGAAAATTAGTGATAATGGGCGTTTGAAAATTACTTTTATTCGTCAACGAAACAAAACAAGTACCTCGGATGTTGTAATGACCACGGAATATATCATCGTAGTACTTCCATTGAGGAGTAACTTGGTATGCCTGTGTAAACACCACGGCAACGCCCATAAGCAGCGGGAGGACTGGGCCGATGGCGGCAGCAAGCGCAGCGTAAGCGTTAGGTATGAAGCACCTGGTAAACGTAGAATAACGAGGAGATATGGTGGTAAGTTTACATTCCTATCAACAGCTTGTTCTTCCAAAACACGAACACGGTTGGTTTTGGTTGGATCTACGTTCGTGAGGACGGAAACCTCAACTGTGTGCATTTAACGGCAAGATTCTGAATAATAGTTTGTTCTGCTGGTGTTTATAGTGATGTGTAAGTCTAATCTAACTATCACAACTTTGGACAAAACCCGGAAGTGTTACCTAGATTACAAGCACTCCTTTTTTTTTCTTCTGGGAAAGCAGAACGAACGAAATACGCGAGCGCGCGTCAGCATCACCAGTCAGGAGGAAGGTGACAATCGAGAGGAAGAAAGAACCTTCCACCCAAGAAAAATTTTCAAGCGCGCTGGCGTATTTAACTCTCTCTGCTATCCCTGAGGAGAGTTCTTCTACAGGCATTTTTTTTCTTTTTAAGGCATAATAGTTGCATAAAAATGTGTTTAGGGGGGTGGAGGAGAAGAAGAAACACAACTTACATGTCTCCGTTGTCGTGTACATCTGCGTAGGCTTTGGTGAACGCCCAGTCAAATCCCAGTTGAGTAACCATTATATACAGCACAATGACCACGACAGGTGAGCCTAAGGATCGCAGCAGAATAGTAACAATTAAAAAATGCGGTAACGAGACACTTGGCCATTAACAGTTTAGAAGAAATCGATTTCATGTTCCTCCCATACCCCGCGATCTACTGGCGAAAGCAGGATTTGAGCGTGTAAGGGATATCAAGGTTGCGTGGCTGTAAGACATGCTTATCTTAACGGAGAGAAATGAACCCAATGATGGCAGGAATAATTACTCACCCCAACCGAGAACGAAGAACCAAACGAACTTTCTGTCCGTGTGCTCATCATTTAGTACAAACACTCGCCACATATTCCATGCCTACAACAAAGAAAAGAGAGATTAAGGTAAACTAGTTTAAAAAAAATGGAGGAGCAGAGGGGGCCGGGGCGGAAAGAGCAATTACGATCCCCCTGAAAAGAAGTGAAAATAAAAATATCAAACCACGTAAGAATTCAACAACTGTATAATCAGCAAAGCCTCTTCGCAGACTCTTTGTAGGTATTTCACCACAGACTTTCGAAAGCGACATATTAAACCCGGGAATAACAATTATGAAGCAATAAACAATGGAGAAAACATGATGCCAGAAAAAACAACAAAGGACCTTCCGCTTCCTCCTTCATGGTTGTTGCAATCTGCTATTTATTTTCAGGAGAAGGAAGAACCTCGCAGTTTTCTACAAAACGGATTTAGTTGTGATTACGCCCAAGAATCTTTTTTGTGTTGAATTGCGCAGTTCATGAAATGAAAATTAAATTACCCTCCACGGGTCCATAATGACTAGCTCCTAGTTCTCCAGATAAATTAGTTAGTTAGAGCACCGCATCAGTATAACAGAGGCATTGGTCCAAATCGTGTCCAAGCCATAATTTTTTTCGGCTTAATCACAACTGGTTTATTTGTGTACATGACTGCAGGGTCTCTCTATTGTTGAAAATCCTTACTCCGCAGTTTAATTATATACAACTAAATATTTCTTCGTTCAATTTATAAGTTTGTTGTGAAGTCACTATCATCTAGCCACGACTCATTCACTAAGGCGATAATATAGAAAACTTAACAAGCGTTACATAATACTTTACCTCAACAAACATCCAAGTGAACTGGCAGAGGAAGAAGTAATGGAAAAACATGGCCAGCACCGAACAGCGAGTGTACTCTCCCACTAAAGTGGGGCTCAGATAAGCGCCAAGAACAAACATTAACTGAAAAAAAAGTTAATATGCAAGAAATATAAAACGGAATTGAATAAGTGAATCAATAATTAAACGCTTATATTGTCTGAAGGGTCTGTCGTGGTATATCAATGATGGACTTGGTTCTTGTAATGACCGAGAGCGATATTACTTTAGAGCGTTTTCAATCACTTGGCCATCATCTAAGCAAATTCATAAGAATTACAAAAGAAAGCGTTCACATAAGAAAGGAGTTCAACTCCCAGAGGATTGGATTGGAAAACGAACATGGTCGCCGTTTTATTGTTTTGGAACACCAATATGACAGACGTGACGTCATGTGCAAACGCTCTATACATCTAGCAGTGTGGTAACCCCAGGGTAAAGATAAATGCTATGTTCACAGTGAAAAGTACCCACAGGTGCGACCTTGAAAAGGTAGTTGGTTGACAAAAAGAAATGAAAAATTAAAAAAAATTAATAATAATATTAATAGAGGCGCAGTAGGAAATCTTGGTTGGCACACAATCCAGCGAGTACCCACCTGAGCCATCATTCCAGCGAAAAACAGGTGCATTAGTAATTTGGCAGCAAACATGTTTGCAACGGAGCACAAGTGATGGATTATCACTGCCACGGCAAAGGCGGCCTAGAATGGTCCAAAAAGAGTTTAATGTCACCACTTTTATAGCCTTTCAACGTTGAGGTTTTAGTTACGACGGTGTGAAATTAGAAGCCCACCCTCATGTGATAGTCTTTGAGATCGTTCATTGTTCACTAGTGCAATCTGATTGGTCGAAGTAATGAATGAACGGGACTGTTCCTCAGCGAGCAATACATCTGGGTTCAACGTGAGCTTTTAAAACAAACAGGCTCACCCTTCCGACGTTTCCGATTTTTTCTCTAATACTTTAAAAAGTCCAAGGTATGTCAACATTTTGTACTGGCTTGCCTTAGATAGAGAAGCTTTTCATATTTTGTATGGCTTATTGATGTGGTGGAAGCTCGGAATTGTTTCGATCTTCGACTGCAAGACCCCTAAATTAATGTGCTTGAGCTTTTCTACTTTGTGCCTAGTTCTTTATGGAGCGTCTTCTTGTTTTTTGAAAAAGCAACATAACGCCCCATTTCTTCAAATTGAATAAGCCCGCCCTCTCTATGAGTATCAAGCCCCCCCCCCCCTTAACACCCGGCCCCAAACGAGCTTGAAATAAATAAGATGCCCAGGGGGACTTAATGAAGGATTTATTATAAAACCCAAAATGCATAGAGCAAATTCACATAACAGCCCACTTACCATGCAAACAAAGCAGACTATACGGAAGTATAATTCGTAACCGGTTCGATTGTCACTATTTCCTTCAGCAGCAAATATGGACAAATGTTCGCACTGGCATTCAACGTAATCGTCTTCATCACTCTGGAACGCGAGAAAACAAGAATTACAACAAACCCTTAACACTGTCATATCTCCTATACTTCAAACCAAGAAGGGTTAAATGATAGAAGGTGTTACTTGCTCGATATTGGCGTATTGGAGGAAGACTCTGCGTGTCTCGAGTAAGATCTTTTTTGATCATGGGCTATGTGCTGCTTGTTCATCCAGGCCTAATAGAGGGTCTTCCACTCTGTGCGTTGTATGTTGTGGTTCAATTTTATTTAATTTTGATTATGGTATAATAATTAACGATACATGTAATGAGTTTGGGAAAAAAGAAAAATCAAACCAGTTTAAACCAAGGTAACAATTGAACCGTAGCATGTACAACTGTGAGACCATTCTTGACGTCACAGTATGAGCTTGCAAAATTAATTCAAAACCATCAATGTTTTAACTGTGTGACTGAACGCCATTAGGACACAGCCAAGAATTCCAAAAAATGTCATGTCTACCTTTTTGGTGCAGCCTTCTTTAGACCAAGCGGACGCTGAAGTATCCCAGAAAACACAACTAAAAACAAACAGAGACGAAATAAGAAAAACAGGGAATAGGAAAATCAGTATCGTACTGCCGAGTGGCTCAGCCGTTTTTAAGGTGATAGTGTATCCACTGGGTAAATTACCATCCAGTGAATAGCTACTACTCACTTGTTGAACAACTTAAGCCTGGGCCTTTATAGGCCTTTCTCGAAATTCCCGATAATTCACTCCCGGAAAGCTGATGTTGTTTCTATTCAGGATAGATCAGGTTTCAGAAGTTTGTAGATAATATGATAATGCTATCAGTTAACAAAACAAAATGGACGGATTTTTCTAGCCAGGAACCATGCTTTTAGTCTTTAGATTTTGACTTGAATATTTGATTTCGGGACCGAAAAGTTGGACTTTCGAGAAACGGGTCCATGTGGTCACAGTTGTTAAAAAGGTGGATAGTGCTATGTGCAGTGAAAAAGCATTGGAAAAACCGATTGTGTTACACAGAGGGTAGATATTTAATATCCAGCGGATAGCTCTATCCAACCTTTTGAATTGCCTATGGACAGAAAAATAAAAGAACTTACTCGGCTCCCTTCGGAGTGACTCTCTTGTTGCTTGTATAGATACGATACGTGATGGGATTGCGGCTGCTGATAAGTGATGAAGACGACTGATTCAGTGAGGTGGAAAACACCTGTGGAAGCAAGTCGCAGTTTGAGTCACGGGTGAAAAAAAGTGCTGTGTTGTCGCTAGAGACCTTTAGATTCGATAAGAACTTTGAGCGAATCTATTGACGCCAGTTTTGATGCATGTGGATGAGGCAAACAACGTAACATTGATTAGTGATTTAAAAAAACGCGAAATAAGCCAGAAACCGAAGAGTTAACTTTTCAGTGACACAAATAACGAAGATAAAACAGAAATGAGAACTGTTCAACATCGGGAGCTTATTACATTACAATGAACTGAAAATCTACCACACAAACCTTGTCACTTATGATTGGTGGTTGGTCAGTCTTTTTAAACCAGTGTGCTGTCTGATAGTCAATAAAGTGAATATCGGTACACTAGACAAAAGGGAGAGAAAAGATAACATTAAGGGCCATCTTTGACACAAGGTTTACGTATATACGAGGCCAAAGAAGAAATAACTACAGTATCAAAGTCACACTTACATCTGATCCGCTTGATGAAGAAGCAGTCAAGAAATTAGACGGATACTGAAAGTAACTCTTTCCATTGCTACAAGAGAAAAATGATTAACCCCTTTGAGTCCCAATGGTGACTAACGTCAATTTTCTCTTAACGATATCCATAAGAGATTAGGTTATGAGAATTAATAAAATGATCACCTAAGGGAAAATACCTTGATCTTTTATCAAATTCCCTCAACTCATTCATGAAGGAAATGTATGGAGATCAGTTTGGAGAATTTGTATGTGGATATTGGGGATTAAAGGGTTAACAAAAATATGGCACATTAATTTGGCCTAGCCTGAGATAACAGCCGACATTTCGCGACGCCACCACTGCTTTCCCAAGAAATGACGGCTGAGGAACGAGCGGAGAAATTCCATACTGATGACGTGTCACTACCCAGATCTGGGTAGTGTTTCTGATTGGATGAAGCAAATTTTCAACTGCTGGACACCACGGAAAGCTTCAGTTTTTTTTTTCCTACTTGAAAAGTTAGCACGGTTATTTTCATTGACGGAATTAACGCCTCTCCCAAACGCAAAATGATAAAACTTTTAACACTTGATAACTTGCTTCCGCCACTGCGATATTCTCGCCAAAACCCGTAGGAGAATGACAACAGCTATAACGTTTTCCCGCCAAAATGACCGTTGGTTCGCACGCGCGCACTACTTAATATTGAGAAAATCTAGTCCTCGTGGTCTTCTTCGTCTTAGAATCTTAAGGCCTCCATTGAGTAAGCTGGCATTGCTTGAGACCCATCATCAGTATGATCTCACAGCAATTTATTACCAAGATCTTTGAAGCAAAATCCTTGCTGTTGCATTTATACCTTTTGAGGTTTCAAGCGACTTACCTGGGTTTTATTTGCAATCCGTTTAACTGAGCAGGTGGTTGTCTGAAGCCTTCCACTGAAGCACGTGTTCCTGTAATTGACGCGCTTTGCGAGTCTGTACATGGCAAACCATAAAGAAGAGAAAACGCAAACATCTCGAATTCTTGAGAAAGCTTATCTTGACCCCTAAAAAGAGAAATATTCGGCCATCAGCTACCAGTAACGTACGAAAACTTAAATTGAATTGTCCGGCCATCTATGAATCACGTTTCAAGCTTACTTGGTGTCGTCTCTCTCTGGGTTTAGCAGTTCATCAAAGATATCCATTAGTTTCTGCTTAGATCTATCTTCCAGTCTAACAGAAGAATAAAAACAAGAGTGATACATTAACTTCATTCTACATAGTTTTGCCATTCTGACTTTTAACTCAGTTTATTGCCAACTTCTAGCAGTCAATACTGAGTAACAGGTTGCCAGTGCAGAGAAGAATACTCGCTAAATCTGTTAGTGTTACACGCCATTTTATCAAAAGAGGTTCCTGATCATAAGGAGTACTAATGACTGGCAAGGGCGGATCAACTTCACCGGACACTAGACACTCAACATAAATGGATTAGTGAGTACGAGTCAGGCAGATGTATCCTAATAAAATCAACTGTACCCTACGACTACAACGTGTGGCTATGAGAAATGAACTTGTGCCAGTTGCCGGTCTGCAGACGCATTCTCCGTAGTTCGCCACACCGTTCACAGGACATATGTTTTGGGCAGCGTGGGGAGTTTCTTTAAGTAGCGTTTCGCGAGAAAGTTTGTTAAGCCATCGTGGGTGTAAATTTTTGTATTTAAGCACTTACTTTCGGTTTGCAGGAGTTTCCAGGCTCTTCTTGTAACTTAAAATGGCATTAATCGTGTCACGTGATAGCTGAAGTCGGTCTTCATCCAATGTTTTCTGAACGCTGACATGCAGCTCGGAGAGAATTCTGCAAAACAAGAAAAAACCCCCTCTGTCACTTGAGCATCAATTGAACTCATCACACCCGATTTCTTCCCTACTCGCCTGCAAACTTGCGTAAGAAAAGAAATAGGAGTAAGTTGGTTTTAGAGACCTTAGCGGAGGTAAATGGGGCAAGGATTCTTGCGTGAGAACACAACACACTGAGAATGTGCCAATGACTACACTTGAGAAGACGATGTGGAGCAAAATTTCTTGTCTAACAAGACGGAGAGAGCAAACACAGTTTTAAGCTATGAATCTCACAGTGAATGAAATGGCCAAATATTACAACATCCGTGTCCGCAGGAGCTTTAGTGAGAACATCGATAACACATACAGTACAAGAAGCTACTCACCGATATATGTCGTCATCCGTGAGAGGTGTTTGGATAGCTAAGGCTCGTAGTTTGAGGAATTCTGTGGTCTCCTGATTGTCCGATATGATCACCATCGAGGTGTTGAATTCTTGAATAATTCTGAGTGAGGAGAACAACGGAAAATACTGTTATTCCTAGTCTTTATGAACATGGCCAGGGACGATATAGAAAGCAGACTATTCAGAGTGAAACGCGGACTATTTCACTTTGATTTGTTCATTATCCCATTACAGTCAGACACTCAAACCGGGACACTTAGGGGAAGACTGTCCAACCACAACGTTTTATGAAAACAAAAGACTCTCAATAACATTCATAAATTTGAGGGCTGTTTCCTGACGGGTCAGGCAAGTTTAACAGGTTTTAACGTTTTCACGGGTGCATAGTTGAACCTTGAATTTGGTCCTTTTGCAAAAAATCATGAGAATATTTTGTTTTCATAAAACGTTGTGATTGGACAACCTTCTTCCTAGTGTTCCGGTTTGAGTGTCCGCACTGTAACTACTGTCAATAGCAATTCATCCAAGCAAGATCTCACATAAAGTAAGTGGACTTACTTTGCCCCTCCGGTGACGTTCAGTAAGACAACTTCAAAGGCTTTAGGGTACTTTGTCGCGGAGGCGGATTTAGGTGTTAAGGTGATGGAAATAAACTTAGATACCTGAAATTCAAGAGAAAGCAATAGATTAATTAATTTGTTAAAAATTTTGAGGGATATCAAACGCTTGGAAGTAACGTGGCATCCTTTCAGAGCAGCTTGAAACTCTTAGAAGGTGCTTCTGCATTTCAAATAGAAAAAGAATTTGGAGGTGTTGGTTTGAAGAGGAGAAGACCAAAGTGCTTAAAGAAAAACCTGTCGAAGCAAGGACGAGAATCAAAAACAATCTAACTCACATATTGGGACGCGTCCGGAATACCAACCACTGTAATACTGGTGGAGGGGGCGTGTTCTAAGCTGCCTTACCACACCCATTAAAATGACACGATTGGTTTCAGAGACTATCATTCAGAGTTATCTCCTGGCCTAATATAATGCAAACATTCTTGTGTTTGACTGCTTAGCAAGTGTCTTTTAGCCGGTTTTGAGGAGTCCCCTCTCACGTGACCTGCGTTGCAGACGTACTCAAACCGCGGTTAGTGAAGTCTGCGAGGCAGCGCCGAAATCCTTGTTCTGGGCCCCCGCGGACTCAAAGAAACTACCGGAAATGCGTTTTGATTTCCTTTTCCACCTGACTGGCAAATCGACAACGGTTTTTTAACAAACCAATCATGGCGCCTACTCAAATCCTGGTACACAGGAGGGGCCTAGAACAAGGATTTCGGCGCTGTTTCGCAGACGGACTTAACCAGAATTTAGTTTCGTCTTTAGCAAATGCTACCTAATATAAGGTACTTGCTTGGACTATTTCTTGACAATGTTATGGTAGTTACCCGAGAAGAACAATATACTCACCTCTCCTTTAGCAAATCTAACAGACTTAGTAGTTGGTACTGTATAATCCTCCCCAGCTAGAGCTTGGTAAGTATCAACGCCTGGTTTCGTGTTGACACGTACAGCCAGATCACGTGTCTTGAAGAACACTGTGACGTCAGTGTCCGTTCCTTGACCACGTCTGACTTCAACCTGCACTTCGGTTGACGTCTTGTCCACAGCTTTGAAACTGAAGGTGAATATAATTATAAAACGGTCAGCATTATCAGCTGTTGAATTATGGAAACTTCAGTAGTTAAAGAGAGCACTCTTAAAAGCTTATTTCAGTCGATAATTGCGTGTTGTTGTGTTCAAATTTTTAGTTGTATTTGTTCTTTCGTAAACAAAATGCTCCTTGGCCTAGAACATGAAGTGACTGGAAGAACAAGAACAAAGTGGTGTTTTGCAAGACGGCTACCGTTACAATTAATGAGATCCAGATTTAATCTAACACCCCCTCTCTCCTCCTTCCTCCAACGTCATTTAAGTCTCCTTAGCTCTCAAAATTTTTGCAACGAACGTGCATTTTTTAACTCGCTTGTAAACTGGCCTTTGACCTTTTGAAAACAGCCCTCCACGATACACGGGAACACAGAAGAAAATACTTACATTGAATCTTTGCTAAAAGCGATGGTGCCGTTGGGAAAATCACTGTCGAGCACATTGAGAACGGCAGACCGGGCCTGGCTATTAATGCGAGCCTGGCTGCCGCTTATTATTTCAGTAAGATCCACATGAAACTGGCCAGCGCGCTCAGGTACCTAGAGGAGAAAAAAAATGAGCCATTAGGGCATTATCTTGGTAATGACCACTCCATACATCCATTACTCGACCCTGAATACCCTTAACCGGCCTGCAACATTTGACATGACCTAAATGTAAAGCAATTGTCCATGTTTCGGCGAATCCAAAGTTCAAATTGCAAACTGAATAAATCGTCCTGATGAACTGTAAGAAGAAAATAAGTTTTAAAAGCTGGCTTGTACTTAAAACTTCTCTCCGTAAATTCTAATCCTTTAACGCCGTAGCCTTTTTTTAGTAAAGCCCCAATATCCAGATTCTCCAAACTGATCTCCACACAATTTTTTAAAGAATTGGTTGTGAAAATTTGGTAAAAAAAGTTAACGCATTTTATGTTTGCTCATATTTCTCATATTATTTTCCCTTGATGATGTATTTATATTGTTGGGAGATAGTTGATGTGGGTAACTTAAGAAAATTGAAGGGGATTTTTGGATTTCAATCCATCTAAAAAACGTTTTAGCTTTTCAAAAAGAGAGACAATAGCGTGACGTAGCTCCTTTAAGAATTAATACACCCGTCTCAGTATTATGTAATACCCAAGGGAAATAAGGGCCAAAGAAAGGAAGAAACAGGCCGGTTCAGCAATACGATAATTAAGGGCCTGTTTACATGGAGTGGAAGACCCCGGTCTAGTGGGGTTGGTTTCTTTTGTTTTCACGCTCTGGGGGACACAAAACAAAAGAAACCTACCCCACTAGACCGGGGTCCCCCACTCCATGTAAACAGGGTCTAAACTATATGATGAAAGAAAGCAAATGGAGAATAATTAAATATCGACTTACATTATCATCCCGCAATCGGATCACAAGGTCTGTTTCGCGAACTCCAGACGAAAAAGTAATTATTCCCTGGGACGCCTCTACTTCATCACGGAAGTTACTTTCACGAACACTCCATGATACCTGCACAAGTTGAAAAATATCAAAATTTTAAGCAGCTCTCTCTAGTCTCTACTTATTAATGTGTCGTTGTATCCATTAAGGCCCTGTTTACATGGAGGTGGGGGCCCCGGGTAGGTGAAGTAACCCGCTTCGGTGGGGTAACAGGCTGTGCATATTGTCCATCATATGTTCACCTCACCTATCATGTAAAAGTGATCAAAGTCAAATGAGAGATTTTATAGGAAGGCGGGTTACCCCACTCACCTACCTGGAGTCCCCCACCTACGTGTAAACAGACCTTAAATAAGTACATCTTCCACCGAAATGTATATTTAATTTGTTGAGACGACAGGATTGCGCTAATTCAAAGGGGCCCTTATTTGATGAGGACACTCACTTGCTTCTTTAGTATTTCAAACTTAGGATGACATTCAAACTGGTGTATGCAGGTGTGGTTCATTTAGTCAGCTTTTGACGTTCTGTTGTCACTAACTTATCAAGCACTATAACCAGAGTAGAAGCACCTCATCACCCGAGTGTGTGAGGTGCTCCACTGGGTCATTCCCCAGAGTTATATGTGTTAAGTCATATTCGACTCATTGAAGGTATAGGTTGGGTGGGTGGGGGCACTGGGCGCTAATTCCAGCATTCATGGCAGATAGGTGGCCTTGGATTGAATAAACACGAGATACATGACATAATCCTAATCCTCACTTAAACAAAGTAGAGGAGACAAACAAAGTCGACTCAAATGCTTTTAAGATAAATCCTAAAAGCCAACTCATTTAGAGGTGAAAGACAGGATAAACGTCTGGTTAACAACTGAATGAATAAGAGAGAGAAAAATAAGTATTGAACGACTCCAAGAGACGAATAGATAAGTATACCTATGCTACCTACCTTCAGAATGCCTGGTAGACAACCAGTTAGGCAATTGTCTACTGCGAGTGAAGTCTGAGAAGAAGTCATGAAGTAGAGAAGAGGAAAAGAGATATTTGAAAGAGCTGAATCGAGTAGATCAAAATGTACTACAGACCAAGATAGGGAGTATCAACAAGAACTAAAGACTGTTTATTCTTACTTTAGAGAAGGAGAGAAAACAAGGATATTATTTGGAGAAAAGAACAGAGGATAAATGAAAGATGACATATCAAACACATGTAATTAACAGGAAAAGGTTTCTTATAAATAACTTGTTTGGTAGAAGTTTCTTGTCTAAGGAACAGAAGAAATAAAATTCCATGATCCACGAACCTGTCAGAAACCCTTCATTTCACTGGCCTTTGAAAAACACAGCTATTGCCCACGCTCCACTACAAAACGCTATTTATTCAAGATCAAATAGTAAACATACCTGAACGGTACCAAATGTTGCTTTCGTCCTTTGGACTTTGAGAACACCTGAAACCGAGAAAAATATTTACACGCTTTTTATAGGATACTCACTGTAATAGCGTTCAAAACAGCGTTCCTACAAGTTGCCTGGGTAACTAACAATAGATTCGCGCCTATACAACAGGGCCGAGTTGTTCGAAGGCCGATTAGCGCTTAACCCGGGTTAATAAAATTAACCCGCGTTTCTTTATCTTGCGTTCAAAAACATTTTCTCGGATAATTTTCTGTGATATTTTAAGAACCAGCTTCCAATTATCAACTTGTAGACAAAAAGAATTAAAGCTGAAATGCTTTTTAAGCTTTCACATCTTAATTCAAATGTCGCACTAAGTTATCCTGGGATATCTTAACCCAGCTTTGAACAACTCGGTCCATGCTTACCGGTCCTAGATCCGTCCTCATCAATTGTTACCGTCTGCGATCCTGGCACAAATCCAATCTCTCCGTTCATCAAGTCATTGCCTTGGATTGTGATGGCAGCCCACGACTAAAGAATAAAAACAAACAAATAAAAAGACAGTCAGCCAGTCAGGCAGGCAGGCAGGCGGTCAGTCAGTCAATCAATCCTACGCCGCATTTGATAAAACGTTCATTCTTTGTTCCACTTACGAGAACCAGTCAGGTGATGTTGGCCCTTTTGAGCCTGCGCTTGACTCTGAGTAGGTGTTGTATCGAATTGCACGATGGGACGTTTTGCGGACGGTATCCTTTTTTTATTGGCAGTTAAGACGCTGCGCGGAAGACAAGGTCAAAATTCGTTCCCCAAAACAGAGCAATAGTGCAATTCGACAACACGGCAAGGCGAGGGAAGTGAAGGAGGCAGTAAGCCATAATCCACGCCGTCAAGACTAAGGTGACATCGTGGGATAACTTGCCCAATTTTATAAAGCTGCAATCCACTTTCACCGTGGTCACTTGAAGCGATTCAGTTAAAGTATCAAACACCGAAGAAGCTCCCTCTATGACGGATACCATTGCCAACTACTGTCCTCAAACTACTTCTATTTCAACTCACCTGAAGACCGCTGTCAGCATCGCTGGCGACCCTAGCACCACCTGTGGCATCTGTTAAGTAAACTATGACAACTTCGTCAGGTTCAGGGACTTGGTCATCCTTAATCTCAAGTTGCACCCTTTTCACTTGTCCTTCTGCTGGAACGGGTTCTTCATTCTACAACGAATTGTAAACATCACATATTCGAGGGACATTACCACCAGCATTAAGCGCTTCTTGGATATCAACGAAAGTGTAACTGTGTTAGTGTTATTCGGAACACATAAACAAAACCAAAACCAACCTAAATGAAACTGAAACTTTAGGGACTCCTACTTTAATCGTGTAGTCATTCTTTGGAATACTCTGCCTCTTGAAATCAAGAAATGTACGTTTTTGTCATCTTTCAAAAAAGATACTTCGTGCGCATAATTTATATTTCACTACTTTTTTCAGCCGTTAACTGTCCTAATAGCCAAAGAACTTTAAAAACTATCTGTTTAAAATGTACATCGCTAAACTCTTAACTCTTACATTCTACCTAAGAATGTACATATTTAACTAAGTAGTTTTAATTGTATTCGTGTAAAAGTATCCTGTCATTTTCTAACGTATGTATATTGCATGCTCGAATTTTATTAAACCACACAATAACGTAGTTTACACGAAAACTTGGGTGAATTTTCGTTATACTAGCAACTAAGATTGAGTTACGGGAAATTCTTACCGGGAAATTCACTCTTGCTGAAAGCTCAACGTAGTCAAGACCAATAGTAGCGTTCTTTTCTCCTCCTTTCCCCTGAACAGCTGACTTTAGGGACTGAAGGCTTGGGTTCCACGGCTCCCCTCCACCCACGGACCTCACAAGAACAGATACAGCGCCAAAGGTTCCTTTGGTTCGTTGGATCTCTAGCTCTACCATGCGTGAATTTCCGCTTGTTGCGTTCTCTGGTACTGTTATGCGAGGGTTCCGGAAGCTAAACACTCCCTGCGGATCGTCATTGTCTGTAACTGATATGCGCACAGTCCTGTTCACGCCAAGACGTGGAGAATGACCTGCAGATAGAATGATTCAGAAAAGAAATGTTACCTTTCAAACTACTGTCGGTATTAAAAAGAACTTACCCAGAGACTTTTCGATCTTTGACTGCCAAGGTTATTCGCAAAACATCCCAAACTTTAGAAACTTTCGATCATTTGATAAAATCAAAATTAGTGACAGAAGATGGGAGCGATTGTTGTGACAAACAGGAAAAATCACAATACTGTTTTTTTTTGGGGGGGGGGGGGCTATGAGGTAAATTAAGGGGCGGGAGAGAAGGAAAAAGTTGCCGAGTGGCGGCGTGTCAACAGAAACGTAACTCGTTCAAGTTTGCTACGTAAGCGTCGTTCATTGTAGAGAGCCCAGCATAAACTACTCTGAACAATTTATTTATTTGCAGTGAAGTTTACTCACTTCCAGTGACGCTGGTGAGGTTGAGGTACAATACACGATCTTTCTGCGGGTTGTTATCGCTGTCGGGCACATTGACGTTGAATTCCGTAGTAAACACTCCTTGTGCCATGCTGAATGAGCCCGGTGTCCCCAGGAAGGTATAGTGAACTGTTATCGATCCCAAAACGCTATACTGACGAAGGGCTTTACACTTCACCTAAATTGACAAAGAAAAAAACATGACTGCTCGGAGTTAACCCTTTCAGTCCCAATAGTGACTAACATCTATTTTCTCCTAGCAATATCCATATGTTGCCAAGAGAAATGGTTCTGAGAGTTAACAAAATGATCACAAAGGGAAAAAACTTTGACCTTTCATCAAATTCTGTCAACTAATTCTTAAAAGAAATGGATGGAGATCAGTTTGGAGAATTTGTATGTGGATATTGGGGGTCAAAGGGTTAACCCGGCGCTGTTCATGTAAACTCCAGCTACTCTATTTAATTGAGAGTTCAAGCAACTATCACGGCGACACAGTAAAAACACCATTTTGAGAGGAATCCACCTTTTCTTTTAAACTTTCAAACTTGCTCAATTTGTCAAATGCAGGAGAATTTACCTTGAGTTGAATTCGCAAGGACCACTGGTATCCAAATTCAAAAAGGAAAAGGAAGATTTCGTAGTCCCGTCTTTAAGTCCTGCACAAAACGTGTCATTGGGAAAATTCACGTCGCTATAGTGCAGTCGACGTTAAAGACATACCATACCGTGCAAAGCTGTTGTTTAAGTCATAAAACCAATTGGTTTTTCACGGCGACGTCGCAGTTGTCGTAGTGCTTGTTTAAGCTCCGTTATGCTCAGAGCAGAGCTCTAACAGCGTTTGGTGGCCCCAGAGGTCTTACTTCCCCATTTGGGGGACAAAATGTAACTTTAGGTCACTTCTATAGTGTTTTTTTTTCCTAGAGCACGGAAGATATGCTTAATGTAAATTTTTATCAACAAAAGCCCTCACCGTTCCCCCTTCCAACGCTGCAAGTCTTTGACTGTCTGGTGCTATGACGACAACACCGCTGTACTCAATAACTGCTGTTCGACTGGCTCCGGAAGTAATGTTTGCGCCACCGGGTAGGTCAGCGGGTGCTGTGTGAGTTGTGACCAGGTACAAAGAATAGACAAGTTTTCTATCTGGAACAAGCATTGGTTGTACCTAAACAAGAAAAATAAAAATACTTTTTTAAACATAGCAGTCACTTCAGTCACGACGCCTGAACAACGATATTTGCCGCGCACTTGCGACGCGCCATCTTGCGCATTTGTGAAAAGTTTACGCCACTGAAGATTTGAAACTAAACTTACTGTTGCGAAAAATGTGACATTTCTTCTTGATCCAGTGAATGACAGCGGACTGCCGTTTATGACAAGCTGCCCCGCGCCAAAGTCATTAGGAAATGTTCCAGTAGGGGATCCCTGGGCGACATCTACTGCCACACTGCCGAACAAGCCTTCACGAACAACAGTAATCGATGAAACGACGTTTCCTAAAGACAAAGAAAATCAGACGACGAAGGTTTTGTGATGTATCTTTTTTCCTCAGTCACAGTATTATGAGCACGACAAAACAATATAGTAAGCGACAGCAGATCATGATGTCTATCTAAATAGGTTGCTGATGATACAGTACTGAACAAAGTTCGAACACTGTACTTTCTGCAGCAAGCAATGGCGTCTCCAGAACACAGCCCTTAAAAATACATTTTTATATCACAAAAAAAAACAAAAAAGCGCAAACGGCAAAACTGAAAATAACGATGTTTATCACCGCGACTGGGGTAAAAATGTAGTTATTGAAGAAATCGGTGAGCTAACGATTTGAACAAAAGCCCTTGCTGAGAGCGATTATAAATCGGTGAAGAACCACAAATAAATATTTTGTTTTACTTGCTAAATACATACCAGCTCCCACGTGCAGCTTCAGAGAGTTGTCAGTGAACTTAAACACGGCGTTAGCTGCATCCTCGGGCACTAAAACAACCTCTGTCGTGTCACTCTGTGAGCCAGTTGAAAGTTGCGGAGCGATAGAGGTCGCTGGAACTAAGGAGACAGGAAAGGTTACAGAGCATAGAGTATAGAATGGCATATTCAGATGCCAAACGGGCAGGTTAAGGCCTACTATGGGATAAAAAACAAACACAGTCCATGTTGGTGTGACTGTTCTCACTACACCGCATACCATGCAGTCCAGGCCACAGCTGTTTCGAAGTAGCTCTAGCCTAATCAATGGAATAAATCCGAGAGAAGTTACAGTCTATCTCAAAAAGCACGTTTGATGTAAACTTATCTCTTTCTTCTTAAACTTTTCCATGCGTCAGAAATGACACCTACCTTGATTGGCGCTATAACTAACACGTGTCAGTGAGACAGTGAAGCTCGAGCCAAATCGTAAGAAGGCTGACAAAGTAATATTCTTAGAGACCTACAAAGAAGAAAAGGGAAAAAAAATCAGATAGGAATATTTCTCGCTGTCCTTTTTCCCCGCTGTTTTAGTTCGAGCGTATGATACCACCACGGCGAGGGAAAAGAGAACAGTAGAAAAACAAAAAACTTCTGCACGTCTCTTTTACATTTGCTATTATTGCTACATTTCTCTGTTGTTCTCTGCAAAACAAGAAGGTCACGTTTTTTGAAGAACCTGAAGACAAAGCGACTAATTTATTTTCTTTATTTCAACTTCGAGACCTTCTCATAAAATTATGCCCCTGACAATTTATTAAAATAAGACAAAATAACAAAGCAAGCATAATTTAAATGAATGGTAGTCGGAATTTCTACATCGTTAGTTTAAATTCACGAAGGTTGCCTATATAAGTGAATTGGTCAGCACTCTACAGTCACAGCGACGAACGCTAACCGGGATTTGTACAGGTCACGTTTTCTTTGCGGTTGTAGGAAGACAAATATCAAAAAAGCGCCAAATCTCCGTAACATCACCGAACGTCCGCACGTGAAATTCACGTACGAAAGCACCTAAAAATTATGCAACAGTGGAATCAACCTTGAACTCTAATGAGATAACCCTTTGGTATCAAAACCCCTGGAAATAAGAGTAGACCCTCTTATAGTAATCTTGCCTGGCGTTCTCCATCAGGTACTGTAACACTCCCTTGCATTTCCGTCGGGTACCACTCGGAATGGCGCACCTGGTACTGCACATCCACTGCACCAAATGTACCCATTTCTCTTTCGACAGTGAACTGTAATTTTCGATTATTCCCTTCGACTTGAATTGTTTGGGCGCCCAGTTGAAGCTTGAAAACTCCATGAGGGTTATCATTAGCACTAAAATCACAAGATTGACCAAGGGAATTAAACTTCAATCGAGACACTTGAAACAGATTTCATGAAACAGATTTCAAGAGAGAAAATATTATTGGTTTTAGCTATAGTGGTTAACAACCGCAACTTGCTAAAAAAAAAAAAATGGCGCCATGTTTAAGAAAAATGTCTAACATCTTTTTTGGCTTTTCTCTCTGTATTTCGTTTTCAGAATCAACAACGGTGTGACGTTCCAAATGAAGGTTAAGAACGCCTCAATTTCAGTATTTTATAAAACGGAATTTTTCTTGATGGTGTGCAAGGGTAAAGTGCATATAAGCCCCTCCAAAAATAAGCCCCTCGAAAGGGACCTTTGAAAAATATAAGCCCCGAGGCTTATTTTCGGAATTTTACGGTGTGGGGTCACCTTAAAACAGGTTTTACTATGGGGTTCCCTTTAAAAGCAGGTTTTTCTGCATTTCAGCCTTATCACGCCTTACCGGCTGGATATAGCAGATACCGGGGCTAAGAGAGACTAGAGGTCTCACGAAAAAGGGAAATTTCAAGCGACATTGGCCATCAATTTCACGTGGACCCATACATGCACCGCTAAGAGCATCCGAAGTATACCTTATTATGAAGGTAAGATTATTGCGGGCAGGATCGATATCTGCTCCACCGTCGACAGACACGATTTTCAGTCTGTAGGCCGCTTCCAGTTCAGGTACATTGTCTGAGGTGATTTCCACAACAATGTTCTTCATAAAGTCATTCTCTGGGAAAGTTACCGTGCCAGAAGTGGTCTTCACCCCTCCTGAGGGACCAGTAATTTGCCAATTCACCTGTTAAGGGAGGAAAGTAATTTAATCCTCGGTAAGGGCAGATTAATCGCTGTCACCTTTGTCCAAATATCTGTCCTAGTGCTGTGCCTCTCTATGCGGAGGGGAGAATTGATTACAGCTACCACCCACTAGGCTGTGTAGGATCATATTGCCGCACTCTTTTTAGGCAGCAAGACAGTATAAAATATTCGCATTCTCTGTAGTAAAAGGGAGTAAGCCGTTTCCAGCTGAGGTTTATGATAAGGTAGCCTACATAACAGACGCTTTGTGAGCCAAGCGAGGCGAACGCGGCATTTCGCACTCGTTACGCGCTTCGCGCAAAATGCCGCGTTCGCCTGGCTTAGCTCATAAAGCGCCTGTTATGCAGGCTAGCTAGGGAAACGTTTCACATGTTTGCAACTACTGTGGATGATATTTCGTTGCAATGCGTTAAATACTGAGATGAATATGCTCTGTATGGAAACGCAGGCAAGCAAGACAACGAAAATCATCTGTGAAAGAGTTCAGTATTCACATAGCTCTGGGCGGAGTGGTACTAGCCTGTGAATACAGTCGCCTCGGGAAGTGAGGAGAGGCTCTGTATGTGCAGGTGAGGGGGCGCAGCGATCTTGCTAGGCAGCTATACATGTAAACCAAACTGCAGAAGGACCAGAATCTGGATGAAGAACTCCATGTTACAGAGAAGGAATCCCACTCCACAAAAAGTGACTTGTCTTTGAAATCAGTACACGTTAGGCCTTAAATAACAATTTCCGCTTAAAAAGGCTCAGCGAGTTAGTACGTTAGCACAAAACCAATTAAATTCGCCCCGCAGAAGTAAAAATACAAGGAAAGGGGCTGCTTTCAGAGGACCTTTATTCGGACGGTTGCAGCAACGAAATAGTCCTTGTGCGAGGTTTACTTTTTAATTTAAAATTTAATATTGGGTCGGTTAAAACGACTTAGACCACGGTTTAGGAAATCTTTGGACCTCCAGATATCTTCCTTAGTGGGTTATTTCTAGAAGACAAATAGTCTACGCTATGTGCTTTCATGAAACTGTTTACGATAATTGGTGTTTACATAAACGCGTTGGACAAACTGACAATGGATTAGAATGCGGTTTTAACACTAGCTAAACTCCGTTTAAATAACTGGCCCAATGGGTACAATACTCACATTGACTGTTCCTTGTCTGCCTTCATCTCTCACCACACGGAAATGTTTTGTTGACACGCCGCTATCTGGTTCAGTAAACGTCAGCGTGGCTGTATTGTCAAACTTAAACACGCCATTGGGAAAGCCATGCTTGGCGATAGTTATGGTGACATTAGATTGCAGACTATCAATTGACCCGTTACCAGAAACTATGTAAATCATTAGAACAAAGCGTTCTTCAGGTTCGTCATGCCCTTTTAAAAAGAAGAAGAAAAAAAGACGTTTCAATTTGTAGTCAAAATGAATGCAGAACCAAAAATCTACTTGGCACAGGGTTACAACTACTGTTACTTTTAAACCCTTAGGTGACCAACCAATACTGAAGAACACTTACCAAGGAAAGGTCTCACACGCAAATTAACAGTCTTTTGAGCTCCCATGACACCGTTAGGAAACAGTTCTGATCCGTTGGTTGGTCCTTCAAAATCTTCGGACAACACGCAACTACTACATGGAGGGTGGAGCCGAACTAACTTCCAGCTCACCTAGAGTGCGAATAAAGGAATGTGTTAAGGTTATCCAAAATATCATACGAGGAACTTGCACACCTTGACAACTGCCCAGAATGACCCTCGTTATACCATGAACGAGCAATACGCTGCCAAGGGTGCAAAATCCATATTCCACCATCCCCTGCTTTGGTCCTGTAAAAGTTCTGCCGACTGATGAAACATTGAAGAAAATCATTCCTTCGGCAAGCAAAGGTCAAAGGCCCTAGCGAAGCCGAGGTTGATAGTTTTGTTGGAATTTGTGGGGAACGCACGCTCTTTGGCGATGGGCTCCTATTTTTAGTGTAAATCTGACAGCGAAAAAACAAAACACTTAAGAGTTTTAGTTTACACGCTACTGAGTTTGTGATATAAATCAAATTTTTTTCCACTTCTTGCACGTTGTTGCGGTGCTTCATACAAATTGTATTAACAAAGGTTCTTTCACTAAAATCCCATGGTAGAAAGTAAGTAAACCAGGTAGCACTAGGGTAATTAAAACCTAAAACATTTCTTCGTTACTTTCAATTCAAGTTTCTTACCTCAACTTCTCCCTCTGCTCCACCTTCTCGTTCGATAATAAAACTGATATCTTTGGAGATACTTGGGTTTTTGAGCGACAGCTGAGAGGCATTCACAAATCCAAACAATCCACTGGGGTCATCGCTCGTTTCTATGGTAACGGTGACGGTAGTAGGAGGGCTTAATTTGGCTCCCCCTGTCACGGAGTCTAGCGTGACTGTAAATGATTCACGCTGCTCAGGGATATCGTCGTCAACAATAGATACATTAATTGAAGAGGAACTTTGACCGCTAGAGAATTGAATGACCCCACCAGAAAGGGCGAAGTCCTCACCAAGGAAGGCTGTTCCGTTGTGGACAGTAAACCTAACGTCGACAACTCCAAGGCTACCTCCTGTTTTAAGAAAAGAGACAGAAAAAGCAAAGCGAATAACTTATCAGGTTACTTTTGCACTTTGACCAACTTTATGAGGCTAGCCCAACGAGACGATTTTTGCCCACTTATGCCGCAACAGCTTCAAACGAAGATTGAAAATGTTCCTTTACCCCTTAGGTCTGGAAAAGTCAACAATTGAGAACGAGCCTATAGAAAGGAAACTGTCCACGATATGCAAGTACTGTGTGACCGAATATTGGTTTATTTGGGGGTGAGAGAACTTTTCCGTATTACAAAGGTAAGGACTGTTTTGATCTTAAGAACAAGGATTACAGTCACTGTATACTTGGCACAAAAAAAAGTCTACAAAGCTTAAACATGTTAAAAAGCTGTTTAGTTAAACAGCGTTTATAATTGTTTTCTTTATTAAAGCTGCTTACTGACTTAAGTTGATGGCTAATTTGGTGCAAATTACATAACAAATTTACGTAATTTGGTGCAAATTATACTAACTACGAGAGAACGACTGGAGAACTGACAATTTGACTAACAATAGACGACTGTTTAACTGTGACAATAGACGGATCGAAACGCACCAATTACTGATTACGAGTCTTCATAGCCAATAACATCACGGCTTAACTGACAGACGACCAATAGCATCGCCACATAATTGACCAATCAGATCAATAACCAGAGTATAATAACATCGCCACATAATTGACCAATCAGATCAATAACCAGAGTATAATACCATCAACTGACGTGATACAACTCACTTTGACTCTAAAGATGACTACCGCACAGGTTGTCGAAACGTCAGTCACTATCAACAACAACAGTCCTCTTTAGGACTGCGTTCACCCGGACGATCAAACTCAACCTACTTTTGAAATGACTCCTGGGTTCAAACCTTTCACATGTTGAATTTAACTGCAATCCTAGGTGAAAACCTGTATTCCCGTTTTCCATGTCTGTTGTTCATTTTTTCTTTAACCTCGTTTAATTCAACATGTTTAGTCGGTGTGAATGGGGTATAAAACAAAGAGAAACAACCACTAACTTTGTAACCATCAACCAACCTTCTCTAACCAACTGGAGAACAGCAGTTCCAATCTTCTCTCTAACAACCATAGCACTCTGGGTAAAGCGAATAATGCCACGAGCCTCGTCGTTTTCTTTAATGACGATCTGCACCTCGCTCTTAGCTGAATTAATCGTTGGAGGAGTATTCAGCTGGAGTCCATCTATCACGCTGTAGTTAAAGGGTGAAGCAGAGATGAGCTGCACGCCAAGAAGCTGGACTTTGATAGTTTCTGACAGCTCCGGTATGTTGTCTCTCTTTATTAAAACAGAGATGGTTTTCTGATCCTCTCTTTCAGCGAAAATGAGAACTGTCAAATATTTGGTAAAAGGAAAGTCAGTTGTACAGCGTATTTACTCCAGCAACGAATCATACGTAAGGTCACAATTACTGTGACCAAAATTAGGTTGTAGTCACTCGAACCTCTAGAAGTTACGTTACATACATAGCTGTCAGAAGATGAATAAAACTTAACATTGTTTCCGATCTCTCAGCACTGTAGATCAGCTCTTGCCCTTGGCTGGCTTTCTTGTATTAATTCTTAGCTCTATTCTGCCGGTTCCTTCCTAATTTACTCGCCATTTTAGGATCGAGAAGGGAACTGGGCCAAAATAATTTTCGAAAAGACTTCTCGGATGGTTACTAGGGACAGGGAAAAATATGAATTGGCCAATAGCTAGCCGGAGACGCATTTCGGCTCCAGTTTCCTTCTCGTTTCTAAAGCGGCGAATATGGTTGTGTTAAGGTGCACTAGGCTGATAAAGAAATACTTCACTGCGTAACTCACATACGGTATCTAAAGTTGAAGCAAGTGTTAACCTTTAAAATGTTTGACAGCCATCTTGTCGCGGAAGTACGGGTAATGCAGTACAACGGACAGGAGGGAATCCATCATGGCGGCTTATCAAACGAGAGATATTATTCATGTCTCGCCCAACACAATTCAAACACATTTTAGATAAGATCTTTCGTTTCAAACATTGTATCTTTTCAATTGCTATTTTCAGAAGTGGAAACGTTAAAAAAAACCTACCGCTGCCAAACGATTCATAGTCGGCTCCTTCAGTGGCCGTGTCTGACGAGACACTATAGTTCACAGATAACTGGCCAATGCTTCCTCCATTTCTCAGAACGGTAAGATTTACAAAGCCAATATCCTCGCTGACATTTAAAGGCGTAGCAGACTGGAACTCTACAATTCCATAGGGATCATCACTAGCGACCACTGTGATTGTGGCTCTGCGGGCGCTCTGTGATGGATCAAGAACCGTCTGAGTTGCGCCCGTCAGAGTGAAGGTGTAGACTGCCAGTTCCTCTGCTGTTGCATCATCTCTTACCTAACCAGCGAGGAATAAAAAGAAACAAGAAGAACACGAGTGAGTCAAGATGTGGGTTGAAAGTGGCACAGTCTATTTTAACCCAGAACTTCAGAGTGTTTAGAGACATTTCGAAACTCTCTTTCTCTAACCTTTTTGGTAGAGTTCACTAAATACAACGAGCCTTCAGTGCGTCTTCTATAACTGGGGACACCAGGACAAAGTTGACCAATCAGATTACACGAAAATAACAATACATTCCGAGAAAGTTGGTTGTCAGAAATAATTACTACGAAATCAAATAAACAACATGGATCGAAATCAACCAATTACAACCTACAGATGTGACCTCTTAAACCTGTTGAAAAAACCCTTTGTTATCCTTAGCCCATTGTAAAAGATTAAGATTCACATTCAGATTGAAGAAATTTCAAAGCTCTACACTAGTGAATTTTTATTACTCACCTTCAGTGGAAGCAATACTGTCTCCACTCCACTCGGCATAGTCACTGAACCCGAAGTTGCGTTAAATGTACTGGCGGGACTTGGTCCGACTCCAGCAGTTTGAGACGTTACTTCCCACGTGACCTGTGCATTGCCAGACTGACCAATCCGACGCTGCAACCTAAAACAATGGATTGATTAAAACAGTACGAATTTCACTAAATACTCAAATTGCACTCTAGAATTTGCACAACAGTGGTAGTTTATTCCCTTTGAGAGACCAAATGACCATAACACGTTATTTGCGGCATTTCATAAAAAGAGATCTATTAGTTGCCACTTCCGCAATGACGTATTTCACCACAGGATCATACGAACCGCAACCTTGATTTCGAGAATTTCGGTACCCGCCTTCCAATACAATTTTAGAACTAGCTGTAATCCCGTCTGAGGGCTTGATTTTTTCCCAGGGTTAATCCTTATGTCGTTAATTGCGTAAATGAATGCAAACATTCTCCTTTTGATGTCATTCCTGCTGTCCCCATAACTTCCCATCCGGCAATTAAATCTCGTCTCAACAGGTTCAAGAGACTTTTGAGAGCTTGGAACATGCCTTCATATCAAATAAAATTTGAAAGTAAAAGTTCCTTAAAATGGAAAAGGTCAACAAACAACCAAATTAGATATACTCCAATCCTGTTAATACGGACAGTGAGGAGGCCATATACAGTGTCCGTATTAACGGATTGTCTGTATTAAGCGGGTTGAATTTAAAGAAAATTTAAGGGTTTTCTTTCCCCAGAGACAAAGCAAACTGTCCGTAATAATGAGGTGTCTGTAATAAGCGGGTGTCCGCAAAGCGGGGTTTGACTGTAGATCTAATATGAAAAAAGGGTACGTAAACGTCTTGTTTCTTCACTAACCGTACGACAAAAACACCATCATATCCTTGCATTGGTTCTCCTGCTATTATATTCCTTGCTGATGGATCAATTGACACAACTCCCTCAACTCTGTCATTGGCTGGGATATAAACGGTGGCTTCATCAAGCTCTGAGTCGAGAACTCCGCCATTATCAGCAGAAACAAGTTGACAAGTGAATGATTGCCCTTCTTCAGCTACTGAGTCATCTACTGCATGGAGCACAATAAATTGTGACTTGTCGCCCTGCAAGAATGAGGTAGGAAAGAAGTCTGTTGGATTTACGCTCAGAAATTTAGTTTCTTGCATAATAGAAATGCCTCGGCTTCCCTAAGCAAGTAAGCTTTTTCTCTTCACCTCTCCTGTGCCTTTTAACCAGATAGCGTTCTTAAAACGAATTTTTGTTGTGATACTAATTTTGATACTTCTCCTTTATTTGAACATTTAACTTGTCAAAAATCCTAACTATAATTGCGTGCAGATCATAACTCATGATTACTGATAGTCTACAGAGAAGAGTCGGTTAGGCAAACAATAGTGTCTTTTCTCTATTTACTCCCTTAAGGAGGCAGAGTGGCCAAGTGGTCAGCACGTTGGACTCGCAATCCGGCAGTCCCGGTTTCGAGTCCTGCTCTAGCCACTTCCTGGATCTGCTCTCGGTTGTCCCGAGTTCAAAACCACAGCCACGTTTGCAAATAACCAACTGGCTCCCCCCTGCTAGTTGGAGTTTCTAATCCTGTTATGTTGTATCTGAAATATTTCTTTCTAAATATTTGAGTGGAGTGCCTGTAAACTAGCAGGATAAGCTAAGTGCACTTTCCACTATAAGCAAGCAATTTTTTTTTTACACCTTCTAAACCTTTAACTCACCTGCTTAAACATGATAGAGCCATTCATTGGTGATATTTGAGAATTAGCGTTGGTAATGCCAGCATTAGGGACAATTTTCCAGTTAACATGGACATCTCTGTAAGTGCCACGCTCTCTCTTCACTTCAAGTCGTAAAGTGTTTCCTTCTTGTACGACGTTGATTCCGTCAGAGATGGCCTTGGTAAAGCTAAAGGGCAAACAAGCAGTTCACCATGAATTATCACGGAATACATAAACTCTTACAGCAGGCAGATACCCACTATTGAAAACGTTTAGCTTAGCTCAGCTTTAGTAAGTATCACACAGACTTGTACAAATGATAAATGATTGGTTGGAAAGTAAGGGTGAATGATGAAGAAGGGCGCAACCCGACACATTCATAAACCAAACAGTGCAAACTACCTAAAGTAACCTTCATTCGGCTCAACTAACACATTTCAATGTTTCTTTCCAATCGTTCCAACATTTCAAAACAGAAAAGAAATTTCATAAATTACGACCATATACAGTAACGAAGGGTTAACGTCTAAGTTGGTGGACAATTCTACAACCATTCATCTGTTCATAAGCAAAAAGCTCTTCAGCAGTGCCTTCACATGGCATGATTTTTTATGACCACTGGTGACGCAGCTATCTTGAATTTTCATAAGGAAAACACAATGGAGTCAAAGGGTGAAGTACTCATGGTGATTTTTCTCCCAAATGATTCTCAGTCGATTAAATTATTACATACCCAAATCGTCCGTAGGGATCGTCATTAGGTTTAACAATGACATCGACTTTGCTCTGTGGGCCTATCTGGACACCTCCAAGAGGCCGACTAATTTGAACGTAAAATCCTTCTTCAATCTCAGGAACGTTGTCGTTGACTATGCTGATGTTAAACATCACACTGGAAATCCCAGGAGCAAACATAACAGTTCCATCGCTTGGAGAGAAATCTGAGTTGTTTGCCGCAGCATAAATGTTCGAAATTAGAGGACGAATGATGAACCGGAATCCGACAGTTCCTGAAAGACTACCAGTTCGCTGCACTGTGATGTTCAGCATTCCCACATTCTCGTCGACCATAATGGTTTGCGTGGCAGGGTCAAGCAAGGCAGCAACATCGAAGTTAAGTTCTCCTGCTGTTTGATTGGGTTGGGCAATAACTACTTCCAGTAAGCGAGAGTTGGGATTAATACGTGGGGAATTTGAAACCATGGAACCTTGCTTGAGGGTCACTGAAGTGAGATTCACTTGGAAAATTTTCTTGATTAGTGTGTTCGTATACTAGAAAGAATGAAGAACATAGAGCATGAATCACATCGATTGAACAGGAGATTAAGAAACAACAAAGTGTTCTACTTGGTTATCAAGCTATAAAATACCAGACAAATTTCACTGCTAAACTGGTGACTGTTTTAGCATTAGGGAGCTTATGCAACGACGACGGCGACGTCAACGAGAACGGCAAAAGAAGCAATAGATCGGCAAAACAACAACTGTGCACGTCCAACACCCTTTTTTTGTACATTCCTTTGCCGTCACTGCACGACTACGACGTGAAAATGCATAATTTCACGTTTTATGCAGGACGTGAACAAAAGACGATTTTCTTTTTCCTTTCCTGAACTTCGATTCAGTATTTTAGAATTCAACTCCAGAAAAAATTGCCAACATTTGACGAATTGAACAATATGGAATAAGCGCGATAAAGTTTGAAGCAGTGCGACTTCACTTTTTAAGTGACGTTTTCGTAGCCGTCGCCGTCGATGTTGCTTACGATCCGGTCTGGGCGAGCAGGTCTGACTTGCTCCCTCGAAGAGCTTGCACTCGGACTGCCATCTTTTTCTGAATATCTCTGCGGTTTTTAGGCAATTTATCAAGTATTTTCTCGGCGCTAAAAATTTGGTAGCATAAACGTTGAAAACATAACGGGGTTGAATCTTTGGTTTCTTCCATGGTCACCATTTTACTGAATGAGTAGGGACCTTAAGCAAAGGCGTTTTTGAGCGATGCACGTCAACCAAAAGTGAGATCTTTTTCATTTTAAAATAAATTGACAATACCAAATTGTCTCTTTCTCATTATAGAGACGATTTGTCAAAAAAAAATGGCAAAAATACCTCTTAAGAATGAAAAAAGGCCACTTCCGGTTGACGTGTGTCGCTCAAAAACGTCTTTGCTTAAGTTTATTAGGCCCCGTCCACACGTATCCGGAGATTTTTGTATCCGCAAATTTTTTTATGCGGATACACCTAGCGTCCTCACGTGTCCGCCGTATACGCTCGGTGTATCCGGAGATTTCTGTAGACGCTCTCCAGAGTGGAAATTTCTGTATACGCTGTGTATCCGGATACGTGTGGACGCTCGTATCCGCTGACGTCACAGTATCAGAACCAGTCTTTTTCCGCGCGAGATTTTCCATGCTCTGTTGACTAATCCTTTGAGATGTCCGGATACGAATCGAATACGTGTGGACGGTCGTATACGATTCGTATACGCTAAGTGTGGACGCAGATATTTTTGTATCCGCATAAAAAAATTTACGGATACAAAAATCTCCGGATACGTGTGGACGGGGCCTTAGTGGTTAGGTCTTAAGGCCTTTCGGCCACGTTTAACTTACGTGCGATATATCCAACGTTATGTGAGTGGAATTCATCCCAGCCAAAATATCAACGGTACTCGTCACAGCCTTGTAATCAACTCCTGCAACAGCTGGTTGCTCATCATTGTTAGCCACACTTGAAAGTTGAACAGTTTCATAAGCCACTACAAGGTCTCCAATGAGGCCGAACTGCCGCATGATGGAAACAGAAAGGGTGACATTCTTGGGGCCATTGTCTTGAGAAATTATAAGAGAGTTCTTCCAACTGATTATCCCATGAGGGTCATCATTAGCTGGGATAACTAGCATAGCTGTAGTACGTGCAGTGTTGAGCACGGCACCTCGGTTTGAATCTGCAGACCCAGTCTCAGTAAGGCGCAAAAGTCTGCAAAAGACGTGTAAAACAATTGTAACACGATTGACACCAAACTTAAGATTTTTGCTAACCTCAATGTGCTCTTTCTGACTATGTGGGTCTTGCGTTGTTTATCCCATAATAAACGGACTCGCACCCAACCCTGTTTGCTTTGAAACTAGGCAATAAGGAAGTAATCTGGCCGGCGTATATAGCGTATGGACCTTTTTTGGGAACTTTTCCTAATAAGACGGAAGGTGAATTTGAAAGACCACCGTAATATTACCTATTTCGAGTTAACATCCAAATTCACAAACCTGACATAAGCAACTTCCAAAAGCTCAGGAATCATGTCCCTGTGTACCGTTAATGAAATATTCTGAGTAGTTTCCCCATTATCAAATACGAGTTCACCAGACATGGGAGAGATATCTCCGTTACTGATATTGCCAGAGACATTCCACAAAGCCACCACTCGACCCAAGCTACCGTACTCTCTAATCACTTCAAACGTGACAGTTGAATCGGCGGCAAGTTCGGCGTTTACTTTGGTCAGCGAACTCGGCGCAAAGCCTATACGGCCATGCGCATCATCGTTGGACAGAATATTGATGGTGAGTTCTTGTTTCTGAGTGTTCACAATAGCTTTTCCCGAAGCATTGTAGATGCGTACAGCGAATGTTTCGTCTCTTTCAGGGGTGTTATCAGGTAAAACTGTGAAGTCAAGTTCAAGCTCCTTTTGTCCGCCTTCAAAGATGAGTTGTCCTTGCCTGGCAAAAACATAGCACATATAAACGTTTTGGATCATTTTTACATTAGGTTTTTCTAATGTTTATTAATATCTGACAGTTAGTACGAAAAAAAAAACACATCAGAATATAAGCCATTAAAGAGGTTTAAAAGAGTGTTTCCGACAAACGGTAAAAGTCAGATTCAAGTTGGCTATTTCTCACAACTTATGACAGACTGTGCAAAATATTACAATTTTTATAAAGCGTTTACGCATGACATCAAGGCGGCCATATTGGTGTTCCAAACAAATCCTGTAGGAGTTTAACTCCTTTTATATGTCAACGTTCATTTTTGTTCCAACGATGTTGCATAGACGCTGGTCGCGTGAGTGAAAACGCATGCTAAACCTGATATAAAACTGCTATTTTTGTTCTGATATAACAAAACTGAACAATTTAACGAAAAACTTAGTCACTTGGCACAAATTGACGTTTGTCGTTAACGTGATTCTAAATTTTTCTATTATTTAAACAGAATATGTCTCCTGATTTCAAACTAGCGAAACGTACTTGTTTGCCGTCTGGATTTAGCAATCAACCGCAGCTTTTTGAGATGAAAAGAAAGCAACACAAACCAACCTGGGGATAAAGTCAGCTTGAGGTGAAAGCCTCACTGGGCGTAAAACAGGTGAATAATGTTTCCCAGACACTGCTGCCAAGAATAAAGCTGTATTGCCAGCCACGTCATCAACTGTAACAAAGGGAGTTGCAGTGTGGACATCTTCTACGGTTGTGTTCTGGAAATGGAAACATAAATAAATTATTAAATAAATAAATAAATAAAAGCATAATGATACTAATAATTCCAAACTTGAGGAAAATGACTCTTTCCCTACTGCCTGGAACAACTGTTTACATTTGACTTACATAAGTTGTTCAAAGGTTGGATAGCGCTTTCCAGTAGATAAGTGTTAGGGAAAAAATTGTAATATATATTCACTGGATAATATCAACGTAAGATTCCGATATTTCGCCAGGAGCGTTTTGCGAGACAAGCAAGAATGGCTCACGATTTCTCAGTATTATGCAGCCTCAACAGTGTAAAGATTTAACTTACACCTATTTTAAAGTTTTTTTTTTAACTAGGAACAATACTGACCATTTGAAGGGTGAACTTTGATACACTGTCCCACATGTAAACATTCATATGTCCACTGCTATCAACCGTAAGGAGATAAGCTGAAAACAAAGAAAGATGAACCAGCCATTAGTAAACCACACGATCCCAGAAATCTCGTTAGCAAAGTTTATTCTTCAGACTCTAGATTTCTCCAAAGGGTCAAATGATGTCAAACATTTTAAACCCTCCCTACATTTTGATATCCAGATTGAATAGCTAGGAAGTTCTTAAAAAGTGATTTGCCAAACTGCTCAAGGGCCGGCCAACCCCAACCCAGGATTAACCAGCTGGCTCTTTTAAAAGGTGAATGAATTATCAAGGAATTTCTACTCTGGAAGCCAGTCCCTACGGATTGAATACCGCGCGCATGGCTGGTAAATCCCCAAAGCCAGTCGTGAACCCCCATTCCAGACACTCGTCTTACAGATTGAACCAACTGAAGGACAAATAACAAGTTTGGTGGGGTGTGGTAGAACTTAACACCGCGGCTAACAAAACCTCGCGATGGTTAAACTGTTCAGTAAGAACTTAGAACCAAACAATTTTGTTTACTGTTAAAGTTCACCATCTCTGGGTGTGGTATCTTAATGAACTCCTCGCTAAACATTAACCCTTACAATTCCAAAGGAAAGACTCGATAATAATTCATATACCACAGTCACAAGCGAGCCGACCACAATCTATCGAGCAACCCGGACAAACTGTAAAGACAAATCTGTTCAAAAGATTCCCGTATACACTTACCATTGCCTTGCATAACATACGGTTTCGCTGACAGAACATTTTGGATTGGAATACTCTGCACTGCCGCAGTGTCAAATCTATTACTGTTCCAGCGATATATGTCCACAGTAGATTTAGAGTTGGCAAACACCAAATAACTCTGCCCATTGTGTTCAAAATGTTCCACTCCTATTGGCCCGTTGGTATCGATTTCTTGGAGTAAACTGAACGAGTTTGTCCTCCACTCATAGACGGGTGATTTAGTTTGGAAACTTCCACTTGCTTTGTCGTGGTAGAAAGCTATGGCGACTTTTAGGGTTCCAGCGGTGACAAAGACAGCCAAGTTAGAAGCGCTACGGGTATTATCGATGTTGACATTCTCAGGAGTAAATCTGTCAACTGCCCACTTGTAAACCTGCAAAGGAAATAAGGCAATAAGGAACAGCAAAAATGAAGGTAGCCTGCGAAAACATCCGTTTCTCATCGCTCTTCGCCGCTGGGGACGTTTCGCGTTTCGCTCTTCCGAGCGAAAATTTCGCAGCGGCGAAGAGTGAGGAGAAACGGATGTTTTCGCAGGCTAAAATGAAGGTAGAAATGAAAGTAGAGCGTTTTCACATCACGTCACGGCGGTCATCTTGGTGTTCCAGTACAATGAAACAGCGGCCATGTTGGTGTTCCAAACCAGTCCTGTGGGAGTTGAACTCTTTTCTTATGTAAACAATTTCTTTCGTTCCAAAAAATTTGCATACATGCTAGTCACCTGGGTTAAGATGTTCTATTGAATTTCCACTTCACCCAAAAAATAGCAAGGGGAAAGGGAAGGGTGAGAGAAGTATGGAAAGGGGCCACCAAACACCAGTAACGTAGGTGCGAACAAAAGATTTCTTCGAGCAGGAACAAAAAAAAAAAAAAACGAAGAAAATGCAAGATCCATTTAAGCTTTGTTTATCGATATTGTTACCGTAAGTGCCTAAACCTTCAGTCGGGTCTCCGTTTTCCCTGGGCAGGTCACTTGGGAAGTTAAGATCCTTCCTATCAAGTTAAAGTTGCTCCTTTTTCACGCACGACAGCTGAATACGCTGAATATGTTGAGGTAATACCAGACTATAATTTACTTACTACCCTGAAACAAAGGCAGATTTTTAGAAACGGTCTTTCGTGATCCTTATAAATACAACTGAGTTTTAGGGCGTGGTGTGCGGAGTGTCCCTGAACTTGCCACTGCAAAAGAGATACTTTTATGTAAAGATAGTTCTCTCCAAACAAAGGAAATCTTTACCTGTGAGCTGATATGCGTCTCCCCAGCATTATCCATCTGGTTTGCAACGATAAGATAAATATCACTCTGACCCGGAGGACTAAAGAACTTGACATCAGACGCTCCTTGAGTTGAAATGTTCTGAATGACAGTCAGCATTCCAGTATTATCCATTGTGTAAATTCTGGAGTAAGTCTCGTAACGCCCATCACTTCCATGATTAGCAACTGCCAGGTAAACTTTGTCTCCAACCACAAGAGTATCCCAAGCAACCGCTCCATCAGTAACAATGTTCTACAGTGACAGAAAAGCACAAAATGAAGATTTATGTAAACCAAAACCAAAATCGGAGACATCTGCGATAGCGCTATTTGCTGGACAAATCACTGTCCGGTGGATAAATATTAAAGGAAACCAATTGTGTTATTCATTGGATAGAGAATTGTCCGGTTGATAGCGCTATCCAACTTTGAACATCTAGGACCAGAATAAGAACCAACTAAATCAAAATCTTATGTCCATGCAAATCGCTGAAGAGGAGTTAATTAATAAACCTACCCTAGTTTTCAAGCAAAGTTAATAATTCTAGGCACGAAGACATATCATAATTCGTTTTGTTTCTAATAAAACTGTGTACCTTTGTAGTCGCAAAAATGGGAAAGATAATAATTTTTGAAGCCTCGAACAGTCGAGTATTTACTTTTTTAGTAGAAAATAAATCAAATTAATTTGAAATTTTAAATAATACTATGCAAATTTCTGCCATAGAAGTTTCAGTTGAATGGTAACAATATAGGAGTTCGTCCAGAGACTACGCGCTCGGTCATTATTCTTAAATAGGCCTCAGTGTTCAGTCATTATCCCTTATACAGGTAATTCTGAAACAAGGCGATCTCAGAAGTATCGTGCTCTTACATACCTGCAAAGGAACAAGGACCCCTTGCCAACGGAACAACGCAGAACCAAAATATTCGCTAACTGCACCGTCGTTAACACCTTCTGGAAGAGCGCCAGTTCTGTTGTTGCTGGCGAGCAAAACAAATTGGTCCCCAAAAGCGAAGAATGTATGCCAGCTATAGGCACCCAAAGTTTTCATCAGTTGCAGCTTTTCAAAGTGAACGACATTACCAGATGATGAGTTGGCTGTCTGTGAGGCGGTCTGGTAATTTAAAGTGATTCGTCCAAAGTCTCCCTTGCTTCGAATGACCTTGGCCTTGACTATACTTTGTGTTTCTTCGATATCGACAGAGCTGCTGAGTGAGGAACTGGACACTATTTCTAATTCTCCATATGGTGAGTCGTTTTCAGTGATGGTAACCTGGGCTTCATACGGTGACGTAAGCCTTCCGTTTCCTTGATAAGAAACATTCGACATTCAACATAAAATGCGTTTAAAGAAGAGGGCTTTATATTGGGAAGGGGGGTGGGAGGAATGAAGCTCTCGGCAGTAATTGTTTGATTAGCTAGCAGAACAATAAAAGAATGGCCCAAACAAAGTCCAAAGGTCTAAAGACAATAGGAGGCGTTTTTTAAAGCACTACCCAGATATGAGTAGGGACACATGTCATCAGTATGGAATTTCTGCGCTCGACCCTCGGACGTCATTTCAAGAGGAAACTGTTGGTGGCGTCGCTAAATGTCGGCTGTTTTCTAAGGCCACAGCTTTTCAATCTTTTCGCCATGTTTTCAACAACAGCCAATCTTAATTCTTGATTTATGGAAGGCAAAAATGAACTTTTCATAACGCACAACTTTGCCTCCATGACACTTTGGATTTTTACGTTTGATACCCTATGGACATCATCAGAGCTGTCATAAAATGTACTTAAAACATGTCAAAAAAAGACAAATGATAAAGACTTATACGGGTGGTAAAGTTAGTGGGGACGTCACTGTAAATGATTAAATATTATGACTGTATTAGTTCGCCACCAGTTGTTCACTTAAAAGAAATATAAGGGTCAATGTCTCACCAGAAATATTCAACTTGATAATAAACGTTTCAGCCTTTTCTGGTGTAGAATCAAGAAGAGCAGCGACTCTAAAGCTTCTCTGTGTGTCCCCATCTTGGAAAGTCACATTCCCTCTCACTGGTGACAAGTCAGTTTCGGCTGAACCATTCAGAACTTCCCAGTACACCACGACAGTTCCATAGGAATCCACGCCACGAACAACCACGAAGTCAGCCTCATTAACAGGTCCAGTTCCAGGTTCAGCGATAGCCTTACTCAGTGAGGACGGACTAAGACTGAAGACACCATAAGCATCGTCGTTGGCTCGAATAACCACCTCAAGGACTTTTGGATTTCCAAGAAGTGTTTCCCCACTGTTTCGGGCCAAGGTGATGGTGAGAGTTTCGTCGCCTTCGGGTGTACTATCGTCCGCGACAAAAATCGTTATGTTCTGTTCTTTAACACCCCTTGCAAACACCAACGTTTGTTCGCCTCCACTGTAACCTGTTATGTTGAAATCGTTTAGACTTGCAGAATGGGTCTGTACAAAGTAATTGACTTGTTCTTGGCCGAACGTTCCTTGGTCACGCAGTACAGTGATAGTGTATGGATTGTGTGATTCTGTCAAATAAATCCTGTAACAAAATAAACAAGAGGTTAAAAATGACAGGAACTCCAGCCTTGCTCTTGGATGATTTATCTCGCTCTTTGAAAGAGAAGTCTCTTCTCAAACGTTTTTCAAAAACTTCAAAAAATTGGTCACTGAGGAACCCTCTAAGTGACTCGTTGACATATTCTTCAAGAACAAACTACATGGAGATGCCTATGATAGGCGTACACCGCGCTAGCTACGTGGTGCTACGTGGTGCTACGTGGTGCACGCATAATCTTCCCTATAACAGGGGAGGGGGGACATGCAACGCGTCCGGCAGTTTGCTTTTTGCGACAAAGGCGACGGAGCCCACGTTTTTATTGGGCTTTGCCACGAGCAGCGCAGTAATTAAAACGGAAAAATCGAGACTTTCAAACCGGTTTTGTTGCACAATGCACAACTTCGTGTGGCTTAACTTAAAAGTTAACTAGCACAGGCTTCTGTAAGTCAATCAATTACATTATTACTTACTTCGCCTGTGGAAACTTGAACACTCCATGTGGATTATCGTTGGGTGATAAGGTGATCTGAGCAACACGGTAACTCCCCAGCAAGGGTGGGATAGTATTATTGAACTGGGAGGAGTCTACTAACTCCACCCTTGTAATATTCACTAAAAACACTTCACCGAGCTCGGGAACGTTATCATCTTTAATCCAGACTGGGATGGTACCAACGTCTTGCTTGTCATCGATAATGATGCTTCTTTGTCCAGCAACAAAGTCTTCTCCCGGGGTCGCTAACGTCTCACTAGACTGTAGTGATGTCGTATTTCCACGTACAGCTTCGTAATAAACTCTAATAGCACCTGTAATGAACAAGATTGAATCTCAGATACAACTGCACATTTTCTTTGGTGTTTTAGTCTGTTTAACAAGCGTTGTTATTGCGCGAAAGTATTCCTCTTTTTTCTCTCGCTCCAACTTTTTTCACTCACTTTTGTGTGATAAGCGATAAAATCTCGCGCCACTTCTCCACCAGGCAGAATTAAAAACAGAACCAAATTCGACTAGCACGTATCTACCGACCGTTGGTGTTTTTCTGACTGTTTCACTTGATTATGTTTGTCTGTTGCGAGTGACGTGGGGATTAATTTTGTTCCAATACGCTCCTTCAAAAACCACTCCGGCAAAAAGTATAACTGCCAAACATTCCCGGGTCAAATGCGTGAGATTTCCGCAGATTTCCGACAATTTCCGAAGACTTCCGAACGTTGCCGAGGCCTTTTGAAAATGATTTACAACCTTTGTTTGTTTGTTCAACAGTATTGCCTGACTGACCAGCTAAAAAAGGAGCTCATTCAACCAGTTCTCGCCATATCTAGTCACGAGTTGTGCAAAGT